GCATAAGTCACGAAGAAATGCCAGCGGCGGTGCGACTGTGTGGGTGCCGGGGTGCGTGCGTGCGCGTGTGTGTGTACTTCTATCAATGTTTGTGAACGGCCGTGTGTGGGTGTGTTAGCGTAGCCCCGGGTAACAAAAGAGAGGCGAGGCAGCGCCGTTTTGGGCCCTGTCTACACTGACCGGTGGCCCGCTGGCCCGGTAGCAGCGAGTCTCACTGCAGGCTTTCAGCGACCCATTCGATTCGGACCTGCAGACTGATTCCGAGAGTCGTTTTCGTCGCTCTGTCTCTCATCGCACTCGCGGGGCGTCCCGAATGGATGCGAAAGAGACAGAGCGACGAAAACGACTCTCGGAATGAGCCTGCTGGCGCGAGTGGAGTATGGCTAGGGGGTGGTTCGGCAAACGAGCCGAGATCAGTCGGGTGGGTCGCATCGCTCTTTTTGTCGCGCCGGGTGGCCGGCCGTGAGCCATGGCGATCGGTAACGTCCGACAGGTCGTAGCGACACACCAGCCACAGTGGGCCAGAAGACCGGACGCGTTTTTAGCTCCAGAGTCGCTAAGTTGGACTCGAACCGAACGTGTGACCCCACCAATGGATCGCTCTCCGAACGAGGAGTCCATTGGTGGGGTAACACGCTCGGTTCGAGTCACTTTAGCGACTCTGGAGCTCAAAACGCGTCTAGAGTTCTGCCCGCCGGCGCCGGTCTTCTGGTCCACTGTGCGGCGCGGCGGAGGCGGAGGCACTGTTCGGAATGAAGCCCTCCACACGGCGCCGCGTGGGCCGCGTGGGCCGCGTCACCGCCACGAGCTCAGGCCACAATTAAGGAAAGTGAGGGGCTTGGCCAGGCTTCGCTGGGCTTCGCCGGGCTTTGCCTTCAAACCGGCAAACCTCGCTCTGATTTATGGCCAGTCCCCCCGAGGGTGGGCCAGCCAGGGCCCCGGCCAGGGCTGCACGGGGGGAGTGCAGCCGATGACATTGCGCCGCTCCGGGCGGCGTGGCGGTGCACAGTGGGCCAGAAGACCGGTGGAGGCGGACAAAACTCTAGACGCGTTTTGAGCTCCAGAGTCGCTAAAGGGGACTCGAACCGAACGTGTGACCCCATCAATGGATTGCTCTCCGAACGAGGAATCCATTGGTGGGGTCACACGTTCGGTTCGAGTCCTGCTTGGCGATTCTGGAGCTCAAAACGCGAATAGAATTTTAGCCGCCTCCACCGGTCTTCTGGCCCACTGTGCGGCGGTTCCCAGTGCCGCTGCCTGTCCCCCGCGGTCCCGAGTCCCCTCCGGCTACGTCATGCCGTGATACATCGCCGGCAGGGCGGCCAGGGCGGACTTGGTGGACTGGCGCGCTCCGCTCCGCTCCACTCCGCCCTGGCGGCCAGCACGGCCAGCACGGCCGGCACGGCCACCTCGGACTCCCGGATACGGTCACTCAGGGCGGCCTCCGCTCCGCCCGCCTCGGCCTGCCTCCCCTGGCGGTCTGACCGCACCTGCACCGGGCGGGGCGTGGTGCGGGGAGGGGAGGGTGGCCGACGGGAGGGTGGTTCGGCGGGGGTGAGGTGACTTTGTTGGGTTCGGTTGGCAGGGCGACGGCACTTGCCATACAATACCATGGTGCTCCATGAGGCTTTTTTGTGCCAAGGGGTAAGTTGCGGTGGTAACAGAAGGTGGTGAGTGAACCATGAAAGCAGTGTGGCGCCCTCCCTCGATGGGCTGCAGGCGTGGCTCTTGTCTCTCTCGCACCCGTGGGGCTTTCCGTGACGGTGCGAGAGAGACAGAGCGACGGGAACGACTCTCGGAATGAGTGTGGTGGCGCGGGCTGGAGGCGACAGCCCCGCCCCGACCACCCTTTGAGGCAGGTGGAGCTGATCAATGGGTGCGGCGTCACGGGGGGCTGAATCCAGCGGGCCTGCAGTCCGAGGCCGTGCCCTAGCAGAGGCCGAGGCAGGCAGACGCGCCGCGCACAGTGGGCCAGAAGACCGGCGCCGGCGGTCAAAACCCTTGACGCGTTTTGAGCACCAGAGTCGCTAAATGGGACTCGAACCAAACGTGTGACCCCACCAATGGATTCCTCGTCCGGAGAACAATCCATTGGTGGGGTCACACGTTCGGTTCGAGTCCCATTCAGCGACTCTGGAGCTCGAAACACGTCCACGGTTTCGTCATCCTCCACCGGTCTTCTGGCCCACTGTGCGGCGGCAGGAAGCCTCGGCCTGCAGCATGGCCTAATTGAATACCGTGCAAACAAGGGACTCGACCAAGGCCCTCTCTCGGCCACGATGAATGGCCCGGAGAGGCGAGGTGAAAAACGGAGAACTGGCCGCGAAAGATTGTCCCGCTCAAGACGCTCGAGACGCCAGAAACAAGAAGTGCGGAGAAACAATGCACCACCCCTTTCCTTCCCCCTCCCCTCCCTCCCTGGTGTCTTCTTTCATCCCACCCATTTACACATTCATTCTCGCTTCCTCTTCTCCTTTTTTTCGCCCGCTCTCTCTCTCTCTCTCTCCCTCTCTCAGCGCCTTCCGCCGGGCCGCAGACGTAACAAAGCTTGGGACAGTAACGAACCACGACGGAGTCCGCTCTCCCCACCCCAACGTCTCCCCCGCCTAATCTCAGAGTCCATCAGTCATCCCGACGGGGCGGCGCGGGGCGGCAGGGCGGCAGGGCGGCAGGGCCGTCCGGGCCGCCGTCCGGGGGCGGGGTAAGAGCTTGGGGGTTGTCTTGAGGGGCCCGTCGCCCTTGCGTCGCCCGCCGCCTGGCTTGGCGCGCCTTGGCGCCACCGCAGCGGCCAGTCCCGGGTACCGTCTGCCGCGGCCTGCCGTTTGGCCGGCACCACCGAGGACCCACAGTCCGGGGCCCAGAGACCCGGACGTAGGGCCTCGGACTTAGAGTCCCGGACGTAGGGTCTGGGACCTAGGGTCCCTGACCCAGGGTCTCGGACTTAGAGTCGCGGACTCAGAGTTCCGCAGAGTCCCGGACCCCGCCGGGAACTCATGTGTGGAGCGGGCCGCCATAATGCCCCCTAAGCTCGTCCCGACCCTCGACGCCGCTCCACGCCCCGCGACCGGCCAGCCGGGCGGACGGGGCTGGCAGGCAGCCGGGCGGACGAGGCTGGCGGATTACACGGCTGTTGGGGGTAAAGCGACACATTGCTGGGCCGGGCCGCCGGGGGTCGGCAAATGATGTGGAAGGTAGTGGGGCCGTGATCGCGGCCCGGCCTAGAGGCCCGGCCCTGACTCGGCGGTGTTACAGTGTCACGACGACTGCCGACTGACGGCCAGCCCCGCCGGGTCTCAACCCTTCCGCGCGCCCCACCGACAAGGCCGGAGTGAAACGGAGTGAAACCCTTCGATGACTCTCAGAGCTTCCTGTGTCTCTCGGGGCCGTTTCAAAGTGGGTCAGACTATCGGTTGAGGTGGCGAAAATCCTAAACGCGTTTTGAGCTCCAGAGTCGCTAAATGGGACTCGAATCGAACGTGTGACCCCACCAATGATTGCTCTCCGAACGAGGAATCCATTGGTGGGGTCACACGTTCGGTTCGAGCCCCAGGCCCTGAAGCTGCTTTCCTAAATTCACTTCCGAGTGTGCTTTTGGCGGAGCGCCTAGCGCGCGGCGTGCCATGTGAGACTGAGTTAACCTGGGGGAGACTCCGCCGCCGTTCTGCGGGGCGTGAATTCGGGGCAGTAAGAGCGGCCGGCCGCCCTTTGAGAGCTTGAGAGCCCTGAAGCGTGCGAGTCGGCGCGTCTCTCTGTCGCACTCCCAGGGCCGGGCAATGACCAGTCCCCGCCAGCCTCGCCAGCCCCAGCGGGAGCGACGGAGACGCAGGCGCCGCCGTCGGGACGCGACCCGGACGTGAGGACAACGGGGCGGCGGGGCGGCGGGGCGGCGGGGCGGCGGCAAGGCAAGGCCGCGCACCATGCGAGCTCAGCTCCCTGGCACGTCCGGTGAAATGTTGCAGTTATGAACTTGCGGGGGGGGGGGGGATCCCTTGCCGGCTGCTGGACTGCCGGCGCAGCGGTGCGTCCTGCTGGCCGGCCTCCTCGGCCTCCCCGCCGTGGCGCCGCGTGGCGCCGGCCGGTGTCACGTGGACACACTAGAAACTACAATGTCGCAAGGAGGCCTGGCCTGGGCTGGCCGGCCCGGTACCGGAAGTGCCCCGGAAGTGCCTCATTGTGGCTTTACGGCGCAGTCAAACAATGAGGCGGCCAGGCGCCGCCAGGTCGACCCACTTGGAGCCCCAAACAGGCATCATTCTTCGCGGGGCAAAGTTTAACGCGCGCTGTATTTGAACCCGCGCCCGGCGCTGCTCCACACGTCGTCGTCGTCAAACATTCATCCTGCTCAGGCATTCATTGCCGCCCTTGAGACACTATTGGCGCGACACACACGCTAGAATAGTCATCGCGGATCGCATCGTCGCAGACAATGGTTCCGGCCCCAATGAGGGGTGGGGGAGACTCACAGTGGGCCAGAAGGCCGCTGAAACGACTCTGGGACTCAGTCCGCTGGAGGGCCGTCGGCAGCGAGGCACTAATTCGTGTGTCTACGCTGTGGAATCCCAATTACCGACGAGGTGTATCAGTCGCTGGGGGAAAAAAGGCGGTGCTCGGCCTGTGCCTCGGCCTGTGCCTCGGCCTGTGCCCACACTGTCGGGGAGTGGTGCTTCCCTCCGGTTCCGCGGCCTCCAGGACCTCCAGGACAGCGCCAATTACTAAGCACCTCGGAAAGGGGGCGTTTAATTGTCGGGAATAAAAGAGGGCTGATGGCTTATTCCTAAATGGCTCGGCGGCGGCGCGGGCACACACTGCGAAAAAAGCGCTCCGGCCTTCCGGACAATGAGAAACGCTCTATGTGGGATATTCTTCTTCGGCAAGAATGGCGAGAACGATCCCCTTTGTACCGAGGCAATCAGAGCACCGCGCCGTGTGCATCACTCGTACACTGTAGTGCGTGCGGGACGGTGCGGAAGGGACTCCGGAGGACACCAAACGGCGAGCACCTGATATGAAGAGAAGGACGAGGACGAAGGCGGCGGTATCCATGAGTGAGGCGGTGCGTGGCCGGCGTCGTCGTCCGTCGTCGTTGACGCCGTGCTTGCCACACATGGCGGCCAGGGTGCGCACGGTCTACACCATGCCGGCGGGGGGACTAGGTTCCCAGGGCCGACATGGCCTCGGACATGGCCTCGGACATGGCCGACACGCCGGCGGGGCGCTCAGACCGTCCAAAGTCGCCGCCAACAACAACACAACACTGGGGCGGAGCGGCGGAGCACTAACACTGTTTCACCAACACAAACACGCGCTGGGAGGCGAGGCGCGGCGAGTGTACGCTCGCGGCCCGGCGGGCGGCACGACGCGGGGGCGGTCGGGCGACGCGAAGGGATCGGCGTGCTCGCTCGACGCCGGGCATACGGCAACTGGGGTGCGTGCTTCCCTTCGCCTCGCTCGGGGTGGGGTTGGGCCGGTTGGGGTGGCCAGGGGGCGGGGGGCGCAACGGAGCAGGGATGCTGGCCGGCAGGGCGCGCCACCGTACCACACTGTAGGTGCGAGAGAGAGGCCCGCTCTATTCTTCGCTGCCTTTGCAGCCTTTGGACGACTGACTAGTGTCAGCTTGCCTAAGAGGGGCGCCTTCCCCTTGTTGTGCTACACCGCCGCGGCGCTGCGCAGTGCTCTGCCCAAGGGCCCAAGGGCTCGCCGCGCCCTGCCGCGCCACTGTTGACTGTCGGCGGACTCTGCCGCGTCTTTTCAACGCCTTTCTTCGCAGGAGGCCTTACACTGTGGTTCCGCTGGCGATGCTGGGACGGTTCCGCTTTTGGCGATCATCCCCCTCGATAGCACACGCGCCGCCGCCCGTAATCTGACACGGACATCGCTGCGCGCTCCGTCAACCTACGTCAACCCACACACAGACAGGAGCCCCGCGCACACACAGCGCGCACTGCCCACACGTGCACACACACACACACACACGCCGCCAGGCTCGTCTACAGTGTTGTGGTCCGGCAATGCGCCCCCCCCCCCCGGGCCACTGGCGTTGCTGCCGCGTCCGACCTGGAACAGGCATCTCTCCTCGGAACATGCTCTTGTTCCCGGCGGGCCTGTGAAGGCGGACGAGGCGCAGGCAGGAAGGCAGAAGGCCGAACAGCGAGCTCAAGGCGGAACTTGGCCCAGTGGACTGATTCCGAGAGTCGTTTTCGTCGCTCCGCGTCTCCCTCGCACCTGTACGGGGTGCACCGTGAGTGCGAGAGAGACAGAGCGGCGAAAAGGACCCTCGGAATCGGTCTCCAGTGCGGACATGACGTGCGATCGGAGAAAGCTGACCCATCCCCTGAAGAGAGACCGTGGCAGGAGTCGGCCTGGCGGTACTCTATCCGAAGCTTTGTGGCAATCGGTTTCATGACAGCTCTCATTGTTCGTCCCGTCGACTTCACGCCTTGAAATCGGATCATGGTTTCTGTTTCATCCACAGGATGTGGCCATCTGAATTATGTCCATTTTCTCAAGATTTCTTCAATTTGGAAATTCTGGCTGGCAGTGTAGTGGCAAGGCGTCGCGGTGCGGCGCGGTCGGCCGCCTGGATGGCGCAGGCGTCGCCGTGGCGGCATTCGACTGCTGTAATGACCGGGGCGTCACTATCCGCCGCGGGGAAGTTGGATGTGCCCCCCCCCCCCCCCACCGTCGGGCTGCGTCTGAAGACAGATCCAGATTGGAACCTTCTGTCATTGTCGTGGCGCTATCTCATTGGCTGTCGTAATGACGGGTGCGAGCGAGAGAAAAACAAATTCTTTCTCTCCCTTTCTCTCCGCGAGCCAGTACTCCTCCCCCACCCTGGCAGGGCCTGGCAGGGCCTGGCAGTGCCGTGGCCCCGGGGCTTTGATTTCTCTCCGTCTTCATGCGCGACACGTATTCGCGACAATTTTTCTTCGCACGCCCGAAACCTTGCCGCCGCGCTGCCGCCCCCAGCCCTCGCCGCCGTGCCGCCTCCCCCGCCCCCTCAGGTCATCGGGCCTGCTTCTGTAAACGCGCCACCAGCGTGCGAACACGAGGGGCGAAGCGTACCGCCGCATCTCCGCGGAGACCGTCACCACTTACGTCGCGGTCTCGAGTCGCCGGGCAGGCCCGAAATAATTCTCCCCTCGCGGTGATAAGTACCGCGGGCTTCTCTCGCCGAACGAGTCTTCGCTCGGAATTTCAATCCTTCTACTTGTTTCTACATGTCAACGTGCCGAGAGCGGCGGCGGCGCGGTTCGTTTGGGTTTGAGGGTGGTTTCGAAGGACGTGGTCGACCGCGGCACCCCTCAGGCCGACCTCACGCAGAGAAGGTATCTTTTTGAAGCGCACAGCCGAAAAGAATCATATTATCTTTTTGAAGCGGTGGCCGGGCACACGGCCGAAAAGTATCTTTTTGAAGCGGTGCGGCGCTGCGCTTTGTGGAGTTCGTGGAGCCTATGAGGGCGCAAAACTAGACAAAGCCACAAACTTGGTCGTGATTTCGGCCCGTCGGCTCCGCCACAAGGTTAATCTAGTTTGGTGGAAATTTGGCTTCCCCGCTGGGCCGCGCCTCCCGTAGCCCCCCGCCCCGCCGCCGAGGCCTTCGAGGCCGTCCGCCACGTGACCTTCGCGTCGATCTGCTGGCGGTGCTGGCGGTCGGTTGTGATTGACCGCTGCTGTCAGTCCGGGGAGAGCTTCGCCTCGCCCGATCTCTGTCTGCATTCTTCGGCCGCCGCCGATATGCAGCAACGGGAGTCGATAAAATTGGACAACTTTCCCTCCTTGTTTGCAAACTCGGCCAACGCGCCGTTTGTTCTACACCTCGACGTCTGCCCACTGCCTCCCCCCCCTCTTTTACACACACACACACACACACACACACACACACACGCGCGCGCGCGGGCGCGAAATACAGTACTGCAAACCGGCCGGAGAGTTGGCCTCGCGCGAGCGGAGAAATTTGTGGGCGTGGCGCGGCGTGGCGGCGTGGCGCGGCAGCACTGCGTGACGTGCTTGATGATGTGTTCGGTCGGGCACGGGCGAGCACTACGCGGCGCAGCACAGCAGCAGCGGCACAGCACGGGGCGCTAACGAACAGCGGCTAATCCAATGCCGGGCCCTGCCTGGCCCTGCCTGGCCTTGCCGAGCCGCTCCAAGACCAGTCACGTCTCGGGAGGGGCGGGGGGTGGGTTCTCGGGGTGGGGTCAGGTAGTTGCAGCTAAGGCAGATAGACCCTCCCAAGCCCTCGGCCCCGCCGGCCCTGCCCTATTCCCCGGCGCCCTCAAGTTGAGATTTTACGTGAGGACTGGCCGGGCCTCGGGGCGTGCCACGGACCGCCACGGACCGCCACGGGCCGCCACGGACCGCCACGGACCCAATGGGCACTGGGCTCCTCGCCCGCCGCTCGCCCCGGCTGATTCCAGATTTGAGGGCGCCGTCAGGAACGCGCGTTGCAAAGTTTGGCGGACGTTGTAGTACGCGCCGGACTGCACTCCACACGCACGCACACACGCACACACACACACAGTGAGTTTTGATGCTGTAGACTGATTCCGCACAGCGTTATTTTGTCGCTCTGTCTCTGTCGCACACATGCGGGCCGTGCACGCGGCCAGGCGGCCGTTTCAATAACGGAACTCGCCGAACCGACGGACTGCCCTGACGGACTGCCCGGGCGGGCTGAGGAACTGCTGCACGTGGATTGTGGATCCTGCGTCCCTCTCAGAGCAGGCCCACCAGTCGGGGCTGGCTGGCACGGCTGGCACCTTGCCTCGGCCCGGCCTTGCCTCGACTCGCAGGAACCGGGAATTGATTTCAAAGTAATGGACTGAACAAACAAGGCTGGGACGGCACGTAGGGGTTGGCAGACTTGGTGGAGCCGGCAAGGTAGGGGCAGGGGCGGCTCGGCGGCTCGGAGCGGGGGTGCCAACTTGCCACTGACGTGCGTCGCATACCGAGACACGCCGCGCCGCCGCGCTGCGCCGTGCTTCCAGAGCTACAGCACTGTGATTTTGGAGAGGGGTCCCGGTCCCAGTCCCGCCGGAGCCTAGAGCCTCGAGACCTCTTTCGAGTCCGCTGCCACCTGCGCAGTTCCCGGGGCACGCCGCCTGCCCCAGCCTGCCCCAGCCTGCCCCAGCCCCCCGCAGGGCCGCAGGCGAACAAGTGCGTGTGGAAGGACACCACGACGCCCCCGCAGCCCCGCGCAGCCCGCAGCGTCGCTTCTCTCTCGCACCCCTACAGAACGCCCCGTGAGAGCGACGAAACGATCGTGTGCCGTTTTTGACGCTGCGACGTCTGCTCTGGGTTTTGAGTCTTCATCACACGACCCACGTGAACGAAGGCGGAATCTGAGAGCGCCGTTTCTCGGAAGACTGATTTACAAAACCATCGCGCCGATCGAAATTACAAAATAAAAGCGTCGAGTATCGAGTCCACCCTCGCATGTGATGAAGGGCTTTCGATACGCTAAAAGCGCGGTCGGCAAACAGGGCGCCTTATCCTCGCTCCGCCCGCCACCGTCAAGTGTGCGCGCCACGCCACGCGAAGCCACCACACGCGAAGCCACGTGGCTCTCGGAGCGCCACACGCCACCGACCATGCTGGGGGGCCGGAGCGTCGCCGACGACGCCGGCGCCGAGGACCCGGTGCGTGGCAAAGGGGGGAGGGGGAGGGAGAGAGAGAGAGAGAGAGAAAGAGAGAGAGAGAGAGCGTGTGTTGTGTTGCAGCGCACCGGGTTCCGACTGATGCTGGCCGTCAGCAGGCTGTACGCGATAAACCCCGTGGGGCCGGCCCCCGCCTTCGAGCCCATGGTGCTCCTGCGCGTCTACAACCTGGGCGTCACGCTGTACACGGCCTACTACGAGATCTTCTTCTGCGGCTTGACCGCCTTGGCCATCGCCCCGGGGAACCCGTTCCTGGTGCTGACGGTGCTGGTTTCGCTGTGCTTCGCGGCCATGACGGTGTCCTCGCTGGCCTTCCTGGTGGGGTCCTTCCGCAAGGCCGCGCTGCTGCCGGGGCTGCTGGCACACCCGCTGACGGCCGCCCCGCGCTGCCAGCCGCGGACCGCTGCGATCGTGGCGCAGCTCGGCGTCCTGGTGGTGGGCTACTGCGTGCTGGGCGCCGGCTTCCTCCTCAGCTCCCCCGAGGTCAGGAAACTAATACACACGCCGCACAGTGGGCCGGAAGACCGGTGCAGGCGGCCAGTTTTTAGCTGCAGAGTCGCTAAACAGGACTCGAACTGAGCGTGTGACCCCATCAATGGATTCCTCGTTCGGAGAACAATCCATTGGTGGGGTCGCACGTTCGGTTCGAGTCCCATTTAGCGACTCTGGAGCTCAAAATGCCTCACTTGGAGGCGTGCGCCAGATGGACCCGGCGGTCAAGAAGGTCTCCACGGCCTCGTGCGTGCTGTTCGCCATGTCGGCCGTGGAGAAGCTGTCCATGAACCACATGGTGCGGCGCGTCGGCCGCCGGTTCGCCGCCATCAACGACGACCTCGGCGAGGCGCACTCGGTGGTGGCGGCGAGGAGCGGCATGCACGCCGAGCGCCGAGGTCCGCAGGTAAGTCACGACCAGGGACTGTGCAGTGCAGGAGACTGATGCCGAGAGCTGTCCGTCTCTCTCGCACTCATGGGGCGCCCCGGGTGGGAGGAAGGTGCGCTTTGTGACCATGGCAGAAAAATATGCCGGGGCCTTCGGGTTTAGGGCCAGTAACGTCACAAAGTTGGTCAAAAAATGATTGAATCTCCGAAAGTAGCCGTTTTTGCTGAATTTGAGCGGCCACTGCGTCCGATGTAGTTGCGGCCAACGGCCTCCCTCGACGCCCTAGTATTCTTAAGACCCTACTCTTTCATGCCCTGTATCGGAAAGACGTTGACCACAACGATTTTGCCTCTGACCGCAACGATTTTTGGACCAAGTTGGTCAAAAAGTGGTCGAATCTCGGAAATTTGCTGATTTTACTGACTTTGGGCGGCCACTGTGTCCAATCTAGTTGCCGTAAAAGGCCTCCCTCGACGTCCTAGTATTCTTAAGACCCTACTCTTTCATGCCCTGTATCGGAAAGACGTTGACCACAACGATTTTGCCTCTGACCGCAACGATTTTTGGACCAAGTTGGTCAAAAAGTGGTCGAATCTCGGAAATTTGCTGATTTTACTGACTTTGGGCGGCCACTGTGTCCAATCTAGTTGCCGTAAAAGGCCTCCCTCGACGTCCTAGTATTCTTAAGACCCTACTCTTTCATGTCCTGTACGGGAAGGCTATTGACCGCAAACAGTTTGGGAGCGTTAGCCTCACAAAGTTGGTCATGAAGGGTAAAAACAGTGATGATCGGGGGCCTTTTGGGGGCCAGTCCGAGCCTGTTCGTGACGCCGACCCGACCGCCATGGCTGACAGGTTACGCAGCGCGTGGCGGAGGCCCGCGCCCAGCACAAGGAGTGCTGCTGCATGCTGGCCGCGCTGACGCGCTGCTTCGAGGCGCAGCTCGTCGGCATCCTGGTCATGGACTTCTTCGTGCTGCTCGCGAGCGTCTTCCTGGCCATCCTCCTCCTGATGCACGACGCCACGATCCCGTCCCTGCTGGTGGCCTCCTCCACCAACGGCTCCTTCTGCATCACGGGGACCTTCCTCCTGGCGCGGACCTGCCACCTCGCGGGCCGAGAGGTGACGGAGAGAATGCAGGCAAGTGAGAGCGAGAGAGGACGATGGCCGAGAATGACGCCGGCTCTCTTGCAGGCCAGGCGGGCCCACACCAGCGTCCACGCCGTGCTCAACCTGCCGCACGTCGGCCCCGAGGAAGTGAGGGAGGTGCGTGTGCGATGGCCGCGGATGGCCGACTCGAGCGAGATGTGACATTTCTCTCTCTCCGCAGCTCAAGGCCTTCTCCTTCCAACTGCTGCACGCCAAGACGAGCGTCACGCCCTTCCAAATGTTCACCGTGGACTACTCGCTCATCAGCACGGTGAGGTCGCCTTGGAATCCGCTTCAGACCTCAGCTGCAGACAGTTCCCTTGAGGGCCTCGTTTGGTTTCAGTTGTCCGTGGGGTTCTTCACCTACTCCATCATGGTCGGCCAGTTCGGCCTGGTGGGGAGCAAAAATTTGGAGGGTTACTACGGCAACGGCACGGACGCACCCAACACGACAGCCATGCTGGACTTTGCCACCTCCGGTGACCGCTGACCTTCCCTTGGAAGTGTCCGAACGTCCGGACCCGCGAACGGAAAGCTCCGTTTAAAAACTCGATGTTCGCTACTCCGTCGAAATAAAACGTTTTGTCTGTTGCATCGCCTGTTGCCATTGACTCGCCGCAACTAATTTTGTCAGTGTGCCACCGCCTTCTATCGACAGCCCTGCTCGACCGCGCCACCGCCTCTTCGATGATGAAGCGACCGATTTGCAGGCCGCCACTTCGACACGCCGACAGTGGCTCGGCAAACACCCAACGCGCCACGCCACTGTCAAGTGTGTGCGCCACGCCACGCCACGCGGCTCCTGGGGCGCCACACGCGGCCGACCATGCTGCGGGGGCGGAGCGCCGCCGAGGACGTCGCCGACGGGGTCGCCGACGAAGACGCAGGCGCCAAGAGCACGGTGTGTGGCGATCCGTTTCTGCATGCCGGAGAGAGGGAGAGAGAGAGAGAGAGAGAGAGAGAGAGAGAGAGAGAGAGAGAGAGAGAGAGAGAGAGAGAGAGAGAGAGAGAGAGAGACTGCTTGTGTTGCAGCGCCTCGGCTTCCGGCTGATGCTGGCCATCACCAGGCTGTACGCGGTGAACCCCGTCGGGCCGGCCCCCGCCTTCCAGCCCATGGTGGTGCTGCGCGTCTACAACCTGTGCGTCACGCTGTTCGCCGCCTACTACGAGGCCTTGTTCACGTGGCTCATCTTCACGGGCGCCGTGGCGGCCACCACGGGCGTGATCCTCCAGACGCTGGTGACGGTCTGCTTCCTGGCCATGACGGCGTCCGCTCTGGCCTTCCTGGTGGGGTCCTTCCGCAAGGCCGCCCTGCTGCCCGGGCTGCTGGCACACCCGCTGACGGCTGCCCCGCGCTGCCAGCCGCGCACCGCCGAGATCGTGGCGCAGTTCACCTTCATGGTGGCCGGCTACACCATTGTGGTCTTCATGTTCCTGATCAACTACTCCTTTGTAAAGAACGCCGTAGCTTGGTCCTTTTCCTTTCTCCATTTTTGAAAGCTTTTTTTTTTGGCAGTGCATGAGATGACAGTTTACAAAACAATCCCACCGACTGAGTCCTAGTCAGTGATACACGCGTTTTGGGGCCATGCATCAGGTGGGAGCGACGAACGCGAAGATCACCCTGTCGGCGCTCCTCTTGCTCGCCATGTCGGCCGTGGAGAAGTTGTTCATGATCCACTTGGTCCGTCGCGTCGGCCACCGCTTCTCGGCCGTCAACGAGGACCTCGGGGAGGTGCACTCGGTGGTGGCGGCGCGGAGCGGACCGCGCCGAGGGCCGCAGGTACCCGGGGCAGGACAGGCCACGCGGTGCCACGCGGCAAGCGCTCTGGTGCCGAGGGTCGTTGTCGTCGCTCTGTGCCTCTCGCACCAATACGGGACGCCCCGTGAGTGCGAGAGAGACAGAGCGACGAAGGTCTGCCGGCCGACAGGTGTGGCAGCGCGTGGCCGAGGCGCGCGCCCAGCACAAGGAGTGCTGCCGCATGCTGGCCGTGCTGACGCGCTGCTTCGAGGCGCAGCTCGTCTGCATCCTGGCCATGGACTTGTCCGTCACGCTGGCCTGCGCCTTCCTGACCATCCTGCTCATCACGCACAACATCTCCAGCGCGGTCATGCTGGGGGGCTTCGCCGCGAACAGCATGTTCTGCACCGCGGGGACCTACCTCCTGGCGCGCACCTGCCACCTCGCAGGCAGAGAGGTGATGGGGTGAACGATTGAGAGCGAGAGAGAACGATGTCCGAGAATGACGCCGGCTCTCTTGCAGGCCAGGCGGGCCCACACCAGCGTCCACGCCGTGCTCAACCTGCCGCACGTCGGCCCCGAGGAAGTGAGGGAGGTGCGTACAGTGGGCCAGAAGACCGGTGGAGGCGGCCAAGACGCGTTTTGAGCTCCAGAGCCGCTATATGGGACTAGAAGCGAACGTGTGACCCCTCCAATGGATTCCTCATTCGGAGAGCAATGCACTGGTGGGGCCACACGTTCGGTACGAATCCCATTTAGCGACTCTGGAGCTCAAAACGCGTCTAGAGTTTTGGCCGCCTCCACCGGTCTTCTGGCCCACTGTGGTGCGTGTGCGATGGCCGGCTCGTGAGTACGAGCGAGACGCGACATTTCCCTCTGACCGCAGCTCAAGGCCTTCTCCTTCCAACTACTGCACGCCAAGACGAGCGTCACGCCCTTCCAAATGTTCACCGTGGACTACTCGCTCATCAGCACGGTGAGGTCGCCTTCCGTTCCAGACCTAAGCAGGTGAGTTCAGTTGAATTGAGATCGGTTCGTTTGGTTTCAGTTGATCATGACTGTCTTCACCTACGCCATCATCATCGGCCAGTTTGGCGCCGCCTCGTAGCCTGCCGAGACTGTGACGCACGTGCAACCACGTTGCATTTCGAGGAACACGAGCGTGTTGTCTTCTCGAGAGAGGAACGCCGAGGGCAACACTGCCCACACCTTCCCAAATAAAAAGTTCTGTCTGCGCTGTTGTCTGTCCTTGGCCACCGAAACACTCCACACCGCCGTGGGCGGTTCGACCTCCACCATTCGCGTTGTTTGGCAATTCACTAAAAGCGCGCCTGCGCCGCCTGCGGCATCGAACGGCTCCTAGCGGCCTCGTCGCACCAGTGCGCTGCCGGCGCAACCTCGGCATGTCTGGCAGCGGCGCAGAGCTGCAGGTACGTGTGTGGGAACGTGAGGAGCTTGAAGCTCATTGAACTGCATTTGGTGCTATGAGAAGCAGAAATGGCTCTTTTTTTGGCAAACTCCGTTGACTCCTCCGTTGACTCCTCCGCTGACTCCAGGCGGAGCAAGCGTACCGCCAGGACGCCGAGACCGGCGGCGGCGGCTTCTGGCTGGCGCTGCTGGCGGCCAGGGTTTGCGGCATGCTGCCCCTCGGCCGCCCGCCCGCGCTCAAGCCCGTGCTCCTCCTGGAGCTGTACACCGTGCTGCTGCCGCTGAACATGACGACGTTCTTCGCCTCCGGCACCTACATCGTCTTCAGCCACGCCTTCTTCGACAAGATGACCAGGGAGACGCCGTTCGAGCTCGTGTCCCTGGTGGTCCTGTCCTCCTTGATGGGGTGCTCGGTGTCGCTCTTGTTGGGCTCCTTCCGCAAGATGGCCCTGCTGCAGCCCGCCCTGCTGCACCCCATGACGGCGCCGCGCTGCTGCCAGCCCAGCACGGCGCACGTCGCCTGTCACTTGCTGTTCGTCGCCATGGCCTTGACCACCGCCTCGACCATCTTCCTGTCCTACGCGTGGCGCTACTTGTCGGTCTGCTTCATGGTGTCCTCGTCCAGTGGGCCGAAGACCTGTGGAGGCGGTCAAAATATCGGACGCGTTTTGAGCTCCAGAGTCTTTAAATGGGACTCGAACCTAACGTGTGACCCCACCTATGGGTAGCTCTCCGAAGGAGGAATCCATTGGTGGGGTCAGACGTTCGGTTCGAGTCCTGTTCAGCGACTCCGGAGCTCAAAACGCGTGCAGTTTTGGCCGCCTCCGCCAGTCTTCCGACCCACTGTGCCACAGCCTTGGCCACGGCCTTCACCGCGTGGTGACGGCGGCGGCTCATGCGTGGTTCTCGCAGTTCGAACGCGGGGTAGCGATCTTCCTGTTCCTCGAGGCCGACCTCGTCTCGAGCATCGAGAAGCTCACCGTGCTCGAGGTGGTGCACCGAGTGCGGCGGCTGTTCGAGGCCGTCAACGCCGAGGTGAAGGACGTGTGTCAAGTGGTCGGCCGGCGGCGCTCCGCCGAGCGGGGCGACGCGTCCCGGGAGCACGCGTCCAAGCGGTCCAAGCCCGACAGCGTCTACGACCCCTCTCGAAAAGCAAGTAACCCCCACGGTGGGGTGGTGCTGTGAGTTTCAAAGTGTGCTTAACGGAGGCCCCTCCCCGGTGTGTCCGCCGCAACACAGTGGGCCAGAGGACCGGTGTAGGTGGTCAAAATCCCAGACGCATTTTGAGCTCCAGAGTCGCTGTGTGCAGGAGGCGTCCGCCCTGGGCCGCCTGCAGGTCGCCGCCGAGGCGCACCGCAGCGGCTGCCGGCTCCTGGTGTCCCTGACGCGCTGCTACGAGTTCCAGCTGCTCGGCATCCTGGCCATGGACACCGTGCTCGTCATGGTGTGCCTCTTCTACGGCATCATCCTGTTCATGTACGGCAAGGAGGGGCTCGATGACACGGCCCCGGCCTACGCCATCATGGCCTTCTGCAACGGCTCGGGCGCCTACGCCATGGCCCGCATGTGCCACCTGACCAGCCGAGAGGTGAGGCCGAGGCGAACCCACACTGTTTCAGGCCCAACCGAGAAAAGTTGACTTGTTAAGTAGCTTGCAAAGGTCAAACTTGATAAGGTTTTCCCCAAGTTAAGCAGGACTCGCCACTCTGTTCCAGGCGGGGCGAACGCACAGGCTGGTCCACGCTGTCCTCAACAACCAGTACCTGACCACCGTCGAGGAGCGGCGGGTGCGTCCTGCGAGAGGGGCTTGTGTCGCTGGTCTAAGGCGTCGCCCTCTCACTCGCTCTGCTCCACTCTGCTTGCAGCTCAGAGACTTCTCTTTTCAACTCGTGCACTCCGACGCGGCCGTCAGACCCTTCGGGATGTTCTGCGTCAACTACGGCCTGCTGAGCTCGGCACGTTGCGGCTACGTCGCGATAGGTGCCACAAAAAAAATTATTTACAGCAAAGTGAATTGTTTTGTTCTCGTTGGCTTCCAGATGGTCATGTCGGTGTTCACCTATTTGGTCATTCTCGGCCAGTTCGACCTCATCTCGCTCGCGGTGGCTAACGACCATCGAAATGTCACCGGGACCTCGACGGCGATGCCCGACGACGCCGCCCTTGCCCCCTTCTGACTGTCGCTGGACTCGCTGGGCGCTCCGTGCTGCGCGCCGTGCTGCGCTGACCGGAACACAGCCGCCCGCTATCGGTCAGTGTCTCCTGTTTCTCTCTCGCACTTTGCCGGGAAAGTTATCAGGAAGTACCTCGGCCCGTCCGGAAACACGTTCCTTCCACTCCGTCCGCGCCGGCAGACCCTACCGCACGCCATGAAGAGACGAGTCCCCGCGGCCGTGGTGCTTACAGTGAGTTGGAAAGGAGCTGCTTGATCTCAGCCCCCCCCCCCCCCCCCCCGCCCTTGGCCCCGCCAGCCAGGTCGCCCGCCTGCGTCAGCCTGCGTCGTCTACCGCCTGCCAACACGAGGATAGGCAAATTTTGCCAGCCGCGTCGGGCGGGGTGCCTACCCTCGTGTTCGCAGGGGTTCGCCGCTGAGTCGCTGCTGGTCTGCCTTCGGCGCAAGGGGTGGCCAAACTGACGTCAGAATGGTCATCTGCTTCCGCCGCTCTGTCTCTCTCACTGTGTGTCCGAGAGAGAGACAGAGCGACGGAACGCTGTGCGGGACCAGTTTGATCTTGAAGTCTTTTGGCGCCATTTTGACTTGCGGTGCCGTTCTCCCTGACGGCGTGTCCAGGCGCTCCACCTCGCTGCTGCTCTCGAGGGGGCCGACGACGAGCGCTCGCTGGCGCAGTCCAACTGCCACGGCCTGGCCGCGGAGCTGCTGGCGCAGGACGCGCAGTCCCTCGTCGCCCTGCTGGGCACGCCGGAGGGCCGCCGCGCCGCCAAGGACGCCGCCTTGCGGACGCTGCTTAGCAACGCCGGCAACGCCTCGGACACCCGAGCTCACAGCGCGTCCAGCAGCCTGCTGCAGGTACGCGTTTGGCTCCAGGTCCCTCGATGACTCAGACTTACATCGAATCGAATTATATTGATGTTTTCAAAAAAAAAAAAAAAAAAAAAAAAAAAAAAAGAGGGACGCGAGGGACCCTAACCCTGTGAGCGTCTTTGCTGGTCTTTGCTCGGAAGGCCAGTGCAGTGTTCCGTTTCCATGGTTTCCAGACCGCGCGCCGCATCAACCTCTGCGAGAACCCGTGGTTCGATTGGCTGCCCTGGCTGCCCTGCCGCGTCCAGTCCCCGCCGCCCCGGCCGGACTTCCAGGCCTTCCAGGACGAGGAGAGGGGCGGTGACTCGGAGGCCTCGGAGGGCGCGCTGTGCTACATGGCGGATGAGGCGGACCTTACCACCACACCGTCAACCCAAGTCCGTCACCAGCACCCTTAAAAATAGGATCTTCTTCTCGAAACTCGGGTCAAGGCGGCCACCGTGGATTGATTATGAATGAATGGGGGGAAGGATAGGTTAAGGAGAATAAAACGTTGAGAGAAGATCACATGTTTAATATGACTATGGCAAAGAAATGCCGGAGCATTAACTCGCCTCAAAATTAGGTCCCAGTGCCTAACAATTTAAGGAAACAAGGAAGTAGCATATAGGACTGAACAGAGAAAGTAGCCTTAGAAAGGCCTCGTTCTGGAATAGAGATCTACAATTCTGGAATTCCAATTCACTATCATTACTATATAGTAACACGTATTAAACTCAATAAGGAACATTCTCAATACAAAATAAACTCCACAACGCAATTGTGCCTTAACGAATCATGCAACCAAACATACAATATATCAAACAAAAAGTTATTGCCCATTGACTCAACAAAGAACTAAACATAACAATTACAGAATGTTAAATAAAAACGATCTGGGTAACTGCCCTCTTATAATTGTACCTTAAAACAAAACGTCTTCATTGTCATTTAAAACCATATTTAAGGAACAGAGATATAAAACAAGAAAACTAATAAGAAAACAATTATTCCCTTCAAAAATTACACTTAAAGAATGATATGACTTATAGTGAGTCTGTTCTTCTTTCACAAAGCAAAAACCGACATTCACTGGATTTCTTCGCACCAACACCATAGTTGACAATGTCTCTATGCATCACAATAATAATGGCGCCCGACACTGACACTACGTAAGGTTGAAAAGGGGGATCTCCCCACAAGAGGAATGAAGACAACAAAGTCATTCCAGTCAGGCATTTGAGCATAATTAAGTTGTGACACTTGCCAACGATACATAAACCTTTTTTTTTTCAAAACAACAACTATAACGAAAAACATTAAATCAAACATCACAATCAAACCAGAGCTGGAGAACATCAAACTAGAAATAATTCAAGATTCCAGGTACTCTGGCAGCACGTTAAGTCAAGATTGTACAGGGTTCGAGCCACCCCACACGCAGCCTGGGAGAGACAGGCACTGAGGGAGGACCTCCACCACTTCCCTCAGAAGGCAAACCGGAAACGAGGTCTAGGAAGGCACCATAGCCATCCCGCCCATGCCCAGCACGCCGTGCGTGCCCGCGGGCGCCATCGCCGAGCTACCGGCACCATGGCCAGGCCGTGGCCGCCGTGCCCGACGTGGCCGACGTCCATGGGGGTCATGAGCTGGTGCTCGAGGAGCTGTTGGGGCACGGCCAGGCCCTGCATCAAGGCGCTCTGCATGGCAGCACTCTGCATGGCGATGTCATGCATGGCAGCACTCTGCATAGCAACACTCTGCATCGCAGCGTTCTGCATGGCGATGTCCTGCATGGCAACACTCTGCATGGCAGAGCTCTGCATGGTGGCGTTCTGCATGGCAACACTCTGCATGGTGGCGTTCTGCATGGCAGCACTCTGCATCGTAGCGCCGTGCAACGTAGCGCTCTGCATCGTGGCGCTCTTCATGGAAGCCCTCTGCATGGCGGCGTCCTGCATGGTGACGATTTCCAGCCTGGGAGAGGCGGAGCCGTCGTCCTGCATGTCGACGACGTCTCGGACGAAGTCCTGCCCGGGAGAGGCGGCGGCGTCGAGCGGGTCCGAGGCCTGCCGGGACTGCTGCCGCTGCCTGTTGGGCCGCGGGCCCCGAGGGGGCGCCTTGACGCCGAAGTGCAGCGACTGGTGGCTGCGCAGGTTGTCCCTGCGCGCGAAGGCGCGGTCGCACACGTCGCACTTGTAGGGCCGCTCGCCGCTGTGCGTCATCATGTGGCTCTTGAGCTTGCGGTCGCGCGCGAAGGACTTGCCGCACACGTTGCACGCGAAGGGCTTCACCTCGTCGTGCAGCCAGATGTGCTCGCTGAGGTGGCCCTTGCGCGCGAACGAGCGCCCGCACACGCCGCACAGGTACAGCTTCTCCTGGGTGTGCACCACCATGTGGCGCTTGAGCGCGCACCTCTCCGCGAAGTGCTTGTCGCAGAGCTGGCAGGCGAAGGGCTTCTCGCCCGTGTGGGTGCGCATGTGCGAGGCCAGGTTGTCCTTCCTGGAGAACATCTTGTGGCACACGTCGCAGCCGTAGGGCCGGTCCACCTGGCTCTGCTGGCCGCGGTCCGCGTCGGCGTCCGGCGGGCGGGCCTCCGCCTCCGCGGCCCTGCCGGTCTCTGGGGCCGCCGGCTTCTGCTTGGCGGCCTTGGGCGCGGCGGGCGGCCGCGTGTGCGTGCGCATGTGGTTCTTGAGGTGGTCGCGGCGCAGGAACGCCTTCCCGCACGAGTCGCACTTGAGCGGCTTGTCGCCGCTGTGGATCATGAGGTGCAGCTTGAGCTTGTCCTTGCGGCTGAAACCGCGCGTGCACACCTCGCACTTGAACGGCAGGAAGCGCTCCTCGCGCGCGCCGTCCTCGTGGTCCTCGCGGTCCCCGTTGTCGTCCGCGTGCTCCGCCATGTGCGTCATGGCGTGGCGCTCCAACGAGGCGGCGTCCTCGAAGGTCACGTTGCACTCGGCGCACTCCAGCGTCTCCAGCGCCTCCAGCGGGGCGCCTCTGCCTCCGGCGTCCCCCGCGCCGCACGACCGCGCCGCCGCCTTGGACGCCGCCCTGGCCTTCGACGCAGACCTCAGCTTGGGCTGTCCAAGCACCTTGAGCTCCTCCTCGGTCTCCTCCAGTTTGACGATGGCTCTGATGTTGGGCGCACCGTCATCAACATGGCCATTTGTCTGAGAGAATAATTTTAGTATTACTTAAGTTCATTCAATTATAGTTAGAAAGGCAAACGAATTCATGAAAAAAGACAAATCTTGTCTTTTACTAAAGCTCCACTTACCAAAGTCTCTCCGGCAGTACTATTCTGGATAAGCTCAAATCGTTGGCTACAAGATGCGCAAAGATGTGGCGCATCCTTATCGTTTCCTCCACTGGGTTGATTTACAGGATTGGGAAGGTCGTCATTTGGTTTTCCACACAACAAGCAAGCAAGCCAGCCTACACCATCGGTGCCTTTGTCATCATCTTTGTCTTCATCCTCATCCAATGATGACGACTCTTCAGACTTGAAGGCAAACATCTGCCCACAGTTTGCTGCATTGCGACCAACTCCTGAGCTCAGAGATGGACTACAAGCTTCGTCTTCTCCTGTTATATTTCCAGGTCGTTCAGCCATCTAGTTCGGAGAAAGAAAATACATTATTTGGAGAAAATTGACAGACACAAGATATTAGCCGATAAATTGCAAATACATTACAACAGCCCAATTTAATGTGGGCTAAAGGCAGTCAAATCTAAATCATTAGTCAGTGCAATTTTACGCCCACTGTGTGAAAAGGGGTGTATAACTCTGAGAGATAACTGTCTACATAATAACATTCAGGCATTCAAAGTGTCTTCACCTGATTAAATCTCTCCGTGGTGCCCTGAACCATCGTGACACATCTGAATAGGAGTTACATTTCCAAATCGATCGTGATGCTGGAGAAACTGCTGGAGTTTCTCAACGTCCCTCGAATCCCTCCAAAAATTGTCAAAACAACAACACAGTTGCGAGGTTAGGGCTCAGCAGAAAGGCGGGGACGGCACGGAAACTGAGGTCGTGAGTCTTGGAATTTCTGAGCATTGATCACAGCTATCGATCATTTGATCGCACATGGAAATTTGAGTACTGCAGGCACTCCCAAAACCAACTCTTGACATTTGGTACCTGTTGACAAACACTCAAACATCGTCCCATCCCCTGTTGAAATTCCACCCTGTGAAAACCATGTTCGATTGGTGGAGATGCGACCGGAAGTACCGGAAGCGCAGCCACAGACGCGGCATTATTCAAACGTTCAAAACTTGTGGATGAAAATGTACGTCTTGCTTTAAATTATGAGCACAGGAACATTATCTAGGGACATAGAGGTAAAACGGCTATTTTATAAAATAATGTTTATTGAAGACACATGGATGACCTCATCATAACAAATCTTTGGCGTGATGTTTTATGTGAGGCAAGCACGAGCAAACCAATGTGAGGTTTCAATAAATTTCAACAAATCCCCAAGTGGTCACTTAATGTTACATAAGATCTCAGTCTATCAACTTGTTTGTTTTACAAACCACACATTAAATATTTCTTCCTAAAGTGGCGTTCTATCTCCACTGCTTCTTAGGCAGTTTGTGGAGCCAACACTCTTTCTGTCATCACATTGATCAATACATGAACTGAATAGAGAGATCTTCACAGCAGAAGCAAGCAAAAGCATGATAGAGAAGATGACATATTAGGGAGAGTTTGAGTTTCACAGTGTGATACAAGAAAGGGAAAACAGAAATAGGAAAGGGAAGTAAAACATGGGAACAGAACTCAAAAAAATATACCAAAACTGCTAAAAAAAGAAATATTAAAACAAGAGTCGTGCTGGCTGAATTTCTGGTGATTCTCCAAGATAAAATATACCCATCAGTCTCAAAGAGTTGGGCCAGAAATAAAAGCATACCTAAAATACTGCAGTTATGGTCAGCTATAAGCCTATGAGTAAGGGGCTGGTATGATGGTTAAGATTTCCTTCAGACCTAGCAACTAATACTAAAGCAAGAGCAATGCCTCCGCAAACCACGGTAAAAAAGATGCTGTACATGAAATTATAAAATACAGTACATACCAATGGAAACAGTGCTATGTACAAATTGCTCATCCTTTGAAAATAATGTATTCAAAGTTACTTGGTTCAGCAAGAATCACATGAATTATACCATGTTCTCTTGTCAATCAAACATGAAAGGAATGGTTCTTTGCTTTTACACACAAATACAATTTCAATTAATTTCCATCAGAGGATGTATGCCACTCCACTAAATGCACGCCTTCAAAGAATTCGAAACAATCATGAACATCTACAACGTATTAGTTTATTCACATCAGACCTCTCCCTATTGCCAATTTCTCAGCCCGGCAAATGGTAAAAATAAAATAAGACAATAATTAGTATACATATCTTTTCAGATTAATTGCATATCATCTCACAATCTACAGCAATCTGCCTGAATAAGTAATGTAATGGTACAGAAAGACTAGGACTTTATCAACTCATAATACTTTACAACTCACTTCATACCACAAAGAGAACAAACATTCACAAAAATCGACAAAACAATAGAGGGTTCAAATTAGTTGGATGGGGCCAAGGCGTTGTTTTATTAGAAATTATTAGCCCAGAATGTTTTTCAAACAATAAGAATCCTCCCAAATTTAACTGACACAGAAATTTCACCAGAAACATAATATATATCAGTGCTGCTATCTCAACACAACACAAAAAAGCAAACTTATCACAAAATTTGACTTTTTTTTTCTTTTACGATTAAAAACAAATCTCAGCGCTAGCATACATCACATCTAGGCCTGTGCTTAAAAGCCTTCCCTCAGCACCCCTCTATATGACAGTTTTTTTTCTGTTTTTTTTTTTTAACTGGTAGTGTTTACGATTAACTGTACAAAGAACAGCCTAAAAAGTAACATGAAATTTTTAATGCTGGTTCTACAGAAGCATAGAAAATAAAAAAATACAAGGTTTTATCTTTCTGAAGAGTCAACATGATTTTTTCCCCCATTCAGGATAGTCAACAGTACTTGTTACCACAGAAAATTTTGATATAGGTCCTTATAAATCAACAAAGAAATTTCCCCTAAAATTAATTATAACAAAAAAATGCTTATTTTAAAAAGGAAACACATCATCGAAACATGTAAAATTTGATGGTAAAAATTATCTTCATTGATGACAGAATTTATTTCTTTGCTAGTGCAAAGGCAAGGCCAACAACTCCAGCAATTCCCAAAACAATACCACCCGTTAATGCCACTCCAACAAGTCCCTCTGAAACAAAAATAAAAGTTTCAAAAACCACCTTTTATTGCAATCTACCAGCTACAAAGAAAGATTGTGACTGTCCATAAGTAAACAAACCTTTTTCCATGCGCCTCTTGATGACAACCTCTAAATCATGAACTTGGTGGTTGCCAGGTTCAATCTGAAGAAATCCTCGAACATATTGCAATGCTTTATTGTACTCCTGGAATGAAAATTGAAGAAAACTTAAACCTTGTTGAAATTGAACATTGAGTAAATCCAAAGCCAAATTTTCACATACATATTCAGAGCCTACAGCCTAGAGTTAACTTTTGTACACACCTTTATCCTTGCACTTCCAATGGCAAGATAATATAAATAGTCCCGCTTACTCTCCTCTTTATCCGTATGGAATAACTCTTCTAGAAGAATGAGACCTTTCCGAATGTCACCTGAGTACTTGCTGCGCACAAGGCACCAGGCGTACTCAAATTGGGCCTTTTGGGTAATATTTCCACTGTTCAGCTGTTCGTGGTAAACTTTTTCATATTTCTGAAAGCAGAAGGAAATGAAATGAAATGATTTAACATATTGGTCAAATAAATAAATAATAAACAGATAAATAATAATGCTGCATAAACAAATTAGATCCGACAATATTTTGGAGAAGCATCACATCTCCGGAAGTCTTGTAATAGAATTTAAACCAAAGCGCTGTTAGTGTGTTTCAACCATGCAAGCACTTAGAGTGTCAACATGTTGGATCAGGATCTTGGACTAAAATTAATATCAAGCGATTAAGACAGTACTAGACACGACAATGACATCATAACGCTTAAAATAAAAATACAGGCCAGAGCTTATAACAACTGTAGATATCATGGAAACTGCTCAAATGGAAACTGAATGCCTTGAGCAAGCAATACATTGAAACTTTTGATAATGTTATCATTTACAATCCAGCCTACACCAGGTGATTCATACTCTAACCTGAGTGAGCCAATCGAAACGTAATATGTGTCAATGGAAAAAATAACAGGGCATAAAACCACAATCACTCTGAAGGAATTAAATACCTTCAAATCTTCGGTGGGGACAACTTCGTCGAGTACTTCGTCCATGGTTCCTTTTTGCTGTAGGTATCTTTGAGAAGAATCTATGAATCAGAGAGCAAAGGGACGGGCAAGGCAGGGGGGGGGGGAAGGCAAGGGGCAGGGGGGACGGGGTGGAGAAGGGGGAGGACTGGAAGCATATCAGTATTGCGGTTTGGAATCTCTTTTAGAAGAGAGACTAGCTGTTGTTGTAAATTCTGGTGTATGAAAAACTAAAATATCAAAACAAAGATTGGAGAGATCTTGACCCAATTTTCCATTTACCATTTTAAAAAAATGCCCCCTGTGTAGAAATACATTTTAAAATTAAGAGATAATTGAGAGCAATGTTTATCCCTGATCTTTAGCTTCATTCAAGTCCTCGGTGACTCGGTGTTCACTCCGAGAGACAAATGTCTCATACCAACACCGAACTAACGCTAGGCCGAGCGGCCTTTTTGAATGGCGGCCGAGTGTCGGGGAGTGTGTTAAGTTTTCATAAAAGTTCAAAATAGAGAAAATTGGGCCCAGAATCCTCGCAAACACATCTACGAAGAATGGCTGGAGCCAACAAACTGGATGCTGAGTGTAACGCCAGATTAGCTGGGGCTGATGTCAAACACTATGTTGTATGGCTAGTTCACGGATTAAGTTAGCAGATTTGATGCAGTCAGGCCAAAGGCAATCAGCAAAAGCTAAAGAGATTGATCATCATGTGCTGGTTAAAATCAATTGATCTTACCCAAAAAACCACAATTTCAACTAGTTCAAGATTCAGAAGAGTTTTTATTCTCACTTGATACTTGTGAGGCAATGGGGTAACTGGTACACAATGCACATATGCTTAAGTGCAGACGTACTGCAATAACTGCAGATTAACCTGCACAACATCTCATAAATATTTGACCTACTCTCTAAAATGTACAAAACATAAATAACTTGCCTACAATCTCATTACAAAAAATATAACTTTCTCACACATAAATATTTCTATACAGAGGAATTGAGTAGGATGTAAAAGAGTCACTAACCCTTTCAAAACAAAATAATTCCATCATTAATTAAACCTAACAAAACCTAATGGAAGATATTAACAGTACTAACAATTCATTTAATTAACAAAAGGGTATACTTGGTTGAGCATTATTATCAAAATAAAATTTCAACAGTACGGAAGCACTTAAAGCAATCTAGGCTTATGTTCAAATGAACCCGATGTCTAATAGACAAAACAGGATAGAGAGGAACCAAAAGTTGAGTTAGAAAAAAGGCTGCTATGTCAGAGACTTCTGTAGGGATGACCCAACTGCTTCCACTCAAACATCACTCATCCCCTGATAACAGGAATAATTACAATGTTGAATTTTAAACATATTCTCTTAACAATAACATTGGCTTGAAAAACATGAACTAAGGCACCAAATTTTGAGCAGTAGACATATGTTTGTGCTTGGTCCTACGGTACATTACAAACAGAGTTTAACTAGCTCCGTGGAAGGCACATCTTGCTTGCATTCACATGACAAAAAAATTGCATGAGAAACGAAGTGACAGCTACGCTAAATAGTGGGTTTTAATGTAAATGTATACAGGATTTCTTGATCACAGTATAAAAAATTTCAAATATTTAGGAAATAAAGTATATCAGTTCCAAGTTGAGTTCAAATATATCTTAAGTCTTAAGGAAGTGAGAGGCCTCTATGGAGTTCATGTCGAGCTTCTTGAGTCAATGAAAATGTTGCAAACTTCCACTGGAACTGAACACAAACTTATCCACCACATGAAGTACATTATTTAACCTATTGAGTATTACCCTCATACATGTTTTCACACTTTTCAAGTAATCTTAGCACAGGACCAATGTTATATGGAAATAGGTCCTTTGAGACAAGACGATCTATTGCTAGTCTAAGTCTAATTAGGACGGTCATAACATCATCCAGTTCTCCCCCACATTCATGAATAAACTCTTCCCAATTTCTACGAACGAATTTCAAAGTTCGGAGTAAATATAGAAGAAAACACGTCTCATTTGAGACCAATAAATCAAGAAGGACGTCTGGTTCATGAGAGACAGCACGAACAAACTGAATAAAAGTGGCAGCAGGACTTAAAACGCGTCTTAACGTTGTGTCAGTTTGAGCCACTGAGTCCCTGTAAACCAAACCAACTGCAGTATCCAGGCAACAGACCTAAAAAAGAGGGGAAGAAATTTAGTACATGCTCAACTCAAAACTAAGAATCATTTGTAAAGAATCTCTAGCTCACATGACAACTTACCATACTTTCAATGAGAGCATCATCCTGGTCAGCAAATAATTGCACCACCCACTGAGCTACAGGAGTTTCTGGATGGAAGGGCACTAAAGCCTTGACACATTGATCCAATTTTCGGAGGACTTCACGAATGCTGCGTTCAATGAGAGCCATGTCAGCATCAGCTTCATCTGCGTCGGAGCTCAGTGAACTGTCACTTGAATCACAACGAGTTTCTTTCACTGTCACAGCTACAGCTTTCAAAACAAGAAGCACCATCTTTTTCAGTAGTGGTTTGTCTCCATCACCAACACCTCCACCAAAGCGGCCCGATCCTCCACGATATGGCAGCCCGTCCAGCAGGCGCGAATCTTTCACCCCTCGCACCACAAGATGTGCCAGCGCACACGGCTCTTCTGCCAGCACATCCTGTAATGCGAGGGTGCTCCCATAACACAGGACCTCGTTGAGAAGATTTAAAATAGATTTCCAAACTACAGGGGGAACACTTGGAGCTAGTAGTGTCACTACATTATCCAGGTGAGCATAAAATGGCTTAGTGTCAGCCACAGAAAGGTTTGCTTTCACAGATATGAGAGCTTCCCAGAGCTCTAGAAAAGTCACCACAGTTGCTTCATGTTCAGAAGTATAGGTGGACACAAGGGAATCAAATTTAGTGACAAGGGCAGGCCATTTTGCCTCCAAAACTTTAACACACACACTTTTGACCTGACTACAATCAGCTTCTGGGTCTGTCATCAATACATTGCAGGATTCCGGAGGTTTGTCTTCTGCGCCACCCCTTTCTTCAAGAACATGTCCATCATTTTCTTTATACTCAACAATTCTCCGTATCACATCCAAAGAAAAACACATCTGTCGTGGCTGTGTGGTTGACAGGGCATTTTCTGCAAGGTTTTGAAGCCAGTATGGATCAACATTTGATTTGGACACTAACAGGAATCCTGATAATGCACGACTTGCAGCAAAACAAACAAAGCGGTCAGAGTGAGATGACAGCTCCACAAGTCTGTCAATCAAACCGTGCTCATTCCTGGTCAAGGCTTCAACCACATCCCCAATTCTAGCACATACAAACCCTCGTGACGTTTGCTTCATGGCTATTTCACAGAGTAATTGAATTGAGCCAACAAATTGAAGGATACGGTCACGAGTCCAGGATGTATCAGATGGTTTGTCTCTAAATGGCCGCCGCAGGCTGCTTTCAGACATACAGCATAGACATTGATTCAGGAGATTTTGTTGAAATTCCATAAGGTCGTGAGATGCCGATTCTTCTTCCTCCGCTTCATCTTTGCCTGCCACTCTCAGTCTCTTTTTGACAGGTTCAGCCATGCTTAAGAGCGGAGATACCGCCTTCCCCTTTCCAAGAACCATTCCATTAGGACAGCCACAGCAGGTAAATAAATTTAAATATCAAATCCAAGGACTTCTGCGACTCGATGTCGAGTCGTAGTACAAGGTTTCTTGGTGCAGCCATCTGTGGTGTGAATCAATCATTTCAAATTCACAAATCTTCATGTCATCTGACACCCATCTTTTTTAGGAGCAAAGTCTGGAAACAAAAGAAAATACAAACATTAGATCTACGTTTGGTGAAAGAATCTGAGGTTAGGTGACATGGTTTCAAAATTATTTGAACAGAAACAAAAGGGCTTCATAGGAAAGTGCATGAGGGCTCATTCATTAAAAACCAAAACTATGGCTCAACAAATAATCAAAAATTTCACTTTGATACAAAACCTATAACTATTAACCCATAATTTTAGGTTTGAAAAAAAAAAAAAAACAGAATAAAACTTTAACAGGACCCATGGAAGTGCTTAAAATTAGACTGTGATATCAGATACAAAACAGTAAAACTTCATAACTAGGTATCAAATAGAGGAATGGAAAACAACAAATTCTGGATAATTGCCTGTACCCTAGCCTATAACATAATGAGAGTGAGTAAACACAAATGATAGGCTAGAGGTAAACCTAGTTAGTGTACCTGCAATGCTGGGTAATCGATAAAGTTTCTCGTCGGTTTTCGTTTAAACCAAGAGACAGAAGATTTAAATAGAGCTGATATATCCATCAACCATCTTGAGTGAAACGACCACTTCGTCAGTAGACAGCCGCCGTCGGAGATTATCCTTTCGTGCAGCACAATTGAAGTTTCACCGGCGGTAGCACGGTCACAAGGTCCAGACCAAAACGTGCTCTCAACTATGCAAAGAGCAGCGCCCACATGTAAGAATTTGGCACAAATTCACTAGCATAAACACAAAAATTTGTTGTGCTTCGGTCGGAGGTCTTCAACGCCTAAAAGTACAGTGATGCCAAACTGCCCAACAAGGTACGGTACCAGTACCAACCCGTTTCAGGAAATTCATTTAAGAATGGCTGGGACTAAGTTTGTTTCTGTATGAACCAAATCAAAGCAATTAGATGAAGTGACGCATGCTCTGTTTTTTCAGGTGTCCTCAATTTAAAGTAGGATAAATCTGAGTAATTTCTGAGGCGGGGGCCTTGAAGGAGCGGTGGCACCCACGCACCCTTCCTCCTCCCCCTCCCCCCCCCCCGCAGCCTCTTACGGCTTTTACGCCCCTCTCCTCCTCCTCTCTCTACCCTCCTCCTCCCCCTCCCCGCACTGTAAATGAAAGGTAGGCAATCCTAGGCAATCCCGGCCCAGGCAGGCGCAATCAATGGATTGGCGGTTCAACCACGCAAAGGAGATGAAGCTGAAACGTGCAGTCAAACTAAAGTGTCTGAATAGCAGGCTCTGAAATATTCTGGTAATTTGATGCGAATGACCTGGAGGACTCCAGATACCCTTCAAGCTCGCCTCCAAAATTGAAAATTTTACGACCAGCAGCCGGTGCTGAACGATGCTGCGAGTATGAATCGAAGTGAACGAAAACGAAACCGCTGTCGCCTTGTCCCTTGTCGTTCCCTCCTGCAGCCCACAATGGCTGCAATCTGGCAACACAGCATGCGTATAGGATGCGTACTATGCAGCTACTGCAACGCGACTGCGCTACAACCGCTACAGCAGTAGAAACAGTGGATGCCAGATAGGTGTGGCAGCCATATTGTGAAGTGATTCAGGGGTCAGATTATCGGCGAACGTTTGTGAGGATGGAAACGAAAGTAAACAAGATAAATGCGATTTGAAAACAAAGACCTTTCGGTACGCACCTGCCCTCAATGCTCTATAACCTTGTTAACGCAGATATCTAGTATTAAGGAGAATGTGGCTATGAATGATCCTCGAAAGTTCGCTGAGGTTAAACTTTTCTGTTCAACATTTAATCTTTAAAAGAACTGCTTGGCTTCCCTCTAGTCAAATACCTGTCGTAGCGCACCCTTGTATTTATGTACCATCAACACATCTGTGTGCTTCCTTGGAAGGTAGAGTGCTTTGATGCTTGCATTGATTTGGGGTCAATTTTGTAAAATGGGTAGCATTGACCTTTTAACCAGTACCCATAACTTTCTCAATATTGCTCGCGAACATCTATTTTGTGGATTCTTTGTCGCTGAATTCTGCTGTCAGGTTAAACTTAAGCGTACATTCAATTAATAATTTGCTACACTGGAAGTATGTTCAATTTCTTCCTGTAGATGCGTGTTATTTCTGCAGCTCCCATGCAGAGATTATCTTGGAAAATATCTTCTGCCCCATACACTGTCAGCCTTACATGTTTCTCATTCTGATACTGGCCTGAGCACCATCTGTACTGTATCTTCGGTTGCTGTTGCCTGTCCAGTTATGGAAGTTCTCCTTCAATTGCAGCAATGACTCCAGGAATCTCAATGGGTGGATTGTATGCTCACCAGTGGTGAGGAAATTGGAATGTGGTAGTGTTTTAGAACCGTCCCCATGTCGGAGACGGCCTTAAAACTGTCCACTCTCCAGGATTCTGGCGGAGATGGCAGCACAGGCAAGTTCACTCCACATTGCTGTCGTGTTTGTAGTAGTGATGTATTACATTCTTCCTAATTTTAAAATTTTTATTATAGGAGACAGGCGTTTACGTCAATTGGAGTCCCTATTTTTGGGAGGACCGATTCAGGGTCAGGGACAGTGCTTCAGTATTGAGACATTGTTGGACATCTTACTGGTATTATACGATGAGTGTTGCAATTCCTCTTTACGGAGGGAGAAGACTGTTTCAGAATTTATAGAATTTGGTAAGTTTCCAGTTAATTTCTTTGCAAGCTGTGATTTTACACATTAACCTCATTGTTCTATACTTTCCTTAAATGTTGGCTGTAAGTTGACCCTCAAATTTTCTTTTGCTTCTATAGTTAAGCCAATTGCAAGCAATATAAAATCCTTACGTTTGTCACGAGAAGATTTTGAGATTGTTAAAGTAATTGGCAGAGGAGCCTTTGGTGAAGTATGTGTAGTCAAATTGAAAGGTAGTGACAAAGTTTATGCCATGAAGATACTGAACAAATGGGAGATGTTGAAGAGAGCTGAAACTGCTTGTTTCCAAGAAGAACGAGATGTGTTAGTTTATGGAGACCGGCGCTGGATTACTAATTTGCATTATGCCTTCCAAGATGAGAGTAACCTGGTAAGACTTCCATCTCATGAATCAAGAACTTCTGTCTCTTTCCTGTTATGTGTGTAAGGCTAATGTTAACAATTATTATCTTCCCCTTTCAGTATTTAGTGATGGACTATTACTGTGGAGGGGATTTATTGACACTCCTAAGTAAATTTGAAGACAGACTTCCCGAAGACATGGCCAGATTTTACATAGCTGAAATGATTTTAGCAATTGGTTCTATCCATGATTTGCGCTATGTGCATCGAGATATAAAACCCGACAATGTTCTGCTGTGCGCCAATGGACATATCAGGCTTGCTGACTTTGGATCCTGTTTAAAGCTATCCCCAGATGGAACAGTTCAAAGCAATGTTGCTGTTGGCACACCTGACTACATTTCTCCTGAAATCTTACGTGTATGTTTCCATTTACTTTCTTTCTTTCATGCATAAGAAAATCAATATATGTTATCGATTGTTTTAATGTTGTTCCTTTACAGGCGATGGAAGATGGTCAAGGAAGGTATGGGCCAGAGTGTGACTGGTGGTCTCTGGGAGTCTGCATGTATGAAATGTTATATGGAGAAACACCTTTTTATGCAGAATCCCTTGTAGAAACGTATGGAAAAATTATGAACCACAAGGTTAGTAGACTCTAGATGTTTATAGAATGCATCATAGTACTTTTTGATTGCTTTTATTAATTGATTGTTTTCATTTGAAACCAGAACTGTTTTGATTTTCCGTGTGATGTTGGATATGAAGTATCGGCTGAAGCCAAAGATCTTATGAAGAGACTGATTTGTAGTTCAGAGTTAAGGCTGGGACAAAATGGAATTGATGACTTTAAAGTAAGTATATTTTGTTTACCTTGTAGCCTTGTAAGGATGTGGCATATTTCATCACATTGTCCTTTAAATATGTTTCTTCCATTCAGAACCATGCTTGGTTTGTTGGGGTGGATTGGTTAAATCTTCGAGACACAACAGCACCTTATATCCCAGAAGTCAGTAGTCCAACTGACACATCTAACTTCGATGTGGATGAAGCAGACACTCGAAGCTCTGATGCTGTCCCTCCCACAGCATCAAATCCTGCATTTTCGGCTCTCCATTTGCCTTTTGTTGGGTTCACATTCACGTCAGGAAGGTAAATTCATGCCTTGAGGCATGCAGATGGTATAGTTTAGAATGACTGCTAATTTTTTGTTTCATGTTTGCAGTTGTATCTCTGACTTGGGTAGTGTTCCCAGCAATACAACTGTGATAACTCGACGCATCAAACAGTTAGAAGAGGAAAATCAAACTCTAAAAAGAAACCTGCTTGGTAATGTGGTTTATTTTTCAATCAATTTTTCGTAGGGTATACTTTTTTTAGCTTATTATAAAGTTTCTTTTCTTTTATTCTAGATGCCAAGGAAAACAATTTGGTTCACTACCCTAATGATTTGTCATCTAATGAAGAAACTAAGAGGTTATCTCCCACAACAGAAACTGCTAATGGTACTCGACGCCTCCAAGATGAAATTAACACACTCACCAAAAGGAATTGTGGTAATTAATCTTGTCTTTGGACTGTCTGTATCTTACATCTTGATACATATAATTTGATTAAAATATTTTCATGTATTGCAGAGCTTGAAAATCAATTAAAAGTACTTGAACAACTTCAGAACCAGGGTCCAGACCTCAAAATTCTTTCTATGGAAGGAGAGTCAAGCTCTAGGGTACGAGAATTGGAAAAAATGGTTCGAATGCTTCAGCAAGACAGAGATGAGGCGCTGAAGGTATCTCATTCTTTTTCTCCTTAAAAATGTTTCTATGGTCGGTCAGGTTGGACTGGGGTTAACAATAATAATTTGGTTTCTCAGGATAAGGCTGATGTCCATGAAAAAATTAAAAGTCAAGAAAAAGAATTGAAAGAAGCTCTCACTCAAAGAAAACTGGCTATGGATGAATACACTGAAGTGTCTGACAAGTAAGTATTAATTTTATTACTGTCTTTTTAGTGACATCTTGATGCAGTGCAATAACAAGTCTTGATTTCCATCAATTCAGGTTGTCAGAGCTTCGACAACAGAAACAAAAGCTTTCAAGGCAGGTGCGGGACAAAGAAGAAGAACTAGAGGTTGTCATGTCAAAGGTGGACGCCTTGAGAAATGACATTAGAAAAGCAGAAAAACTTCGCAGAGAACTGGAAGCTAGAGTAGATGAAGCTATTGCTGAGGCTACAAAGGAACGGAAGCTGAGGGAGAGAAGCGAGGAGTACTGTCGACAGGTTGAAGCTGAAACTGAACAGCGCATGCGATCACGTGCTGACAGTACTAGCAGTTCTGCAGCTGTTCATGCAAGTCAAGAAATTGCAAGGTACATATTCAATTATCCAGGATCCTCAATGACTGTGGCAACTGCAAAATTGGGCCGCCCGGATCTCTACCGGGGATGGTCCATCCAGTTTGCTGTTACCTTCCATTTTGTTGCTTTTCATTTTACGGTGACTGTGCTCTTATCTGAACCTGTTTCTTTTTCTAGACTTAAAGCTGAAGTTGAGAAAATTGAAGTTCAATACAATGAAGATATGAACCAGCAGCAGGCCCGCTATAATATGGAGATGTGCAGTCTACGAGATCAATTACAAGAATCTGAAAACACACGGGAAGCTCTTGAAAGAGAGGTAATTGTTTTCATTTTTATTGCCAGAACTAGATTTCTTGTGACAGCCAACTACTCTGTTGACCCATCTGTAGGAGTATTTTATGGAATCCATAGCACACTTTTTCCAACATTAGACTTTAGAAAATAAAAATAAAATTTCCTTTCCTTTTTACTGTATGTTTTTTGTAACTCTAGTTTTTTAAAGCATACAGTTTATTTACTTATCTTTATTTTCTTTGAGTAATCCAATTTTAGACAAGTATTGTATTTGTTATTAAATTAATTGAACTATCACAGGTGGCTGTGTTCAAGGAACGGTTAGATTCTATTCGTCTTGAAAGTGTAGCAGATAGTGAAGAAGCTGTTGCTGAGCTAAGTAGAAGGCATGATAGGGATAAGGCAATGCTACTTGATGAAAATAAGAAACTTATGATTGAAATGGAATCGGTAAGAACTTTGCAGGTTGAGAGCATATGGTGTTTATAGACTTGGAGACTCATGTTTCTTTTTTTTTTCATAGGCTCGAGATGCTTTGGCACGAATGCAAGCTGAACGAAGACAACTTGAAAATGATTATGAAGATTTGCGCACTAAGAAGGATGCAATAGCACAATGGGAAGCCCAAATCACAGAAATCATTCAATGGTATTGTCATGTTACTGTACCTCCTTAATGGTGATTGCATTATAGAAATCAGCATGTCCTAAAGTTGGTGTTCCTTTTCTTGTGCAGGGTCAGTGATGAAAAGGATGCAAGAGGTTATTTACAGGCCTTAGCCACCAAAATGACAGAAGAGCTGGAGTACTTGAAACATTCTGGTGTTGGCAACACTCCTGCAGCTGTAAGACATTGCAAGCAAAGCTATAGAATTTGCCTATTTAGATTCATGTCATGTAATAATAATAACACTCTATTGTACCAGGATAAGAACTGGAGAAACAGGCGCAGCCAGAAGCTGGATAAAATGGAACTCCTTAATCTTCAAAGCAGTTTACAGTCAGAAATTCAAGCAAAGCAAGCGATCAGCGAAGAACTTAGCAAAACACGCTCAGAACTAATAGCAGCTCAAAAGTATGGGTGTATCTTTATTCTCATCAGAAAACACGTTAAGAATTTCGCTGTTTGTTTTATTTAAAATGTGGTGTCATGCTTTATTTATAGGGAATTACGAGATGTTCGTCAAAGGTTAGATAACCTTTCGCATGACGTTAAGCGTAAAGAATCTCAGGTGAAAGAACTGCAATCACGTTTGGACTCTGGAGAAGGATGTAAGTAAAAGTACCATCTTAAGCTCATCAAAGTAATTCCTAGTTTAGTTTATCATTCTCAATATTGAGAAATATACTAATGATCTAGGACACATTTAAAAAGCTCTACGAGTTTCGGCAAATCTAGGTAAAATTATGTTTATGATACAGCCTTTACTGTATGTTTGAGGTGATTGAGAAGGGGAGAGAGAAAGAAAGCCAGAGTCCATATGACAGTTAGGAAATTTGTTAAGGAAAAATTTATGCAAGTTCTTCAAAGCTTGCCATAGTTTTCTGATAATATTGCGTTTTGATTGCAGCTGCTCACTCACCATTTCTTAGAAGTGGAAACCATGGTGAATCTACTCATAACTTCATTTTTCCAACCTGTATTTCCCCCATTTTTAAGTTAATTATCTTGTGCAATTTTATCGTATCTGCTTTCTTCTTCCTTTTAAGACCTGTATGAAAATTAGCTTCCAACATAGTTAAATTGTTCTGATGCCGCCATCTTTCTTTCTGTATTTTGTTCCTCTTACATTTTTTCTTCTTCCTCTCTTCTCCCAAAACTATTATTCTCTGACGTACATTCATCTCTCTTCCTTCCATTTACACCTCTTTTGGTTCATATCATCGTCTTGTAAACTTCATCATAGAATTGAAATTACCATATGTAATAGCGTACCATGTTTTATTTTGTGCAAACTCAATACCCTAACCAGTTGGGCCTCTTCCTGTTGAAAAGAACATTGCTTTTCAGAAGTCAGGCCAAGCTCTGTGACAAGATATTTTGATCTTATGAGCAGAATTTTGGGACTTACCAGTAATACATCTTTGGCTAGTAAATCAGAGTTTTCATATCGTAGCATTATTTCATATATTATCAGTCTTGTCAGTACAAAGCATCTCATGTGCTGGTTATTGTATTTAGCTAACTATGAATTTCTCTCTCCCATTTTACTTTCTTTTTTTTTTTTTAAACTGTTTTAGCAAATTTTATTTATGCAAATATAAGCTGCTAGTCATTATTTTATTTTGTGATGAGAACAAGAGGTGGCACATTTGTTGGCTTACTTTGAATTTGGTAATAATGTGACATTCGTCTCATTCATTTGATCAGTAATAAGCAGTTCTATCATTCATCATGTCATCAACCAATATCATTTTTCTTTATTTTAATCCAGTTTGAGGAAGTTAGTATCATGTAGAATTTTTTTCTGCATCCTCCGTTGCTTGCTTTTATATGGACATTGAGTATGTGTAAAATTTTGCCAGGAAATTTTTATTGTTTACTTCTATAGAATTTGGGTCCCCATTGGTTTTTATTTGAAACTTTTGAATTACAACTCAAGAAACCATGGGTGGTTGTTGCCTCATAATGTCACATTGGTAGACCGATATGCTATCTATGAATTTTGTGGAGGCCCCATACTTTATATCTTGGTTTTCTTTGTCCTTTGCTCAATTTTTTTTTGAGTGGTTTTTTAATTATTCAGAACACAACTACTTCTACTTTCCATACACATCTGTCCTTTTTTTTCTTATGTCTTAATCCTCTTACCTGCTAGCTGCAGTTTATATTTGTATAAATTTGACGTGTCTCTTTTTGAATATGTCAGGCCTTCAGTAGATGTCTCACCATGGCATGGGCTAAGGGTCATAATAGGTTGTGGTGACATTCTTTTTTTTTCTTTCTCTTTTTTCCATCGTGTCTGTGTAGACAAAGTTCCTCTGTTTATCGGTGTGACAACCTGCATTTGGGGCATTATCTTGCTCCTCATGCGAATGTATTTGTGACTGTTGGGGTCCATGTCCCCTCTTACTCCATTCTGCATCGCCAGGGTTTCTGGTAATGTACGCTGCCCAATGTCCGATGCCCGCTGCCTCAAATACCTGCTCGCATTTCCTAGGCTAATAGGCTAATACCTTTCATGTGCAATCATTGTACTATTTTGTATTTAAAAAAAGAAATTGATTTTGAATAGCTTGTGTTTGGTGAAGGAATGGAGGAGCAACAATGCTTTGGGTCACATAATTGAGCTGATTTAATTTTGAATGGTTTACATGAACATACTTACACCCTGAAAGTAGAGTATACAAGCTGTGTTATGCAGGCTGCTCCCATCTATTTCCGCTGTTTCTTTCCTTCATATGGTGTAATAATTTTATGCCTGATGGATTCTACGTTTAGAGAAACAATCTTCGATTTCTATCCTTGTCAGTATATTGACTCAAATAAGTTTGATTACTGATAGCAGAAGACAAAATTGGGACATGGTCCTGCATCATGTATTTGCATTGCCCTGTGGCCTTTTCTTATTTTTATAGCACAATAGTCCCCAAACTAGGTCAGCCCATTAGCTGTTAGCCTGATGTGACTGATTCCTGCTCTTGCTCTGCTCGCTTTGGAACCTCTGTTTTATGCATTTGTCCTTGAGTTTGTTGGACATGCCCAATCAAACGTTTTGAATGCTTTCAAGGAATTTTAGCAGTCATTTTGCTCTTTGTAAATTATGTGTGAATTTCAACATTATTATGCTGTTTCTTAACCCTGTTTTACAATTGTCCCACTTCCAAGGGTGTATCTACTGCTTAGAACTTCCTTACTAAACAAGGTTTAGAAGTCAGTGCGGGTTTCTAACGATTTCAAGCTTCTGATGTGCTTTACCTTACCACTTCCATATTTGGCGGTTTCAATTGTGTCTTTCACTCAAATGTAGTGTCATTGAACATATGTTAGGTGCACATCCAATAAGTTCAAAAACAGGCATTGCTTGTCTTTTTTATTTTATCTCATCTAACATTTTATGTAAGCAGAGCAATGGCATTGAGAAGTCATTTCCACTCCCTGTTATAAGTGTGTTGGTTTCTGTGTGTTTGATAATTTTTAGTTCCTCTAGCCCGTATTGTGCTTGTGTGACCTTTGAAATCCTTATTCTGATTGAGAATGGCTTTCTTTTCCCAAAAAGATGGCTCTATTACAGACATTATTTCCTATGTTGTAATGCTATAATTTTCTTCCCTTTTCTGTTGTGTATAGTTTCTTTTCTTCTTTTTCAGTCTTGGAAAGACCCTCATCCCAGATGTCCTATTTGGATCATTTTTTGAAAGAATCATCTGTAAGACATGGGGGATCTGTTGAAAGCGAAGAGGGTGACATTGAGGATAATCGTGCTCCGTCAGTCTCAAGTAGCAAGTCCAACCTTTCGGAGCTAAGCATAGTAAGTACTCGAAGAAATACTTTCTAATTAGCTATTGTCTTCTGTAGTACATCTTCACAAAAATTTTATGTTTCCTCTCCTATGCACACCAAAAATGCACAATTATTTTGGACTTCGGCTGTTTCACATTTATGTAGTACCTATGTTATTTTGTGTCTATTTTTATGGCTTGGTTGGAAACTTTCTTTCTGTTTCTTTTCCTTTTTGCATGAGTCTGGGAAACCATTAGTTTCAAAATGTAAGGAACCATATTCAGACTTTGTTAATGTTTTGCTGCTTAAATCCCTGGTCGTGACTGAAATTGTGTACAATTTCTAGTCTATGTGCTCAAACTATTCTTATTGTACCTGTTTGACTTTCATTTCTAATTTAATTGTATAGTCCCAAATGAAGTTCAAAGTGCACATTGAATCCACTCATTAAAACTATCCATATTTTCATTTCATTGCTCATAGGAACATTGCCAATGCTTAATTCATGTGGGTTCAGATTGTCATTTTGTGTGATATGTTTTATTATTATCCTGAGTGGGATTGTTGTAGTCACTACTAGTCAATTCTTCTACTGTAAAGCTACAGTTACCTGCCAAAAATTAGTTGTACTTAGTTATAAGTAGGTTCAAAATTTAGATTTGTGTGGTCCTTTGCTAGTCACTCTTGTGTTTGTGGTTCGTTAGAGTATTATGGGCTTGGGTTGCATGTGAGCTTTTGTGAGGCATGAGTGCATGAGTTGAAAAGTTACCATTGTCATATGTAGAGTATGTCTCTGTTCCTTCAAAGTCTATCTATTTGAGCATGTTCAACCTGTAAGCACACACCTACATATATATATGTCTGCATAGATATTTTGAAATAAAGGGCATTTTCAAAATATTGAGCTGGAGCATGATTTGCTTGCTTATTTAGTTCTTCCCCTTCCCTACTGGCTTCAATGTATCCCCCATTTTTAAAATTGTATAAAATACATGTTTCCAATAATCTTCCAAAACTAAGATTAAGTTTCAAACTTTGATTTGTAAGATTGTTTCATTAAATTTCATCTTGAATTTTCAAGATGTGGTCATTGCACATATTCTGTGCGGCATGTTCTGGATGCATCCCTGGTATTCCTGCAAGTGCTGATAAGATAAGGTCTTGCGGCATGGCCAAAAGTATGTCAAGAAAACAAAAGTTAAAAGCAGTTCCAGCTGTGTTGGGTACATCATTTAATTCACGTCTCTAAACTAGTATTAGTTCTAAAAGTACTTCTGGTTCAATACTATAGTGCTTTCTATCATAGCATCAATGGACAAGTTAGAAGTAATGATGCATAATATAAGTGATAGTAGTTCTGGTTGTCCTTTCTTGTACAGTATCAACATAAAGGTGTGTATAGTAATGTTAAGATTTCCTAGCTTCCCTGTTCAAGACAAACATCTTCAGCTTCTGCTCTCCATTCCTCTTTTCACTTTGCTCTTATGATTAAAGTAAGCTTTCTTTCAATAGTTGTGCTTTCTATTTAATGCAGCAACTTTTGTGTGGAATTGGAAACTTTATTGCATGGTCCTTAAAACTGTGCTTTAGTGCAGATTTTTAAAAAAACTATATTCTTGTCCAAATGCACTTAATTTACTCTGTCTGTTGCAGGATCCTGGCTCTCCATTAGGGCTAGATTTGAATCTCAGTATGGGCCACCACAGTGGAGGCAAGCTTCCCCCACATCTTGTTCCTCACCACATGAACATAACGGCTATGAAACCCAAGTCGCACCAATTTCTTGTGCGTACATTTAGCTCACCAACCAAATGTAATCACTGCACATCACTCATGGTGGGCTTGACAAGACAGGGCGTTGTCTGTGAAGTTTGTGGCTTTGCTTGTCACATGTCCTGTTGTGACAAAGTACCAGCTGTCTGTCCTGTACCTCCTGATCAAAGTAAGTTACATTAATTGTGTATGTAAATGTGCTGTTTATTAAAGCTTCTCTTTTTTTTTTCAAATAATTTCATGATAAATTTTTTAAAATAATTTTTTAGCTAAGAGACCTTTGGGCATTGACCCTACAAGAGGCATCGGAACAGCTTACGAGGGCTATGTCAAAGTTCCAAAGACAGGTGGAGTTAAAAAGGGTTGGATCAGACAATTTGTGGTTGTGTGTGACTTCAAGTTGTTTTTGTATGACATATCACCGGACCGAAATGCTCTACCATCAGTTTATGTATCACAAGTGTTAGACATGAGGGATGAGGACTTTGCTGTCAGCTCAGTTCGTGAATCTGATGTCATACATGCTACCAAAAAAGATATACCATGCATATTTAGGGTAAGGATTTTTAAAATGAAATTTGGTGCCTTGATTATGTGTTATTTATGATGTTCTAATTGTTATTGTTTTCTTTGCTTTGTTTGAAAAGATTACTACATCCTTGATGGATCCACCATGGTTAAAGAACCATACTTTAATGTTAGCGGATACAGAGAGTGAAAAGACCAAGTGGGTTGTTGCGTTAAGTGAGTTGCATCGCATCCTCAAACGCAACAATTTACCAAACACCACTGTAAGTTTTGTGTTAGAAGGCAGTTAATTTTTTTACTGAAATCGTGAATAGATTTTATTAATTTTTCAAATTTTGTTTGCAGATATTCCGGGCAAAAGAATTGCTGGATAACACTCTAGCCTTCATTAAAAATGCAATGTCAGGTGCAATTATTGACCCAGATCGTCTAGTCATAGGAACAGAAGAGGGGTTGTTCTGCTTGGATTTGGATCGTAATGGTAAGTTGGTTTTGCTATTTTGAGATGAAAGAAAAGCTGTTGTGGTTTTGGTTTACTGAATTGTTTGGTCTTGCTTGTCGCAGAAATGGCTCGTGTTGGAGAAGGAAAGAAAGTATATCAGTTGGAATATGTGCCAGAAGAGCAACTTCTGGTGGTGTTGTCTGGGAAGCAGCGTCATGTTCGCCTCATTCCTGTACGTGCTTTGGATGGAGATGATGTTGAATGGATAAAAGTTGCAGAAACTAAGGGTTGCCTGACATTTGCGACTGGTGTGATGTCACGGACTCCCCAACTTTCTTACTGTTTGTGTGTGGCCATCAAAAGACAGGTATGTTGCTAAGATTTCATCTGACCGATATTATATTTAACAAGCCTCTCAATCATTCTCATCTGAATTTTTTCGATTTCAGAATTCATCTCAAGTAATAATTTATGAAATAACCAGAACTAAAACCCGTCACAAACGTTTGAGAGAGGTCATGCTTCCAACAACAGCTCAGTCTCTGAACATAATGAGCGAAGGCCGACTTTGCATTGGTTATCAGTCTGGATTCAGCGTTTATAGCATTGCTGGAGATCATCATGCTATTTCTTTAGTCCATCCTGACAATCAGCTGTTAGGATTCCTGGCCTACAGTGCAGTGGATGCAATGCGATGTGTGGAGTTGTCTCGAGGGGAATTCCTTCTTGTATTCCAGACTTTGGGTCTATATGTCGATGCGCAAGGTCGCAAGTCGCGTGATCGCGAGATCATGTACCCTGCTATTCCTCTGTTTGTGAGCCATTGTGATGGGCACCTGCTGGTCTATACTGAAACCCATATTGATGTATTCAATGCTGCTTCAGGAGAGTGGGTTCAAACAGTAAATGTGAAGCGAGCTCGCCCGCTTAATTCATCTGGTTCACTTAGTATGTGTGTGATCAATGACATGCCACACATCATCTACATTTGCAATGTACATCAAAGAGAGCAAATCAATGTCACTGGAGTTGATGCGTCAGGCAGGGTCATTCCTCGACCTCGTCGAAGGTTTTCCATGAGGGAAGGACACCGCACAGCGCGAGCTCCAGATCGTCGATCAAAAATGATATCTGCACCGACTAATTTCAATCACATAAGTCATATGGGTCCTGGTGATGGAATACAAATACAACGACTGCTAGATCTTCCAACTACCCTAGAAACAGCAGATCAAAGGGTAACCGTCTATCTTTTTGACTTTAAACCATTTCTAAGCTTGAATTTACATTTATAAATTGTGGTGAATTTACTTGTTTCAGGGTTTCCATAGTGGAGCATCAAGTTCATCAAAAATGTCTGCCACACCTCCACGGCATGCCCCTCATCCACCCCCCCATCAAGAGCAGCGTCGTTTGTCAGGAAACATGCAGCGTACCCCTCCACCAACTTACACAGGACACAACGGTAAGTGAGATTTGTATTTAAACTATTTGTGTCGAGTCATCTACAAACTTCTTTGAAGTACAGAGAAGTTTTATGAACTCTGTTGACTGATTGTTTGCTCACTTCCAGGATCAAATATGTCTTCCAGACGAGGTATGGCTCCACCTCGTCCTTCTGTGACCCCACCATCTTTGCCTCGCTCTCCTGATTCTGCTCCCATGGATGGTGCAGGCAACAGTGGAGAGCCAATGGCGTCAATGTCTTCTCTCTCACACCCTAGCCATTCCAGTGTATCCTCCTTGCATGACATAATGCGGGTACGTAACTGTCTTACTTTTTTTTTCCCCCAGTGTCCCTCTTTGTTGCTCTGTGTTTAAAACCTTTCTTGCTCTCCAGGAGGCTTCAGCAAGTGGTGGTAGTCCACGTCACTCCATTGCTTCCAATAACAGTAGCAATCCGAGTACCCCACCCAGTCCTGCTCATGGTGATCATGGTTCATCTAGCTATGATAGCTAATCAGGTGCATTGGTTTCCCTACTTAACTCATGGTTTAGTTTTGTGCTTAGTGATCATAAGCATCCAAAGATTGAAATGTACAGCTTGAGAAAACAACCTGAGGGAGGTGGAAAATTTGTTCCACCATTGATTGCGCTGTTTTTGTTTTAACTTTATCTGTCACTTTGTCAAAAAGATTTCAAGTTTGTTTCTTTGTTTGTTTGTTTGTTTGATTGATTTCTACTTTTTTATCTCTTTTAAAAGTCATCTTGACACCACATATGGCAAAGTGTTGATTGAGGTTTGCAGTAGCAGGCCTCTAAACTCAAGAAGTGTGTGTCAATATTTATTGCCATCTATGCGTAGACATTAGTGATATTTTAAATTATTGATGTTTTCTTTCTTATTGTGTTTCTTAAGTGGTTGGTCACTTGAGACAGGTGTGAGTCTTAAGCTTTCTTTTCATCTGCATTCATGCATTATTTGTAATTTGTTTTCATCAAATGTTTGCATTGTGCCATCAAATTTTTCAGTGGTACTTTAGAGACAACCTATGAATGCATATTTGTGAATTTCATTCATGTCTCTAAAGTGTCTTTTGTACTTGACCTAATGTTACATAGTATTTATTTTGCAACATACAGTAAGTTTGTATCATCACTCGACTCCTTTAAATGAAAGACTCAGCAGGTTTTGCCACTGAATTGAAATAGTCTGATTAGCTTCTTATTTAAAATGAAATGTAACTAGTTGGCAGTTTTGCCTGGAAAGTAATAAAAGTAGTGTTTCTGGGGCAAGCATAATGAGAATTAGAAATGCTTCACTTCAGTGAAATGTGTCAAGGCTTTGTACTTTATGACATTATTTGCATGAAACTCCTTTTTCATGTTATGAACAAGCGGTGATTATTAAGGACAAAGACTCTTGACTGCTACCATCCCTCTTGTGGGAAAAACAAAATCTAGTATTTGAAACAAGTAATTGACCAAAAAGGAATACTGCCACTGATTGAAAAACAAACTCTGATGACCAAAATGTCAATTAAAAGGACTCAATTTTTTTTAAACTTTTTTTTTTGTTTCTCTCATTTTTGCATTGGTCTGAAATTTTGAATTAGTGTGTTTAAATGTATAGCTATGCTATGAACTAACTCATGAACTTGGATATATTGTTTTAGTTCCGTCACTGTAAGTTGCCATTTGGAAGCTCATCTTTTTGGTATTTTGGTAATACCAACATAAAATGAAACTATCTTCATGTGAATGATCAGTATTTTCCCTTCTCTTGCTCTAGGATCTGGCATGTGCAATCGCTCACCTTGGTATTCAGGTGTACGTACTTAAAGGTCTGAATGATAATATCTTAGTTGTAACTTTTATGAGTTTAAAATGCAGTTGATAAACCGTGTTAAAGTAAATGTCAGATCAGTGCAGTATTGTGGTTATATATTGTAACCCTCTTTGTTCCTGTTATTTTTAGTCAATGTCTTGAAATATTGCAAACCATTTTGCAAGCATTCATAAATGGATTTGTATTACTTATTATTTATTATTATTGAAGAAAGCATTGCCAAGCAATTCTCTCTTTCATTATTTATGTGTATTATGATTTATAGACATACATCTCTTATTAGAGAGTTATTAATGCCTGCACGTCATCCGCTGAATTCTATCTCTAAGGTTGTCTGTTTATTGGCAGATACTTGGCTTTCAGTACATTTAAAAATATATATTTATTGTGGTGTCTGTGGGTTATCATTGCATGATGTGCGATGTGTCTCAGAAATAGCTTCTAGTCATTGTCATATTTTCAATTATTATCATAATTGGTATTACCAGCATATTGTTTCATTTTTTCCATTTCTTTCATATATTTATGTTCTACTTTTGTTTTGTTTTTAATTTGCAACCTGTTTCAACCTGGACTCTGAGCTTAAACAAAAATTGATATCAAGCACGCATCCTCATCTTAACCTTATGTCCTTGTCAGCAGTTTACCAGTGGGTAAACTGAAAAGGAAGAATGATTATGAATATTTAAATTTATCTCGGAGTGGGCATCTTTCTGTTTAATGAAATTCACGCCTCTACACTCAACAATAGGTAAGGGACAATAATATAGGCCTCTTAGTATAACACTGTATTTCATATGAGTACAAAATGTACGTACCTTAATAACTAAGAACAAATTCTAACATAGACATAGCATTTTGTGTACGAAATTTTCATATTGCAATAAGAAATTGTTGTAGGTCTTGTATGCTTAATATGTAGCATGAATCAGTCTCATGTTTAGTATTAGACGCCATTGATATGGACGGAGGGTGCAAGTTGGTGGATGTTTGGTTGTTCTTTTAATAACTCGCCATGTATGTTGCCATGCCTCTAATAATTACTCTGCTCTATGCCTCTTGTTTACTTATTTCTAAAAATGTCCTAAATGCTCCATTTGGTGATTGGTGCAACATAAGTTTCTTTTTCAAATAATATTTGAGAAGCAAAATTAGTTGCAGTGGGCATGGTGCTAGGAATCATCTAACAAGTGTATTAGCAACTGCTCAGGTTGTTGGTACTGTATATCCAGAAAGATTCATGCTATGGTAAGGTAGACCTTGGTCTGGATTAAACTGTACATTTAATTCTTAGGAGAATTTTTATGTTGAAGATCTGTTGATTTGTATTGTATTTTGTACTCACATTATTCATGTTTTATAGTCATTGTCACAGAGGATCTGTGTTCTTTGCTACAGAAGAAGTACGCACGTGATAAATTCTTCATAATCCTACTCTCGTATTTTTGCCTGAGGGCAAACAAGTTTTCATTTATAAATTGCCTAATATGCATTTGTTCTGCATTGCCATTGGATCCCAACAGGGGATCCAATATTTGTGCAAATGTGATTCTTAGTGCTGTTTTAAGCCAAACATTTGAAGTGATGTGATGTAGTTTTGTTAAATGATTGTCTTCTTTCAAATTGAGTATTGTCTCTCAGCTCTTTTCCACCACATTTGTGCATTTCCATTACAATTTACTGGCTCAGGGGAAGTTCATGGTGATTTAACAAACTTGTGGTGAAGCTGATAATGATTAAACTATGGTAATTTCTCTTGTATCTCTCAGAAGGTTTCCACCAAAAACAATATTACACTTTAAAAATAAAAACAACAATTACAACAACACCTAGTAACTAGAATCTTGTGTATATACTGTTCCCCCTGCCCCTCTTTCTTTCAAAAGAAATAAATCTTTTCCTGTACAATAATTCTGAAATAAATGTTCACTGCAGGTTTCCTTTTCCAATTTAATTTCATCAGCAACCACTAACAAAAACATCAATTCCTTGGCTCAAAACTGTCTATTTTATTTTGTTTTGTGAGGTTGCTTAGTAGGGCTGACTTTAACATGGCACTCCAAGATAGTATGCTAATGTATTTTGTAAATGATGGAAACTAATATCCATGGTAATGTTGTACTCATTGGAAAATTGCATTTCATCAGTTCACATAATTAATTTTATTACAATGTACAATTAAATTTGCATCCTTGCTAGTGTGAAGGTCATGCCAGATGTTGTAACATTGCAGTCACTGTTTATCCTATCCCAAAATTCTTCTACCTTTTAATCATAAGTACATCTGTATGTTATGTTTCATATTTTTTTATAATTTACAGCTCTTAGTAAAAAGTTATCAGAATAATTAATCACAGTTTTATTTTTGAGAACCCTTACCCCTTTTCCCAAATTTAACATTATCCGAGTCAAAGGCACGGTGCCAACAACATTTTCAATATCGCGCTTCTAACAAGCAAGACAGAAACAGGGCCAAACAAGGAAAGCAAAACTGGTCAATCAACGAAGGTTTTTTGCTGTAACGGGAACGGGAGCCCCACTGACCGAACACCGCTGGGACACTGGTGGTTAACCCTCTAGACTTGAGAGTTCTCCCCTCCTGGGAGCCGCACCACACCGCCCCACCCCGCACCGCACCCCCTGCTGCCCCAGCTCCCCACGAAGCTATGCGTGGTTTTGCGGGAAGGGGTGTAGGTCGTTTCCGACATGCCCGAAACGCCTGGCATCAAGTTCGCGATGAACTGCCCGTCCAGGGTCCAGGATAGGCAACCGCCCTTTCCGGACAAGGATTGGCAACTCGCCCGAAAAAGATAGGCAATCGCACAACATCCTCCCCCTCCTGGCTCTCCTGGCGGGTCTCGCTCGAAGCCGAGCACAGACAGCTCGTTTTCAACTCATCGTAGAGTTGCTAGGTCTCGCTCGAGGAACCGTTCGTCCTGGAGGGCTCTGCCCACCGGTCCAAACTCGACCCCTCATTTTGCGCCTTGCCTCCGAGCTCCTCTTCCTCCCACTCCCACTCCCACCTCCGGCCGGCGCCTGCAGTCCCCTTTGTCGCCAGCCCCTTCTCCTTCTCTTTCCTAGTCGCAGGGGACGCCGGGCGACGGGGGGCGGTGGGGGGCGCACAGCCTGAGCCGACCTGGGGGTGATTAGGTAGTGATTCCATTAGTGTGCAGGGGTGGCCCCTGTAGTGCCCCTGTAGTGCCCCTGGTGGCGCGTTCGGAAACAGCACACTCGAGCAAGCGCGGCCGACCACGCCGTCCACGCCGTCGCGGCCACCACCTCGGCCTGCAGCCCGCAGCCCGCAGTGCGAGGCCGACCAGGCCGACGAGGCCCCTCTCTCGGCGGCTCGGCGGCGTGGTGCACCACGGGGAGCACGCGGTGGGCCCCTTCTCGCCGCCTCTCGGACGCAGCCAGACTCGCCCCGCCCATCCCCAGACGGCGAGCCGGTCAGCCCTCAGGCAGTCAGTGGCGGTCTGCGGACGGAGTCCGACGGAGTCAGAGGACACCGTCAGTGGACAGCGTCGGCCGCGCTCGTCCTGGTCGCCAAGCGAGTCGCCAAGGCACCCGCGGGGCCGTCTGGGGTGCTTTCTGCGCGCGCGTCGACCGGGGGGCGTACCGCGCGCGTCGGCGGCGACCCTCGACGTCGTCCTCGGCGTCGTCCTCGCGGGCCACCGGGAGCCGCGCGGCATCTCGACGTGCTCGACGTCGTGCAGGATCGATAGCGGGGTGCTCGAGCATGGCGGCGACGGCGGCCGTGAGGCGCGCGGGGGGCGGGCCTGCGGGGCCTGTCGGACCGCACCGGGGGGCAGGGCCGTGGCACTAGATGGGGGCGGATGGGCCGCTCGCAGCCACCGCCGTCCCCAGCCGCCGGCACCAACGCACAGCGGCAGCGGCACCGGGCTGCACCGGGCCCTTGGCGGAGAGAGCGCCGCCGCCCCCGCGCCGCCGATGCGTGGCCGACCGCGCCCCCGCGCCTCCAGGGACGCCTCCAGGGACGCCTCCAGGGACGCCTCCAGGGACGCCTCCAGGGACGCCGCCAGGGACGCCGCCAGGGACGCCTCCAGGGACGCCTCCAGGGACGCCGCCAGGGACGCCTCCAGGGACGCCTCTAGAGACGGAGCAGGAGTGAAGCAGCGGCAGGCCGGCGGGCTCACCCCGACGTGGAGGACGTGGCGACGCGGCGACCTGACGACGTGACCCGCGCACGGACGGCGCCTGCCCGCGCCCCCGTCGCCCGGGTCCGGCCGACGATGCGTCTGGACCACCTCGCCCGCGCTCGTATCCGGTAAGTGCGTCAACGGCCAGCCGGGCCAGCGCGCCCCGGAGTCCGACTGGTTCGTCCACTTGACGACGAATGCGTCCTTCGGACCTCGGTCCGCCACCGCGGCCTGGCGAAGAAAGATGACGTTGGGACCGTCAATTGAGAGTCTATTTTCGACCGTGAGGCAACTCACTAACAGTGCACACCCTGGCTTGCCCCCCCCCCCTTTGCCCGGCAATGCGTCCGACGAAATCACTTGAGCTCCGAGTCTCCTTGTTGACTTTCCGTTCAGTTCCGGCTCATCGTCGCTAATGGCATGGCAGGGCGATTAGTTTGAGGGACGTAATTATGCTGTCAGCGCGGCCAGAAACCCCTCCCCCCTCCCCCTCCCCCGGCGCCAGTGTGGTGGCCATCAGCGCGTCGGTCGCGACGCGCTTTGACCTGGACTGCGTAGTGGGTGGCCTTCAGCATGACAACCATGGAGTGGCGGGGCAGCGAGGCGACCGGGGAGGCGACGGGCAAGAGCTGTCATTCCCATGCGCACCTTCTTTTCTTTCATGTATCCCCTTTTTAGAATCCGACAAAACAAGTTGTGTCACGGGGAAAAAAGTGAATGTGCCTACTTAAGAAAAGAGTGGTGGACGAACCGACGTTACAGAGGGGTTGAACCCCTACAGCAAAGAAGGGGTGAGTCACAGCATGCGCTAGAAGAAACGGGGTGGTTTGAGGCCACGTTTCTCTGCAATTGGAACTCTTTTGTAAATAGTTATCTATGATTGCCGGTCCCAGTCTCTAGGGTCGGAACCATTCCAAAGGTTGCCGGCACCCTTCCTGCCTTTGGGAATCCCATAAGATTGCAGCCCCGTTTCACAGGTTGCCACCGTTTGCTTAAAGGTCGCCACCCCGTTTCGAATGTGGTCTCCCCTTTGTATGGTTGCTACCACGTCTGAAGGGTTGCCCCTTGCTTCCTGTTTCAGCCGCCGGCCATGAGAAAGGCAGTGCTGCCGCTGGTCGTCCTCATTGCCGCAATGCTTTGGTCGGCAACCGTCAACTCTTCACAGTAAGTCGGGAGGGGAGGGGGAAACCCGGAAGCGCGGTGCCGATGTCGGTATTTGAACCTTGGAACCGGCGCTGTTCGCAGAGCGAGCCACGACAGTCGCAGCAGCAGCTACGCCAAGGGCCACACACATGCGGAGCACGCCGAGCCGCAGTCTGACCCTCTGGATGGAGGCCTTCTCGAGGAGGACCGCGACCGAGACGGCCTCCCCTGCATCACTGACCCCACCAACCCCACCCTGGGACACGGCGGGGACAAAATGCACAAAAAGTGAGTCGCCGACGCCAGGAGTCGAACCCCAGACCGCGCTTGTTCACACCGCCAGGCTAGGTTAGACGCCTTTCACACGGTGCGCGTGGTTTTGTTGTCCTCCCTCGCCGAGAAACAAGGAAAGAGAAGCATAAGAAGAAAAGAAAAAGCAAACAGCTATCGATTTGAGGGTTCTGATGTGGCTGCCCTTACCGGGCTTCCGTACACTGTGCATAAAATGATGCTGGGGAGCCCAGCCGGCCCAGCCAGCCAGCCAGCCAGCCCACCGCGCCGTCGCGTCGGCACTGGGGGAAGGGGGGGGGGCGTGGGGAAAGGGTAGGGACGCCGAGCCCGGCCAAGCCACGATGCCTGCAGGACGATAGAAGGAAGGCGGACTCTCGAAGCACAGCGGCAGAGCCGAGCAGAGCAGCTTGTCCTACTAACTTCATTGACTTGTTTCAAATGGTGCGTGCCGTTTGGACGATGGCCAATCAAGTGACTTTTCTTTCGGGACTCCGGTTGAGGGGTGCGGCAGGGGAAGTGGCTTCCATCCCCGAAAAAGACTCGATGTGTCTTATCTGTCTCGCTTGGCTTCTTTTTTAGATCGTTATTCCACTTGATTCTGCCACCACAGCACTCTGTCGAATTATTGAGCCAAAATGTGAGGCCGACGTGGCAGTGGTCCGAGGGTCCGAGGGTCCGTGCCAACCAACCTGTTTACTTGGCAGCAGCCTGGTCGACACGCATGCCGGCCAAGCCGGCCCGATGCGGCACCAAGTTGTGCTTCAAGTTTACGAAGCCGTGCCGTGCCGTGCCGTGCCGGTCGTGCCTTGCCGGCCGTGCCGGCCCGGGCGGCCCCTTCACACCCTCTGCAGAAGGAGGGGGTAATCCCTGGCACCCATCGACCTAGGGCCCTGCCGGCCTGCCGCCCTGCCGGCCCGTCCCTCGGACTCTGGGACTCTCGGACACAGGACTAGAGCCCTTAGGCCGGCAGGGCGGCAGGGCGGTCGACTCGCATCGACACCTCCGCGGCCTGGCCCTAAATGCCCTAAGGGCTAAAGCCCTGCCCGCCACCGCTCGACCCCTTGCCCTTTTGATCCTGGACCGACCCCCGCAGAGATTGAGAGGGAGGGGCGAAACCGCTGGAGCTGCCGCCATCAGCCGTCGCCATCCTGTCCCTTCGAGTGGCTGATGACGTCGCCACCGTCAGGGACTCACCGAAACTGTCTCCAAGTCTAACAGTGCCCCCGCTGCTCGCAGGGGCGCGTGCCAGCCGGCGGTGGGGGTCGCGGGGCCGGGCCAGCCAGGCCGGCGTCGTCGGCCGTCGCAGACCGCGCGGCGCTACCAACCGCTGTCGCGGCCGCACCCCCACGAGCCCCTGGCCGTGCACCGCGCCCTGCTGCTGTTCGGCGGCCCCCAGGGCGGCCTGCAGCGCGACCGCCTGCGCCGCTGCGCCACCACGGAGATGGTGGAGGGCGCCGCCCGGCTGCGGTCCGCACTGCCCCGCGACCCGCCGCACGACGCCATCGTCGTGGTGCACGCCGCGCACGACTGGGCCGCGGACACCGCCGTGCTGGACATGATCGCCGACCGCATGGCCAACGTGACGGTACAGTGACGCACTGGGGTAGCCCCCTCAGTAATTTCACAAATTTATGAAAAAGGCACTTTTGATTGCGCCGGTTGGATTTGAACCCCAGCCCCACGACCGTGGTATGGCGCCTAAGAGCGCTCGGCCACGCATGGTCCAGGTGAAGCGGCCTGCCTTCCCGCTTCCTTCATCGCGGGCTTCGGGCAATCAATTGTAATTACGAAGCCACACCGCGGCCTGCGCCTAGACGCCGAGACGCCTTGAGACGCCGCCACCACTTACGGCTCGGCCGGCGAGGGGCGCGGACTGGCGGACTCGCGGACGCGCGCGGACCGATGCCGGCCGCGGGTTCGCTCCCCGCCAACGTGCTCCACTTACTGGTGTGCTTGCAGGTGTTCGCGCCGCCGCACGCCCCGGTGCACGGCCACACGCACAGCGCGCACAGCCACACGTCCCACAGCGCGCTGGGCCCGCTGCTGCGCCGCTGCCACGCCATGGGGGTGCGGTGCGCGCGCCTGGAGTCGCTGCTGCCCGTCCTGCAGTGGCTCAGCGAGGACAGCGCGGCCCGCGAGCGCGAGGCGGCGGAGGCCGCGGGCATGGCGCCGGCCGCCTCGCTGCCCCTCGAGCAGTACGACTCGCGCTGGCTGGCCGCCGCGCCAGAGAACGTGGCCGCCGCCATGGGGCTGGACCTGGTGGACGCCGCGCTGCCCGAGCCGCCGGGCCTGGAGCCCCCGGACCCCATCGGGCCGCCCGCCCTCGACGGCGAGGTGCAGTCTCACGAGGTAAGCCGGCTCTAAGCCACCAACCAAGCGACCCGCGGTGCGCATTCAAGTCTCTGACGGCGTGCTCGGCCTTGCAGGTGGCGATGCACCACCCGCCGGGGCAGCGCCTGCAGATGTCCGTGCACAAGCAGCTGGAGCAGCTGGTCAGTCGGCTGTGCGACAGGGACCGCGGCCGGAACCACTTCTTCGAGCTGCACAACCCTCCCATCACGTGAGACGCTCAACCCCAGCACGATCCGCGGGAAATGGAAATGCCGCGACTCGAACGCGCCACTTGTCTGTGCAGGGAGGAAGACTTGATGCCCACCATGGCGCCGGAGACGGCCCTCTCGCTCAGGGACATCCTGCCCATCAACCCCAAGAACTACGACAAGAACCGGGCGCCGAAGCTGGCGGGGCAGCCCACCATCGTGTACTTCCACGTCACCGTGCTGTCGCTGGACTCCATCAACGAGGAGTCCATGGTGAGGACCAGGTCGCCGCCGATCCGAGCGCCGTCGGGGTGGGCAGCGCCGCGCGACAGGCGAGCAGCCCGGTCGCCCACCTTCGACTTGGCGGGCGCTCAAAACGCGGGAGCTCAAAACGCGTTCGGGATTTTGACCGCCTCCACTGGTCTTCTGGCCCACTGTGCGCCCTTGAGACTTTCCCAGCCGAGCGGCGGCGAACACGCTCCTCGCGGCCCCTGCACCGACAGTGTACCGGTGGTGTTTGCAGACGTACGTGGCCGACATCTTCCTGGCGCAGTCCTGGCGCGACCCTCGCCTCCGACTGCCCGAGAACATGAGCGAGGAGTACCGCATCCTGGACGTGGAGTGGCTGCACGACATCTGGAGGCCCGACTGCTTCTTCAAAAACGCCAAGAAGGTCACCTTCCACGAGATGAGCATCCCCAACCACTACCTCTGGCTCTACCATGACAAGACACTGCTCTACATGTCCAAGTAAGTGTCCGCCGTGGACTTCCCTTCGACATCTACCCTTAATCGTTTTTATGAGAGACAGGAAAAATTTAGAATAAACAATATTTTTTCAGGCTCACACTGGTGCTGTCGTGTGCTATGAAGTTCGAGTCTTACCCTCACGACACTCAAATATGCTCAATGTCAATAGAAAGTTGTGAGTACCTACAGCGAACAGTGGCGCCAACATTTTCTTTCTCTGTCCACCCCGCGTCTGAAATTGCCGTTCTCCGTTCCCCGCCAGTATCCCATACGGTGCACGACCTGGTGTTCATCTGGAACATGACGGACCCCCTGGTGGTGAACCCCGAGATCGAGCTGCCGCAGCTGGACATCTCCAACAACTACACCGCGGACTGCACCATAGAGTACTCCACCGGTGAGTCCGCCAATCAGAGAATGTGGGTTAGCCGAAGAAAACACGAAAAACAAAACCACAGTCCCCTCCGCTCCGCCGGTGCGCCCCCGCGCGGTGGCCTACTTACGCGGAGCGTCGCTGGTTCACGCGGCGGCCGCTAGATAGCGCCGTACCCGTCGTACCCGCGCTGAGTACCGAGTACCGGGCAGAGGGGCTGTCTGGCCTCCCGTTCGGCGTTCGCGTTCGGCCGCTGGGTGAGAGGGGAGGGGCTAGCGCGGCGTCCGCGCGGCCCCCGGACGTGCGAACGTTCCCACAACGCGCCGCCGCGCCGCCGCGAGGCAGCGTCCGAGGCCGCGTCCGAGAGGCAGGCCGTCCTCGTCACGCCCGCGCGCCGCGCCGCGCAGCGCAGCGCCCAGGTCGCCGTCGGTCGGCACTCCGCACGCAGCCGGCCGGCGGCTCCATGGCGCGCTGCTCCGGCGGCCAAGGGGTGAGGCGCCACGCCGGCCACGCCGGCCACGCCACCGGAAGGGAAGAGGGAGGGGGGAGTCACGGTCCGCGTCGCGCGCCGCGTCCGGGAACGCCGACCCCGTCTCTGTCGCACGCGCGCTGCTCCAGGACTCTAGAGCGAGAGGGAGCGAGGTGGACGCGAGTGCCGCGCGGTGCGGCCGCGGCGTGACGCACCTGCAGCCTGCAGCGAGCCTGTCCGAAGATTCGCTTCGTCGCTTTGTCTCTGTCGCGCTCATGGGGCCACCCGTGAGGGTGCGAGAGAGACAGAACCGCTTTTCTGACTCTGGCGGGGCGGCACCACAGCCTGCACGCCGATCCTCAGCTTATTGATAAACCGCGGCGCCCCGTCGTCGGGTTGCCTGCCGGCCTTCCTGCCTTTCGGCGTCAGCGATCAGGACGGCGACGGCGGTCCAGCGAACCCAAACCGCGCCATTCTCTTCTTCGAGACTTGGTCTTCGAGACTCGGTGGCGGCAGAAACAAAAGACTTTCATGAGCATGTGCGCGTGCTCGTCACCACTGAAAAAAAAATTATTATTTTTAAACCTTCTCCGTGTTCACCCCTTTGGCTTGGCGGCGTCCCTCGCGAGCCCAGCAGCCTGGCAGCCCCGCGGGCAGCCCCCAGCAACACGTCAAGCGAGAGCGGCCTGCGCGGTATATTGCGTGACAACATAACTGTACCTCGGTGGAGCGGCGCTGGAGCGGCGCTGGAGCACACCGCGTCCAGGTCGTCCAGGCGAGCGGACCCAGGCTTGCCGCGGCCCGTTTCGAACGCAGCCCCGGAAGCAGGGGCCGCCACTGGGAAGCGCGGTGGCGCTCGTTCGGACGCAGCCCGACTTTGGCGTGCGCGGTGCGACCCGCCTCGTGCGCTAGCGTGGCGTGGCGACTATTATATGGCGATACATACGCTGCCTTCCGCCGGGCTCTCTTGACAACCGCTGGCGCGCTGGCGTGATGACCGAACGAGCCGGCAGCGCGTCGCAACGCGTCGCAAACGCGAGGTCGACGACCTGCGGGTCGGTACCGCTTGTCCGGCTGCATGACACATGTTGCTGATTAGACTTGAAGGCGCCCCAGGCAACGTTGCGTAATGAGGCCGCAGTGGCCTGGAGCGGCCTGGAGCGGCCTGGAGCCAGCGAGGGGTGGGCCATGGCGTGGCACGGCAGCAGTCGGCTGTTTCTGTACTGGCCGCTTTCCGGCGGTATCGCGCCTTTAGCGAGAAAGTTAGAAATTGTTGCCTGCTTTTCCTTCTTTGTGACGTTTTCAAGAAAACCGACGAGTGCTGTGTTCATCCCGGACATGCGTTTAAGTTTCCAGGCAGCATTCTGTCGCAACGTCTCCGCTGAACGTCGTCCCGCCGTTGCAGGCAACTTCACCTGCCTGGCGGTCGTCTTCAACCTGCGGCGGCGCCTCGGCTACCACCTGTTCCACTCGTACATCCCCTCGGCCCTCATCGTCATCATGTCCTGGATCTCCTTCTGGATCAAGCCGGAGGCCATCCCCGCGCGCGTCACCCTGGGCGTCACCTCGCTGCTCACGCTGGGTAAGTCAGCAGCGTCATTGGCCAGAAATGACGTCACGAGCGTAACTCTCATGTCCTTTGCAGCGACGCAGAACACCCAGTCGCAGCAGTCCCTGCCCCCCGTCTCGTACGTCAAGGCCATCGACGTGTGGATGTCGTCGTGCTCCGTGTTCGTCTTCCTCTCCCTCATGGAGTTCGCCGTCGTCAACAACTACATGGGCCCCGTGGCCACCAAGGTCATGAAGGGCTACTCGGAGGACGACATCCAGGCCGCGGTGGAGGACATGAAGGTGAGGGAGCGGCTGGCGGTAAGAATGATTTGAAAACAAAAAAGGGCTCTGGCGTGAGTTGAACCCCGGTCTGTCCCCAGGGGCTGGAGCCCGGCGCGCGCAGCCCGCTCCGCGCGCAGTCCGTGCCCACCGTGCCACAGTACGACACGTGCTGCAACGGCCGCGAGACGGCGCTGTACATCGACAAGGCCTCGCGGTTCTTGTTCCCCTTCGCCTTCTTCATCCTCAACATCGCCTACTGGTCCACCTTCTTGTAGACCAACCCAACGCTGTTACACTGTTAACGGGCTCGTTGTGTTCATGTTCATGTTCACCCTGCTCCCACAGTGGGCCAGAAGACCGATGGAGGCGGTCAAAATCCTGGACGCGTTTTGAGCTCCAGAGTCGCTGAATGGGATTCGAACCGATCGTATGACCCCACCAATGGATTGCTCTCCGATTGAGGAATCCATTGGTGGGGTCACGCGTACGGTTCGAGCCCCATTTAGCGACTCTGGAACTCAGAACAAGTCTAGAGTTTTGGCCGCCTCCACCGGTCTTCTGGTAAATCCACTGTGGGCGGTGGTCTCCATTCCGCTGTCCGGCAGCGTCTGTCTCGAAGGAGGGCAAGTATTAGTCCGGAAGCACATGGCTTTGAGTGTTTGTTTCGTGTGTAGTTGGCTCGGCTCAATGTTTAGGTCCAGGGAGTTTACCCGGCCAGTAATCGTAACAGTGCAGGCATTTTTAGTGGAATGAGGCAACACTGATCATGAGCTTTTCACTAAAAACGGTTTGAGCGGCTTGAAAGCCGCAGGGCGCTTCACCACGATGTAAAGTTAAGGATTCGCTTGTCTCTGTTATCTTCCCTTTCCAAACCGGCATGATATGTGTTCTAAAGTGTGGCTGTTAGAGATGTCCATTGAAAAATATGTGATTCAGTTCTAAACTCACTGCCAACGCCGCTACGTTCTAAATGAAAATAAAATGTAAAAAAAAGCCACACACTTTCAGGGGCATCGGGCTCCGTTGTGGAATGACGAGTGTGGTGTGTGTATGTTTGTTGGTTGCTGTCTTGTACGATGTCACCGACAGAAACCAACGTCATTTACTATGACGACTCCTTCCCTTTGAAGGGATAGTTAATTTATTAAGTCTAATTGTGTAGGCGGCTCGACGGTGCAAGTATTCAGGTGTCCCTTCGCTCCAACTGCCAAAGAGTGAGCGGTAAACACCGATGAGCCCTGATTGGCTGAGAGTGTCGACCAATCAGAGTGCTTCATTCGTCCATTATTGACGTAACAGTTGTTTTAGGAAGTTTTTTTTCTTTCACCGCGCGCTCCGCGAACTTGGACGAGGGTTTTGTGACTGAATGTCGAGTCAATAGCAAATATATGTAGTTAGGGTTCACTTTTTTTAGACGGTGTGAGGCTGCTGTTGTACGTTGAAAAAAAAGTTCTGCTTGATTCGGGCGGTATACGTTAGTAACCTAATCGATTGAATATGATAAATTAATTAATAAATATGTAAGTGAAACTCGGCTTGTCTTTTGACGATTCGTGGACGGCATTCCCCCGAATCCCACCACACTGTAACGCATCCACAGCGCGATGAGATGCGTCAAGTTACCATCACGTCAAGTCACACAAAGGGAGGGGGAGGGGGGGGGGGACGCCGAAACGAGGCGTTATTGCCACAGGTATGGATTCCACGCGGGGCCCCAAATATGTATTAGCGCCTCTGGCGAGTCTGGCCGCTCCAACGCCCCCCCCCCTCTTTCCCCCTCTCTTTCTCTCTCTCTGCTGTCTCTCTCGCACTTCCCGTCCGAGCTTCCGGTGTGTCCGCGTCCCGCCACGCGTTGCCCTGGGGGCTGGCCCACGCAGGAGCGCGCTGGCTGCGCGGGCCGCGCAGGGTCCACTACCCCGAGAGCGTGCACCGCGTGCGGTGCGGACCAGTGTGCTCGCTCCACCGCGCCGTCCGCGCGAGTCCCCATGTCCGGAGTGCGCGCGCGCGTGTGAGTGAGAGGGAGAGAGAGGGAGGCAGCGTGTGTGAGTGCGACGACGCAGTGCCCTTCCCAGCGGTGTGCATGTGGACTATTTCTGCAACTAGTGAAAGGACAGATCACCTGCGGATATGAAGAAGCACTTAAAGGTTAGTGTGTGTGTTGTGGAGACCTCAACGCGCGCAGTGCCGGGGAAGTACCAGCGCTGCCTCGAGGCGTTTGGATCCACTGAAATTAATCAATTCCTCGTTCGCGATATCGGATTGATCTGTTTTGCAGTATAATTTGTTGGGTTGACTTGAACAGAAAATTTCGAAAAAAAAATAGTTGTTATTTGGTTTGGCGAAACAGCGCTTAGACTGGGCTCCAGGCTGGAGTCTGAAATTCCACTTCTTTGAATTTATACCAAATTTTACTCCAAATTTTGGCATTGGAAATGGGAACTTATTTTATGATTCCGCGTCGGTATGTCCAAGTCAGGGACCAACAGTAGCACTGCAAAACAAGTTCCCACGGAGAACAAGACGCAAGGCTGTTGCGAAACTTTCCCGATGTCACTGCATTGCTTTCTCTGCACGTCTGTTTAATTACGTGGGAAAAGTCGTTGACACCATTAACGCCCCAAAGTGCACCTCGGCAACAACCGGGAGGGAACAACTTCCCACATTGATTGCACAAAATTTGAACTCATTGCACATTCAGGCGGCAAAAACGCCTGAAAGTAGGCAACATGTGTGGCAAATACGCCAGAAAATCTTGCACATACATACACATTTGCCTAAATCGTTGTGCAAAAAAATTTACAATGGGTCACCTCTTGGCAAACAACTGATTGATTTCAGAGTTCAAAAGACCCGACACGAAGTCGGACTGCCTGAAAAGAAGGCGTTCTTCCCACGAAACAACAAATGAATGGGCCTCACGCACCGGCCCACCTAGGCCCACCCCGCCCATTGGCTGACACGCACGCTGACAAATCCAGGCCGCATTCCCCTGCATTGTGGTCCATATCATGACAGCGCCCCGCCCCGCCCCGCCTGTCAATGGCTCGCCCGTGTTCCCATTTTTTCGGTTCCCGCGGGAACGAGGGCGCACGGCGCCTCTCTAACCCTTTCCGTCGCATTCTTCTGATTCTTCCACACAAGGGCTCCACTGCACTGCATAGGCACTGCACTGTAGGCGTGCGCGACACTGTCAACACTTCCGGCGTTTAGCCTTTCTGCTACTTTCGCCGCGCTGCAGCAGAATGCAATGCAATGCAACGCGCGGCAATAGAATTGGGAGAAAGGGTCCAGAGGGGGTGTGGCTCATTCCGAGAGGCGTTTTCGTCGCGCTGTCTCTCTCGCACTCATGGGGCATTCCTGCAGGTCCGAGAGGTCCGAGAGCGACGAAGACGACTCTCGGAATCAGCCTGCAGGGTGGCGGTTGCCCTCGTGCTGCCCCTCTGGGTCAACCAGTTGGAAGTCGCCGGGCTCTACTACCGATGTGACCCGACGCCTCAAATCTCTCCTCCAACAGAGTTGCTGTGCGCAGGGTTTGTTATTCCTCACCACACCGACTATTTCTCAATTCATACCGCTCGACAAACCAAGTTCGAGCTGGGACGTTGGCTGTGCTCCCCCCCCCCCCCGAATTGGTCATCATGATGCGTCTACTTTCTGCCTGAATGGGTCATCGTGCGCCCCCCCCCCCTTTTCCCAGTGTCGCTACACGTCGACACGTCATGTCGCAGTGCCGCTATGTTTCAGGAGCGGTCCTACCCTGCGAACAAAATAGTTTTAAAAAACATAACGTGCAGTTACTTTTAGGACTTTTTGAAAATTACTTCCAGTGTGTGCGAACACTTGGGCTATGGATTTTAAAGCTTTCAGAGCTTAGGATTGCCGCAACAATTCTGCCCAAAGGATCTTAAGTCTCTTCGCTTTTCATTGCTTTATTTTTTTAAGGGAAAAATATTGATCCAAGAATTTTTTTATACAAGAAAACTAGTTATAACATTTTTTTTCTTGAAAAGATTTTTCCTTGATCCAAGAAGTTATCTGTTGGGTGCAAGACCGGCTGAGCGGCCGAGCGGCTTCGGGGGCGCAAGACCAAGCCGCTCCACCCCCCTCCACCCCCTCCACCCCCCTCCTTGCAGGTGGCGGGTGGCGGGTTCTTGGAGGTGCCGCTGGAGGCGCTGCTGCAGGCGCCCGCCCCCTCGCGCCCCGCGCGCTCCGGCCGCGCCGGAAATGGATTGTAGGCCCCGGAAGTTGTGCGATTGTTGGACAGCCCGTCAGGGTCGTCGCTCCCGCGGCTCCGGTGCGCCGCTGGGCGCGCTGGCTGCCCTGGTGGCTGCTGGCCCTGCGTGCCGGACTGCTGGGCTGCTGGACGAGGGCCTCCCCCCTCCCCCTCCCCCTCGGCCCGGTATCGCGCCGTGGCGATCACCGGGATTCCGCGGGCCCTGCAGACTGAGAGTCGTTTTCGTCGCTCTGTCTCTCTCGCACTCATGGGGCGTCCCGTGTAGAGCAACGAAAGCTACTCTCGGAACGAGTGTCCGCCGCGTCGCTTGGCCGCACGAGGGGGGCGACGACGCGGTCCAACATTCGGCGAAGTGGGGCTGTCCGCAAATGGCGACCCGTGCAGCGTGCGATCCCGCATCGTCCCCCGGCTGCCCTGCGCCATGAGCACGACGCGCGGCCTCGTGCGCAACCCGGCCGACCCTGGCCCGAGCTGCCAGCGGACTCATGCCGAGAGTCGTTTTCGTCGCTCTGTCTCTCTCGCACCTACACGGAACGCCCCGTGGACGCGAGGGAGACAGAGCGACGAAAACGACTCTCGGAATCAGTCCGCTGGCCCGTGCTCGTTGCCCGTCAGAACGCCGAGCGGCAATTGACATTGAATTAGCATACGGCACGGACGTGCGTTAGTGCGTTCGGCACCACCGCAAAAAAAAAAAAAAAAAACTTCGAAAAAATTGCCTTGAAAAGGCCCGAAAATTGAGGGCATTGTACCGAGATGCTGGCTTAAATCAGCGTCATAAATTTAAAAAAAAACTTGAATTAATTTTTTTTAAGTAAATAATTTGTAGGTAATTTTTTGACGGAGAGCAAGACGCACACGCGGGCAAAGGTCATTGTGCGGCGAATGGCTGGGCTGGCCGGGCCACTACACTGCACACGTGCATACAGTGCACACACGTGGAGGGCGCGGTGCGGCTTGTGTCAATATGTCCACCCAACGAGCGGCACCGACCGCCTCCCTTCGTTCTCTCTCTCGCTCTCACGGGGCGCGCCGCCTAGAGCCGCAGGGGTGCGAGAGAGACAGAGATCGCCCTGCAAGCGGCACAGAGCGCGCACCGCGGAAGCGATTTCAGGCTAGGAATGCCAGATTCATACAGGCATACACAGTGTGTGCGGATGCGCGTGTGTATACACCGTTGGAACAAAATTGAGTCGAATTCACGGGAAGCAGTTAGTTTTCATTCTTTTGAATCGGCATTGGCATAGTTTAGACAGTGTGAACCCTTTCATGTGGAGTGTGAGTTTGTGTCTTTTTCGTATTGAAACATGAGCCAAGTCGTGCACTACTTGTTTGTGGAAACGTTCTCACACTGTAGAGATGCAACACTGCACAGCCTGGCCTGCGTTTCCTCTGCTCGTCTGCTTTCAATGACGCTCGGCGTCGGTTTGGCGCGGGAAAAAAGGCTGCCAGACTGCATCAGACCTTGGGGCTGCAGGGCTGCACGGCTGCACACATAAAACACATGCAAATGCGGTGGCGAGGGCCAGTCCTGCAGCCTCATTCCGAGAGTCGTTTTCGCCGCTCTGTCTCTCTCGCACTCACGGGGCGACCCGTGTAGGTGCGAGAGAGACAGAGCGACGACTCTCGGCATGCAGGGCGTCCGCGTCCAGGACGCAGGATGGCAGGATGTCCCCCTGCGAGTCTCGCCGGGCGGCCTTGATCCTGGACAGCCTTTCCTGTGGGATCCCCCCCCCCCTTCTGCAACAAGGGCGACGCGGGATACATAGTGTAGTGCTTTCGGCAGCGCTAAGTTGGCGACAGCTGGCTGGCTGGCTGACGCGGTGGTGACGATCCACCGATACGCGGACGGTGAAAGCTGGGCCGCCACGCCGCGCCACGCCACGCCACGCCACGCCACGCGCCGGGGACAGAAAAAAGTGGCCCGCGCATTCCACGCGATTCAATTTGAGCGATACGGACCACAACGGGGTCACGCCAAATCCGGGGAGAGGGAGAGAGAGCGAGCGAAAAGTCAGCAGGAGAGGCACGGCGAGGGAAAGAGAGGGCCTGACGGTTCTCTTCAACCATTGCAAACCACTGCATCTCATTGAGGGTGTTTCAAGTTTCGAGCAGACACGTGATCGGGAAAAATAAGGGTTCCAAAAATTGTTCCTTGTCTTCGCAGTCCAAGGTGTCCAAGGAGGCGAAGCGAGGCGAGGTTTAAGGTGCTCTTGTCTCCTTGGCGGCCGAGCGCCTGCAGTCGCGAGGGTAGGCCACGCGGCGGACAGCAGCGTCTTGAGGAAGGCTATGCGGCGCTCGGCGGGCGCCTGGCTTCGCCTGGCCGGGGCCGGTGGGGCGTGGGCCGCACAGTGGGCCGGAAGGCCGGTGGAGGCCGTCAAAATACCGGACGAGTTTTGAGCTCCAGAGTCGCTAAATGGGACTCGAATCGAACGTGTGACCCCATCAATGGATTCCTCGTTCGGAGAGCAATCCATTGGTGGGGTGACCCGTCCTGTTTACCGACTCTGGAGCTCAAAACGCGTCTGGGGTTTTTGGCCGCCGGCGCCGGTTTTCTGGCCCACTGTGGGCCGGTGGGGCCCTCCAGGGGCACGGGGCCACTCGGCAGTCGGCACTCGGCGCGCGCTGGAACTGGCAGAAACTAGTGTGTCATGTTCGGGAGAAAGGGGGGGGGGGCACTTCGGTGGCGTCCGCGCGGATAGCGCCATGAAGGCTCCGCAACGTGGTCATTGCTCCCCATCCTCTCTCTCTCTCTTTCTGTCACTCTGTCCTCCCGCGTTCCATCGCTACCTATCTTTGTCTCTGTTCCTCTCCATCTCTCTGGCAACACACAATCATAACCGGCAAGGTTCCATCTCGCTTTGTCCCCCGCGTTCTTTTCTGTTTTCTGTGTCCGTTTTTTACTGTCATTCTCGCGTGACCAACATTTTTTTGTTGCCTCTTTTTGTGTTTTTTTGTTGCGGTTTTGAGTTTGTAGTTGGAGACGCGGTGGCTCGCTGTCGGCGGCTGCAGCACTCAGCAGCCCCCTTTCAAAAATGGAAATGTGCGGAGATGTTTTGCGATAAGGGGGAGGGGCTCGAGGTGCGCTGGGGCGTGGCGGGGCGTGGCGGGGCGTGGCGGGGCGTGGCGGGGCGTGGCGGGGCGGGGCGGGGTGGGGCGGGGTACACGGCTCCCTCAGCCGACGCACTATAAGGCGCCGTTAGGAAACCCGGCCGCGCCCGGTACAGTGGTGTCGGAGCACGACCTGTCCCGACGACCGCGTGTAAATTGGACCATAGCGAAAGGGCTCCCTGTCTCCCTCTCTCTCACTCACACACTCACACCCACACAGGCGGGCCGTGCTGGGACACTAACGGTACTCGTTGGGCCGTCCGCCTGACCACCACCACACCACCATTAGGCTGCCATCACTAGGTGTCCTTTTTTTTGCATCTGCTTCCAACTTTTATTTTCTTCCTGTTCGGGCTTGTTAGTGGTTTGTTTTATTGGTTTTCCCCCCACTATGACACATTTTTAACGAGGTATGTTTGCGAATGCCCCTCTACTCGCAATGCAGGTGAAAGTTTGTCTGTCTGCCAATAAGCCTCGCCTATTACCCGTCCTGCAAATAGTCCCTTCGTGCTCCATCGATTCCGAGCATCCTGCCTCGCCGTGTTTCCGCGAAACGCCGTCGACTTCGCACGCTGATAATTCTGTGTTTCGTGTTTCAGATATGGAGCCATTGTTGGCACGTGCTAGTTCTACACTTTTTACATTCTATTATAATGGCGTCCCTGGTGCAGGGTGAGTGAAGGGGAACTCGGTGGGGGGTGTTGGCGTGTGCTTCGCGTGTCTGATCGGTGTGCCTTGCCAGGACAATGCTTCGGCGGGACGGAGACGTACGAGAAGACGACGGGGGTCAAGTTCTTGTTCGGCGCGTCGCAGGGCATCCTCACGCAGCCGGGCACGGGCATCACCCGCGACTGCACCGCCATCTGCCGGCAGACGCCGACCTGCGCCGGCTTCACGGTCGGTGAGTACACGCCAAAGGGACACCCAGCACAGTGGGCCAGAAGACCGGTGCGGTGGTCAAAATTCGTTTTGAGCTCCAGAGTCGCTAAACAGGTCTCGAACCGAACGTGTGACCCCACCAATGGATTCCTCGTTCGGAGAGCAATCCATCGGTGGGGTCACACGCTGCGGTCAAGTCCCATTTAAAGACCTAATTTTTTTCTTTCTCCATTTTTCAGATTACGAAGCTTCTAGATGCCAGTCCTACAGTGCCGACTCCAGCGGCCACCGGTCCAGCCTCCACGACGCCCTGGGCAGCAATTACTTCGAGAAGATTTGTCTGCGAGGAGGTCCGTCTCCTCCATGTACCTCCAACCCTGCCACCCTGCCGACAACCACCAAACCTAACGGTTGTCGATTCCTTTCCGCAGTGTCCAACCTGAACGCCATGTGCGGCGACCGGCTCTGGGCGTTCGAGCGCGTGGTGGGCGCGTTCCTGGACGGCTTCGACGACCGCGAGGAGCACAACGTGCAGACCAAGACCGAGTGCGAGAAGCTGTGTCTCTTCGAGACGGCCTTCACCTGCAGGTGCCTTGTATTTTCGAGTGCTGTGGGAGGAGACTCTTTGAGGTTGTGACACGGTGTTTTGTCGTCCGCAGGTCCGCCGAGTTCGACGAGGGGCAGAACATCTGCAGGCTGAGCAGGGAGGACCGGAGGAGCCAGCCCAGCGCCTTCAGGAGGCAGCCGGGCAGCTCGGTGGACTACCTGGAGAACCAGTGTGTGCGCTGTGAGTGCAGGCACACTGTTTTTTTTTCAACACACACCGCTTATTTTTTAACTCACACCGATTGTGTTTGCGTTGGCAGCACTGCCGGACTGCCGCTACAACGTGCGCCCGGGCTTCTCCGTGGTGTCCATGGACGAGCTCCAGTTCGCCGCCAGCCAGTCCGAGTGCGAGGCGCTGTGCGACCAGGCGCGGGGCTTCACGTGCAGGGCCTTCACGTACGCGGCGGACGAGAAGCGCTGCTACCTCAGCGGCGACGACTCCATCTCGCTCAGCAACGCGCCGCTCGCCATCAAGCGCGGCGGCGTCTACGCCGAGAAGCAGTGCAGCATCAGTGAGTGGCCGTCCCAATGGACCGGTGGAGGCGCCCCGAACCCTAGACGCGTTTTGAGCTCCAGAGTCTCTAAATGGGACTCGAACTGAGCGTGTGGCCCCACCAATGGATTCCTCGTTCGGAGAGCACTCCATTGGTGGGGTCACACGTTCGGTTCGGGTCCCCGGTTAGGTTTGGACTGACTCCGTTTTTGCTTTGTTCCCCAGGCCAGTGCGACGACGGCCTGTTCACGTTCGAGAAGGTGACGGGGCACTTCCTGCGCTCCGCCCAGCAGGTGGGGCTGGCCATGGCGTCGTCGCCGGGGGTGACCCTGGAGTGCGGCGCGCGCTGCCTGGAGGCGGGGTCGGACTGCCCGGCCTTCTCGCTGGACTACGCCGCCATGAAGTGCTTCAAGCTGGACCGCAACACGCAGGGCCGCGGCTCGGAGCTGTCGCCCCGCGAGGGCCAGACGTACTTCGAGAAGATCTGCCTGCGGGGCAATGTGCGCGGCTGCGTGGGCAGGGCCTGGGCCTTCGAGCGGCGGCCCGGCAAGGAGCTGCGCGGCCTGGACGACGTCAAGCTGCCCCTGGTGCAGACGCGCCGTGACTGCCTGGAGGCCTGCCTGGCCGAGCGCCGCTTCGACTGCCGCTCCGCCGAGTACGACGCGCAGACGGCCGAGTGCCGCCTCAGCGCCGAGGACCGGCGCACGCGGCCCTCCGAGTACGTGGACGCGCCCTCGCACGTCGAGTACCTGGAGAACCAGTGCCTGCCGCGTGAGTACGCCGTGCGTCCGCCGCACAGTGGGTCAGAAGACCGGTGGAGCTTGACTCGAACCCGTTTGGTTTGGCGCAGCCGAGCCGCGGTGCACCTTCGAGTCGGTGGCCAACTCGTACCCGCGCTACCTGGACCTGGTGCTGCCCCTGGTGGCGGACGAGCGCGATTGCGAGCGCCGCTGCTACTCGTACACCGACTTCATCTGCCGCTCCTACTCGTACTACCCCAGCGGCTCCCAGTGCTTCATCAGCGGTGACGACCGACGTGAGTACACTGGCAATCCGCATGGAAGAAAAACATCAAAGTTTTATATATTCACTCGATTTTCTTCCTCATCTTCAACTAAATCTGACTGGGCTTTTCAAGTTTTTCAATCTTTTTCGCTGTTTGATGCTGACTCCCTGTCCTGTTTGTCGCAGCCTCGGCCGGCGCCGAGGCCCTGATGAGCCGGCCCGGCACCAACTACCTGGAGCGGAACTGCCACCACACGGGCCCGGGCGGGATCCCCATTCCCGGCCCCGGGGGCCTCATAGGGCCCGGCTTCGGGGGCCTGGGGCCACTGCCCGGCCGGCCCCTCGACCCCTCAGGTACAATCTTCAGCAGGGCGGGACAGCCCGAGCTCGTCGGCGTCGCCAGTAAGACTCAACATTCTCCTCTCTCGGCATGCCAACCGCCAAAACCGCACGGAGGGTAGCCTGGTAGCCGTAGTTCGGGCGTACTGAGACACTCAGACCGCATGGTAGCGACGTAGAAACAACCCGGGGACGGGACTTGACGACGGGACTCGTTCTAAGGGCCCTGTCTCGCATTCGGCACGCATTAACATAACTTAGTTTCAATCGACTAATTTTCTCGTGCTCTGGAGCTTGGGTAGCAAACACTCGTATTGCCGTTTGCGATTTATGGCTCGCAGGAATCGTGGCCGTCGTCAAGTTGCACAGCCCTGCTCACGAGTAGAAGTACTTTGAAGCAGTCGTAGCAGACCAATGCAGAAATTACGCTTAGTATTGCTTTATGTCTAACATAGTTCGTAGTTCGTAGTGTAGTGGTACAGCATGGCAGTTTGAGGGCAGCGCTTGCGGCCACACTGGCGCACGGCCGTTGAACGTACTCTACGGCAGCGTGTCCGAGGCCGTGCCTGACTCTGGGCGTTGCAGGCGGCCGGTGTCCCGGGGGCGGCCGTCCGGAGTTCGAGAAGGTGGCGGGCTACGAGCTGTCGGCGGGGCGCGCCTACAACCTGGAGCGCGACACGGCGCCCGGCGTGGCCGTGCAGTGCGCGCAGCTGTGCCGCTCCGACCCGCGCTGCGGCGCCTTCAACCTGGACTACGCGCGCTCCGAGTGCACGGCCCTGGAGGGCGAGCCGAGCGCCACGCGGCAGCGCGTCGACCTGCGCCCCGTGCCCGGCGTCGCGTACTTCGAGGCCATCTGCCTGCGCGGCGGCGGCTGCGGCCTGGCCTGGACCTTCGAGCGCCACGTCAACCTGGAGCTGCGCGGCTACGACCGCGTCATGATCCCCGGCCTCACCAAGACCGAGTGCGAGGACCGGTGCGCCGACGAGCGCACCTTCCTGTGCCGCTCCGCCACGTACAACTACCGTCGCCAGGAGTGCCGCCTCAGCACCGAGGACCGGCACACCCAGCCGCATGCCTTCCTGCCCTCCGCCGAGGCCGACTACCTGGAGAACCAGTGTGCCTCCCTCGCGGCGCGTACGTGGAACCCTTGCACACTGTGAGAAACACGGCGCACGCGGACACCCGCTCCAACTAACGGCCCTCTGCTTTGCAGCCCTGGAGCGCTGCGTGTACCGCAACCAGCAGCGCGACCGCCAGCTCGTCTACACCGACAAGGCCCTGTCCACCTTCAGCGACTCGAGCTGCCAGCACGCCTGCGACGTGGAGCGGGAGTTCCTCTGCCGCTCCTACACCTTCCTCAGCACTGTAAGTGCGCGGTGTGGCGTCGACCGAGGACTGCAGTTGACCTTCCTTCTCATTTGGACGTTCTGCCGCAGACGGGCCTCAACTCCCACCAGTGCCTGCTGAGCGGCAGCCTGGGCTCCTCCATGGACAGCACGGCCTACCAGGCGCAGAGCGGCGCGCTGTACGCCGAGCGCGAGTGCACGGGGCCGCCCATGCTCAACCCGACGGGCCCGGGGATCGGCGGTCCTGGTGGCCTGCTGGGGCCGCTGGGCCCCACTATCGGGCCCACCATCGGGCCCACTCTCGGGCCCAGCTCGTCGCCCATCCCACCCACGGCGGGGGCCTTCTACCCGAGACCCGGCGGCTACCCGAGCTTCCCGCTGCTGCCCGGCAGGCACGGTGAGTATCCCCGACAGGCTTTGAGGGTCGACCGTCGTCGCCGAGCTGGGCACGCTGACGAGGGCCTCTTGGTTGCAGCGGGCGGCGCGGTGGCCGTGACGCCGTACCCCACGGGGGTGTACCCGGCGGGCGGCGGCGGCGCGTACGCGGGGGCCTACCCGCCCGGCGCCTTCTCGTCGCCGTCGCCCTTCCCGCCCGGGCCCGACCGCAACTTCCCGGGCAACTTCCCCACCGGCACCTCCACTGGCGGCGGCTTCGGGACGGGCTTCGGCACCGGGACCGGCTTCTCCACGGGGCCGGGCGGTGCCGTCGGCAACGCCGTCAGCGCCTACTCCCCCAAGCCCGGCGTGCCGGACCCCATCCTCAACCCGTACCCCTGCAGGGGCACGCTCTCCTACGAGAAGGTCGCGGGCGCCACCTACACCCCGGCCAGGAGGTAAGCCACGCCGTTCTCCGACCACATCAACACCGACTCAACAAAATAAAAACTATCTTTTTTGTTACATTGCAGGGACGCGATTCGAACCCGCGGCGACATTGGCATCTCCGGCGAGTGCCTGGTGGAGTGCGCGCAGCAGCGGGAGCGCTGCCTCGCCGTCAGTCTGGAGAACGTCCGCGGCGGCCGGCAGCGCTGCTACTCCCTGGACCGCTCCTCCGACGCCGAGGCCGCGCCGCTCGCCGCCGCGCCCGACCTTGCCTACTTCCAGAAGATCTGCCTGCAGGGTAAGTCCTCTTTGTCCTCACTGGCATCAAAGCGTGGGGCCTTAGTAAGGCCGTCGGTGAAGGCCTTTAACCACACGGACGCGGTGCCCATCCTATGCAACTTTTACCGTTTGGCTCTCTCAATACGCGCCCATGTGTCGTTACCGTTGCAGAGCGGCCGTGCCCCAAGGCGTGGGTGTTCAACCGCGTCCCCAGCTACGAGCTGGTGGGCTCCAACTCGATCGAAGTGAGGAACATCTTCAGCAGGCGGCAGTGCCAGGACGAGTGCCTCCGGTCGACGCGAGTCGTGTGCAGGTCCGCCACGTACTACGCGCGCGACCAGCTCTGCAAGCTGAGCCCCGAGACAAGGCGCACGCAGCCCCACACCTTCAGGAGGGCCACCCCCGACGTGGACTACATGGAGAACGAGTGCGCACCGCGTGAGTACCGCCGCCAGGGAGGCTCTCTCTCGCACTCGTGGCAGCCCAAGTCTTGTCTCACCGCCTCTGTCTCTGCCGCAGAGCCACCCAACTGCGAGTACTCCGACTCGCCCGGCCGCTTCCTGCCCTACACGGACCGCTACGTGGCGCGCACCTTCGACGTCAACGAGTGCAAGAGGCTGTGCGACCAGGAGCGCGAGTTCCAGTGCCGGTCCTTCAACTTCCACGCCGTCAGGAGGTAGGTCAGGTCGGCGATGACCTCGGCGATCACAGCCGTGGCAAGTCAAGGCCGCGCCGAGCGCCTGACCGGCAGGCAACGCGACGGCACGCGTGCGCTCTGGTTGCCTACCCGGTCGTCGTCAGGCGCTCAGTCTCCGTCCTCTTGCAGGGACTGCTTCTTGTCCTCGGACGACACGTTCGCGGCGGACCGCGCCGCCCTCATGCTGGACCGCGACTTCTACTACAGCGAGAGGGGCTCCTGCAGCAACGGTGCGTTTTACTCCCACTATCCGTCGCCGTCCCCCTCCCCGTCCCTGTCCCCCTCCCCCACCACGTACCACTACGACGCCCACGGGGCCCACGGGGCCCACGGCGGGCAGCCCCCGTCCAGGGGCGGCTACTGGTACTGGCAGTGGTCCTGGCCGTGGGGCTGAGCCCTCGCGGCCCCCGCGTCGCACCGCGCACCATTTTGTACCGTTTTGCCAGAAATAAAGTAGCGATATTTTTGTACGACGGCGTGCTCGTCTCGCGGAGCGGCACTCGCGGCCGACTGCAGACTCATTCCGGACAGTCGCTTCGTCGCTCTGTCTCTCTCGCACTCATGGGGCGTCCCTATGGGTACCGTAGGGGTGCGAGAGAGACGGAGCGACCAGACGCTGTGCGGAAGCGCTCGGCCGCATGCCGTGTTCATAGTCGTGACCGAATCGCGCCAAACCGCTTCGCTCCGTCTTGTTCGCAATGCCGACAGTGTACCGTGCATAGTCGTCGCGTCACGGCCCACTCTTCCTGCGCCCTATCTCACTCCCGCACTTTGACCCCAAACAGTCACACCAAATACCGAAAATCTGCATTAAAAATTTGCATTTTCGTTTGGAAAATGTAGCACCAGGATGAGTTTGGCTGGTAGTCACGACTATGGACACGGTCAGCTGTGCATCCTCATTTTCCCTCCACACACTACACGACGATACACTGCAGATTTTTTTTTGCAAACAATAAGATGCAGTAATCAACAAAATAAATAGTTACAGAAACAACACATGAAACTGTCCACAATATGAAAAGAAACGACAAAAGAAAAACGCGGCCTATTGCGTCCTTCGGAAGAAGCGTTTTGGTCAGATTCGTGTTCCAGTCAGATTGATTCAAATGCAGACGCGAGCTAAACGAGTCCCTTAGGCCCTACATGCATGTCCTTTTCAGTAGTATTAGATGTTTTTCTTTAAGTACTCGGTGGTAGATCAATACGCTTGTAGAACAGTAGTGTAAGAAGCATGAGGGAAGGTCAAAGCTTTTGCATCGTAGAAACTAGAAAGTGCAGCAGCCTCCGTGCATGGGCAGTAGAGTCTCGTAGTCAAAGAGCGCCAAAGTGCGGCACTTAAGTTAGAGCAGCACGCCGCCGTGGCCTCGACGAAGACCACCACTTTGGAGGTAAGTTCGAAACTCACTCGACGCTTCCTGAAAATCTGCATGAGCACGAAGCGATCCACCAGCACCACGAAGAGAAACCTCGGCGACTTTGGAGGGCACGGTTTGGTGATGTTGGCGTTGCCTTTTTACAGTGCGGGTGGACTGCACGCAGTCCGACATGCTCATCACGTTCCTGTTCGGCGCGCCGTTCGAGGGCCGCGTGTACGCCACCGGCAACCCGCAGGCCTGCTTCGAGATGGGCAGCGGCCAGGCCCAGCTGGTGCTGCGCATCCCCATGGGCACGCAGTGCGGCACCGTGCAGCAGGTGAGGCACCGCCACGCCGCGCATGGCGGCACAACACCCGCACCGAAAACAACAACAACCTTTTTCTCCTTCCGCCAGGGCCGGGGCCGGTACGTGAATCACGTGGTGATCCAGCAGAACCCGGTCATCATGCAGGAGACGGACAAGACCGTGCGCGTGGAGTGCTCCTTCGACGCCAGCGACCAGACGGTGTCCTACGCGCCGTCCGGCACGCGGGACCAGGAGGGCGGCGGCATCTCCGTCACGTAAGGCACCCTCCCTCGCACCCTCACGAGGAGGCCGACGAGTGCGACGAGAGGCCTCCTCTGAGTGTCCTTGTCCTCTGCCCGCAGCGTGCCGTTCCGGCCGTCCGGCGCCAACATCGTGACGAACACGGCGCCGACCCCCAACGTGCGCATGCGCATCGTGACGCGGGCGGGCCAGGAGGCCGCCGTCGTGGGGCTCGGTGAGGAGCTGCAGCTGCGCGTCGAGATCGACCCCACCAGCGCGTTCGGCATCTTCGCGCGCAACCTGGAGGCGCGCACGGACAACGGCGAGCTGCTCACCCTCATCGACAACGTGGGCTGCCCCCGCGACCCCATCATCTTCCCCGCGCTGCAGGTGGAGCGCGGCGCCAGGGACCTGTCCGCCGACTTCAAGGCCTTCCGCTTCCCCTCCACCGCCACCGTCAACTTCGTCGCCACGGTCCAGTTCTGCCAGGACATCTGCGAGCCGGTACGTAGCCGGCCAATTGAAAACAAAGATCGTTTCAAAACTTTTTGCGCGCTGCCTTACACTGATTGCGCTCTGTGACCCCCTGCAGATTCGCTGCTACAACGGCGTGCACTCGTTCGGGAGGCGCCGGCGTCGCTCCGCCAACGACACCGCCCTGGACGGTCACGACGACGAGGCGGTCCTGGAGGCCGTGGTGGAGGGCAGCAACGCTATGGTGCACGCCCTCGCGCTGGCGAACCAGACCACCAGCACCTCCACGACGACGACCACCACCACCACTTCCACCACCAGTGCGCCGAGGCCCTCGACGCCGTCAACCACGACGCGCGCGGCAGAGGCGTCGACCACGGAGTCGTCCTGGGCGACGACAAGTTCGACCCCAAGCACGACTTCCACCACGTCGCCGACGTCCGCCGCCCCGACCACCAGCTCGACGACCACCACGACCACCTCGACCACGACCGCCAAGCCGGAAGCCGACCTCCCCAGTGAGCTTCCGCTGCAGCTGCGGGTAAGCAACGGACGGCAAGTGCTTGCGAACGGGGTTTCAAAACGTGTCGACACTGCCAAAGCTTTCGGTGTTGCAGCTCGTCGTCGGCGAGGACTCGATGCCCAAGCCCAAGCCCAAGGCCAACTCCGTGCCCGTGCTGGCGGACGGCAGTCGGCCGGCCAGCGTGGTGCAGACCCAGGGCGCGGACGTCAACGCCAGTAAGTACTAACGGCAGCCAGGGTTTTAAAGTCCCCTCTCTCCCTCAAAGTGACTGACGACGACGTGCCCGGTTGTCTGCAGGCCCAGTGGAGAACGCAGACTGCGCCTCGCAGTCCTCCCTCATCGCAGCCACCACGTCGCTCATGCTGCTGAACGCCGTCCTGTGCGTCGGCTTCGTCTTCTTCTACCGCGTGCGGAAGAAGCAGTGGAGCAAGGCGGGAGACCCGAGCCCACACTTCGCGCCAGTGCAAGTTGGGGTGAGTCTAGTCGGTTGGAGGTTCGAGTCTGATTGTCTGCCTGAGTGAGAAGCGAGCGGCTAAGAAGCATTTGCCTGTTGCAGGTCCCGGAAGTCTTGTTCAGGAATGTCTACGACAGGCTGCCGCCGAACCCGTCCTTGTCCTTCTCGACGCTCAGTTCACATCAACTTAGCAGCACATGATACTAAATTGAACCTTTTTTTTGTTCGACTTCAAAATGAATATGTCTTACCGATATGAGATATTGAGGGAGTACCAATTAATTGAATGCAATGTAAGCTTGTTAAGCTGCGTTAAAAGAATAATCCATCTCGCGGTCATATGCACGACTCTGGGTCATTCATGTGCAGCTGAGTTGTTGCTGCTGGTCAGGTACTTCCCCTATCTTACGGTGTTTGGTGCAGAGTCACTGGCTGCAAGGCTAAATTTTTCAGATTTCAATAGCACTAAAATAGAACTGTGAATTTTTGTTTCAAGAAAGAGAAGTTAGGTCCTCAAAATGTGTTTTGCCTAACAGATGGAGGTTTCATCTCCTTGAACTGCTATCAATGATGGTTTAAAATTTGGTTGTTTTGCCTGGTTCAATATCCTAGAGACATCCTCTCCTGTTTTCCATGAGAAGACAATTTCTTTTTTTATGTGTATGAGTGGTTCATGTGTGTGTGAGTGCATATAAGTGTGTGTGTGCATGTGTGTGGCTGCAAGTTTCTATTTGAGTGCGTGTTTGTGATCTTGAGAAAGAGAATGTGTTCTATTTATTTTATTCTTTGCCATACGTGGCTTTTTGATAATGATCTGTTTTTTTTTAGAAGCACTCAAGTGAGAGGTCACCGATATTTCCATTATTTTTGAAATTAGATAAGATGAAGCTAGTCATGACGCATAATTGAGTGACATTAAGATTAGATTTGGATCTTAAATATTCAAAATTACCCTTTTTACATAAGGGTCTCATCTAGCCATCCACCAGCTTCATACCGGTTTTTCAAATGTTTGTGCTTGTTAATTGCAATGTACAGAACACACATCTACACTTACTATTCATTATTGTAGGAGTTGTACATTTTAGTTGATATCTTGTTAATTAAGGTGCACATAAGAGTACTGAATTCTTAAAATTTTATGTAGCATTATAAAAATAAAGAGACGGCTCTACTATCTGATGTGTTCAGCCTTCATTCCATCTCTTGGAAACAACCCATTGGGGGTCAAAGTTTGATGATCCATGTAACTATGGCTCAGTGATCAAAAAAATTTCAGAAGAGGCTCTACCATGCTAGAGGCTTCTCAATGTGTCAAACATGAGAGAAGAAGGGTATCAAGAAAAATTAGCTCAAGTTTTCTCCTTTCATTTATTTAAAAATGCCACACGTAATCACAATGATAATAATAATAATGACCATAATAATCAATAATAATCATTACAATAATAGAATATTCTCCATGAGTCTACTTTATACAATGTATCCTACCATATCTATAAGTCAACTTCACCAACATATCTGGCAAGAGATGCTGAAATAGATTAATAATTTATTTCATTGGAACGTTTCACAATACGTCACAAATTTCTAGGTGAAATCCGTTTCAACAACAACAAAACATAATATAAAGAAAAGGAGTCTAGTTCACAATTGTCTTCAAAATTAGATATCTTTAAAAAATTAAAAACAAAAACAGCCTTTACTGTCATGAGAACCTAGCCTTCTTTCTGTGAACTTCATAGAAAAGTGTATGGAATAACATTTTACAGAACAAAATACAACTACAGCATATTCTTTGGCCACATCATTTTTCTCTTAATTAACCACTTGGTTGGCCTTCAAAAACTACATAGAAAGTACTTTCTCAACTTCGGGTTCTGACCAACAATAGATAGAGAAGTTTTAAAAACTTAAGGAAAGTCGTTTTCCCGACAGTTATTTGTTTGACAAAACTTGAAAAAGTACTATTTACATAGTCAATGCAGAAAGGAACATTTGTAAAGGATACAATTCCTATGCGATGAATGATACATGTCATATCACTGATATTTGTCAATAATACTGAAAATGTGCAAAAGCCCCTCAATATTAGTTTGCTTTAAACTAAATTTGGCAAATTTTAAATCTCATAGATCTGTAGGATTTGGATCACACTAGTTTTTGATTCACTATCAAAATGGTGCTGTAGTTAAAAAAACACGAACATCACTTACAGGAAGTGAATCATACCATTAAACAGCCATGTATTGCACAATAATTTCATGATAAGGTGAAAGTATCGTGGAACTACCATGAAACTCAATAAGATCACCACCCTCAGATAAAATATAAAATAACACCAAGAATCAACAATTTGACTGCTATTAAGTTAGAGGATAAAGAAAAACCCTAAACCATTTCAAAAATTGACTTATTGAATTGATGCCTACATTACTACCAACCACCTCAAGCTTGTTTCACAGGTGAAAGTAGCAGAGAAACAAACAGAATCGAGTATGTTTTTCAAAGGGTTACAGTCATCCTTGGTAGAACGGAACGAATGTTGAATGAGGTAAGCAATGTGCAATAGGGTCTCTGCTGTTTCAATTTGCTCAGAAACTCCCGAGCAAACAATTTCCACAGATGTAAAAATTACGTACTTTGAGGGAATGGTACAACTGACAACCAAGAAGCTACACACCGATAACTGGATTTACTTTTCACAAAACGGGTCTGAACTGTTTATGCAGCAAAAACACCTAGGCTGAAGAGTGGCAATATAAATTTAGTTCTGAGAAAAAGAATTCAGAAAAAATTTACAGTTTTATCACAATGACCGGTTTCAATTCCAAAAAGTTCCATCCACAAAAACCACCAAACTTTTACTAGCCAAAATTTTACTAGTTAAAAAAAGAAAAATGAAACAGTAAACAACACAAACTTTGTCAAGAAGAACATGAGGAATATGTCATCACATTTGCATTTCAATTACAGAGTAAACAACTCTTAAGTTGGTAGTAAGAGACGTCTTGATCGCTTAATATCTACTTGCCACAGTCTACGAGCCCCCAACATGGGAGGCCCTTCATGCATTCATATCTTAAATACTGATTCTGATTCTTGCCAATTCTTTATACACATGTAGGTAATTTGTTTCATTCATCAACAAGTGAAAAGGTCATTTATAAGTTTTAAAATATTTACAACTCATAATATTACTTTAGTTACAGTTATTTCAATAGTAATTCAAAAGGTAATTTGGCTACTGTGACGTTTACGTGAATGTTCATCTTAACTGTGGTCTGTCAACATTTAGGTATGTACAGTGGGGTAAGTGCATGGAAAAGGAGGAAGAGAGACATAATCTTACTGTGATGTCAAACAACAATGTACTGGCGCTGACTTGGGCTGCAAGATTCTCAATTTGTTGAATAATTTGTTGAGCCATGACATATTTATCTCTGATTTGAAGTCTAGAAGCATGAACAACGATGCAAAATTATTCAACATGATAGAGTAAGCACATTAAGGCAAGCAGTTGCAAAATGAATATAAAATAAAAACGGATAAAAATTGTATTGTTTACTGTGTAGTGTTTGCACCATCACTGAAGAGATGTCCCATAGTAATTCAAACACATGTCACAAAAACAAAGTGTGTGCGTGAGTGAATGCATCCCATATTGCCTTAAAATACCACATTTTCTTTCATAATGGTAACTCAATCTTACCACTTAATATTTACAATTTTCCTAACCAGCTTTGGCCAAATTATATCTCTAAAGACCACCCCCCCATAATGGGGCATGAATTAATTATTACAAGTAATGAGGCATCTCTGCTTAGGGACAGATATACACCAACACACACCCACGCGCGCGCGCATTCACTCACACACAGTCTCACACACTACAAGCAGTCACACAAGAGAACCTCTGTTACCCTTGAAATATTTTTTTCAGCTGCCCAGCTTCACTTAGCCCACATATTTATGGGCAAATGGCAACAAAAAAGTAACAAAAAAGCAACATACATTAAAAACCATATTGCTTCTGTAACAACAAAATTCTACATTGCTAATAATAGACGTGTAATTATGATAGTTAAATTTCATTAACACATGTTAAAAGTGGTAGGACAATCAATTGGTCCTTAAAAATGAAAAGAAACACATGTGATTTCCAGCACAAATGCTCAATTCATTAAATTACAGATATGTTGCAGAGAGATCATGCTCAGAATAGGACCAGCCTTAATATTAACTGATGCTGTTTAAGCCCAAGAGCTTTACCTTTGGCAACATAAAGTTCACACCATACCAATCTTGGATTTGTACTTAAGAGGTTCACTTGCACGGGAAGAGAGATAGTGAGAGAGAAATTAAAGAATAAAAAGGAGAAAATAAATGAGGGCAGTGACATGATCATGTAGCCTTCATTGCTACAGGCATAAAAGTAATTTGCAAACTACAAAATAACATAACATAAATTAACTACAGCTTTCCACAGAACAAGTCATGTAGTAAATATCGATAAACTGACTCAGATTGCAGTTACTTCTATAATCTTTTAAAAACTGGAAAATAAAAACATTTTTTAAAAGTAAAATGAACAGTTGAACAAAAATTTATAAATAACAACACAAAGTTCTGATACTTTCAATTCAGTACAGGGAAAATCCTGCCATATAGTGTGATTCTTGGTGGGCATAAAAGTGATGTTTAGTAAGAGGATGCAGGATGTCTTCAAATCCGACTTCAAAATCTGATATTCACACATGCCAGGAAAATCACATTTGCGGCTTTCAATAGCACTGGCATCTTTCACCATCCACACAAACACTCACACTCACACTCACACTCTCGCAGTCACAAACATACTCACACGGCCGTGCGCGTCCACAATCACTCATTCACTCACTCATACAAGCATATTTATGGTTCATAAACTTTTACCTCATCTCTATCACACATCCAAAAATACAAATAAGAATCAGATTGCAAGTCTGATAATTATAGGAACATAAATAAAACAAGCACAAAACCTGTAGTTTAGAGAGAGAAGAAGCTCAGACCATTCCCTTGTGGAATGAAACAATTCAAAAGAAAAGGGTTAAGTATCTATGAATGTCAAAAGTATTGAAATGGCTCACACGCCTCCCACAGATACTTAATTTTGCTGACTAGCCGCTAAAGGAAGAAGGAACGTAATGAATGAAACCTGTTCTAAAATCAGTTTTCATTCAATTTCATTTAAATAAATTGAGATAAACTTGAGATGTAAAGAGACACTGCAATCTGATTTCACAGGAATCAAAATGGGTGGTAATCGAGGCAGGGAGCGAGGCAGGGGAATGGGTAGGTAGGAGAGAGTAAGGCAGGCCAGGGCAGCAAGACCGCCCAGTCAGTCCTCACAGAAGTGGAACTGGGTGTTATTGCATGAAATGGTCTGGATAATCCGAGTCTTTCTCAAACCTCTTGGCTTCTTCCTGCATACTTTCCTTAATTTTCAGAATGGCTGCTGATTCAGTTTGATCCTGAAATGAGAAATTACCTTGTTGTACATTTCAAGAATTTTCAGTCAAACTAGCAAAATTTGAGCACTTTCTAGCAACATGAACAGCTTACATGAAACTGATTCCGTTTACAGAGATTAAAATGCAACTACAGATAGTCTAATAAGAATCTAAAGCAAACAAAATAAAGAACCTGGAATTTTGATATCATGCAACACACCTTTCCTGAATGTGAGCGTGGTGGACATGTTAAATATGTGTTGAGGGCAGTAGGGAGGGTTTCCGCCCGCTCTATGAAGGCACACACACAACTGGTATTATGCTTTCAAAAATATCTTTAATTACAAAAAGAAATTTACACTTATTCCCAAGGCAACAATTCGTCTTTACATTAGAAATAAATAATCCTTACTGAGGCTCATTTTATGACAACAGTTTCTTACAAGATACATTGTCTGGCTGCCAATAACCTCCCAACTCCCCAGCACATGTCACTCATGTCCCCACACACACCACCATCAAGCATCATGAAGAAACAAAATATCCAACATTTATCATCATTCCGATAGGTCCCAAAATATAATGATGGAGAAAAAGATACTAAATGCAGACATCTCAGATGGTGATGTTAACTAAAATGAAAATAAAATGTTGTTCATGACACTTGCACCTTGTACAAATGTGTTTTGATTAATAATTTTGATCTTGAGAGGAAGTTAAAATCGGATTTCAGATAGATGAGCTTGTTTGGTTGCATGTCAACTAAGAATTCATTGTACAAAATTTTCTATTTTATGGTGCACTGAAGCAAAAAGAGTCTATAGAAAGCTGCTTTCAACAAGTGTGCATGAAAAGCTATGGACCAGGCTCAAGCCAGTGATGTAAACAGAGCAGACAACGAATAGACATAATAATCCTGTATGCATTATCAGGAAGTCATGCTTAAACTGCTCTGTTTACTAAAGGCGTTGGAGCTTGATTAATGTACAATAAATACAGAAAAAAGAGTAATAAGAAAGCTGCAAAGAAATAGGTGACTATTAAGCTGAGAAGTTGGGAGGATAAGGCTACATAACCAAATTGATTTCTGCCCTTTACAAAATCGGAGCCATACCTTGCCTTGCTGCAGATCTAGTTGCATCAAAAATACTGCAAATGCTACATATCAAAAATTAAGGTTGAATAAGTCATTTCAAAGCAATCTATAACATTCAACTAAAAAAGAACTTCTGTGTAAACAAGGCTGCAGCAAAACAAAGAATAACTGATCATGCAGTGTGAGGCATTGGAATTCTCACACAGTAATATGTTCAGTCAAAAAGGTCTGCCACATAGTGAAATCTCAATTAAATAATAAAAAAAAATCCAGGGAAATAGAGGGTATGTTTGACAGATGCCCCTGTTTGCTGAACATATTTGGAACAAGGCTAAAAAAATCATGCAAACAACATGAAAATTTATATTTTAACCAAGTTTCTTGGTAAAGTGGACTACCACCAACAACAAAAAAATGTGGATAACTTTACAGCCCAAAAGATCAATAGAAATGAAATAAGATCTTGAGTGAGATTGTTCCACAAATCACATGCAGAGAAGAAGATTAGGTGAAACTGACAAAATAATGTGCTTTCAAACATTTCCACAAATTGAAAGAGGGTGGGAGAGCCACAGACAACAGGCCCTTTATATAATAGGTAAGTAAGAGTGCTATAAGCTTCAGAGGTAAAAAGAAAAACTTTCCTCATCTTATGTATTACCCTGTAATCAGACTCTGGAATACCCAGAGTTTATCACAACCCAATAATTTCAACTTTACTGATAAATATTCAACAGACTCTGCATCATGCAGATTTGAGAATGGTATTAGTGATAATACTATACCCATCAAAAAAACAAAACAAAGCACAAGTTCAACAGCTGTCCACTGTGGAGATACGTATTTTTAACAGTCAATAGATCTGACTAATCCATTAACTGCGACTTTGCAACTAGAATCGGTTTGATGGAAAATACAGTACTTGTATTCTTTATGGCAAGCCTTTGGCAATCTCAAGTACAACCTAAAACAATTCTGATCTTTACTATGAATACCACAGGATGGAAAGGAAAGACAAAAAAAGAATCTAAGAGAGGGCAATTTAAAGGGAAATGAGCAATTTGTATAAGAAATATAATCTAGATGAAATTTAAACTCCTAATACTGATTTGAAGAGTAAATTAAAACATCCGTCCAGCAATATTATAAAGGTGAATTGGACAAGCCAAAACTGAAGCCTTACTGCTCATTGCAGGGCAATTTTCCTAATAGAAGAGAAACTATTCAGAACAAAAAGGCAAACAACGAATATTACTTGGCTATTTTTGTCATGAGTGCTTCCTATTTGGAAATCATGCAAGTAGCTAAGTCATCTCAGATCAAAACTAATCCATCACAGCATGAAAAAGTAGGCTTTGCCTAGTCTTAAGACAGAGTACAACAAATACTATTGGTCAAATAATTAAAAGAAATCAGCTACAAATTAAAATTCACTAACCACAAAGTAAAAGGTTACGGGAACCCTTCAACAACCTTACATTCACAACCATTTAGTGTAAAAATAAACAAAAAGAGCAAAGATTAAGATAAAACTTCAATAGTTAAGTGGACATGATTGTATTTACATATATACAAAAAAGCGAACCAAACATGAAAGCACTGGACACTGTAAAAAGCACCTAAGAATAACAAGTACAATAAAACAAAAAAAGGCTTAGTGTAAGTGGCTTTAGTTGGCATCACATGCCGACAGCTTCAAGGCTCAATTTGTCTCCTGACTAGCAACTGTCAGCAATAATTACAGAATCAAGTATCTTGTTCATCACATTGTGAAATAGAGCACCATACTGTTTAGCACAATCTTCCCAAACTCCACTTTAAGTAATTTTTTATAGATCAAGTTAAGGGGAATTTACATATCCACGATTCAGGAGAATTTAAAAATCGTCAAAAGAGGAAGGTTGTAATGTCAATAAATGCTAAAAATTCGCTGTACTATAAATACAATGAAACGGATTTATGGCAATTAACAATCTAATGTCTTGGCAGAGGTGCTAATCTAAAATCACAGTTGAGTGAATTATGAAACTTAATTCATTAAATTGAACTGATTCAGGTGTTTTCTATCTAAATTGATAAGCAAATACGGACTTCACATCTTATTCAGTAGCGACTGTGAATTACTTGTTTCATAAACAATAAATAGCAAACATTTCAAACAAGAGATATCAAATGGTAGCACCAGTATTACAGAATACAAAAAACAGTGGGTAGTAAATGTTTAGAAACGTTAATTTTAATTTGTTTTAGAGTCAAATTAACCATAAATCAATGCTTGAGCAGACAAAATAGCACAAGCTTCACAACCCACGAATCACTTTAAAACTAAAATTGAAAAGTGATGTAAGCGTTAATAATTAGGAACTTAATCAAATGTCAAGTAAAATTTTCCAGAAGTCGCAACTTTGATTAAAAATTCATTAACTAATTTAATAAAAAATTGAGCAAACGAGTTCCACAAGCTTGCTTTTATGCTCCTCAAAGAAGCTGGGCTCTATAAAAACGTAATTAGCATAGAAGCCGCTTTCTAAGTTGATTTTATAACAAGCTATTCACAATATTTTCACAAATCTAACAAACCAACAGCTCTGATAAATACAGTTCCAGAAAAAGGAAAACAAGCCAATTCCTGGGCCAACTGAGTCAAATGGAGCTTGAGCCACAAACACATTTTCCAGTTCGTTCTCAACACAAGGTGTTGAATGAGGATTTGAAGACTACTAGAGAGCAACAAATATACTGTCCTAGACAATATTAAAACACTAACTTTCCTCACGAGACAATTGAGCATCAGGATTCAAACCCATACATCTTCCAGCCAGCAACGCACCACGACAAGCCAAGAGAGGAGCTAGTGTCGCTGGTGCAGGGACTGACAGACTGCTAATCTACGTGTCCGCGAAGTATCCGCCGCCTCCCATACTCACATTTTCGCCCGGGCCTCCGAAGCCCCCAAGATTGTAGTCACCCATCCCACTGCCGCTGTCTTCCCTCGGGGTCCCGGGGCCGCCGTTGGCTGGAGAGTTCTTCATCCCGTCGAGCCCGTCCCCGTTCATGACAGGCCCCATGGGGCCCATGGGCCCTCCCTCTGGGCCACCTCCCATAGGGAAGTCCTGAGACAAACAAGCGGCAAGGTGTTACACGACAGGACACAACAGTTGCTTATCAATGGTCGATTTAAAGGAATACTTACTCCAGGCATGTTTCCACCAGGTACAGGTTTCATCATAGTGTACATATTCTCACCCCCTGAATTTGAAGAGTCTGGAACAGAAAATTGTGTTTCAGTGTTTTGTTTGTTCCTTGTTCAAGATCGTGTAAGTTTGCGTAGTGAGTTAGAAAAAGGGAAAACAAAAGTAACAACAATAATTTAGAAAAAGAGGGGCACAGGTGACTTTTGACCCATGCCACAGCCACATCAAGCAAAGTGATCAATGAAGCATCAAATAGTTGGACATAGTTGGACAAGAGAAGAAATAGCAGCTGCTCACAAGTAATATAATTATTACATAAATGCTAAAGAAAAGAGGCATCTTCCAAAAATTGAGTAACATCAGAGAAGGGCGCCATTCTCTTATGCTTGCAGGAGATAGATTTTATGTACAAGTTACTTGACTTTAGTATTCAAGACCATACCTCCACCATAAAAAGCACCATTAACATGAACAGTAGCAACATAAATAAGGGGTACGGTAGTATTTGTCAGCATGCAATCGGTGTTCGCAAGTCAAATACTAGAGAGAGACAAGGAGAACAGCATTCAAAAAGAAGCAGTCCTACATGGTTATAGTTCTGTATATACAGCATGGAAAATTCATTTTTATGAAAAGTTCTCACTAAGCAAACACTGGTAAGATTTGTTTATGCATTGTACCAGTGCTCATAAAATTTCCCATAGAATGAGGTAAATGGCACCCATATAAGACTAAAGGAAAATACCAATATCAAATCAAATTTAAAATGAGGTTGAAAATAAGATATGTACTTCTAAACTAGCTGCTATTTCCCCACCTTCTTTTTTCGTTTGAATCAGCACAATGTTTCTTACTGATCTACAGATTTGGCTAGAAAATCAATTTAATTGTGCTGGTGTAAAAGAGAACAATCACCTTGTCTTGCAACAGGACTTGGAGTGGGCATTCGATGACTAGCGGGGGAGTAAGGACCCACAGAACCTAGAAAGAAACCAACAGTCAGTGGTGCGCATTTTCACTGGCAAGAACAGTGCCAGTGAAGTGCTGCCAATTTATCAACTCTGCAATTCAAAAGGGTATCGCCAAGCAAGAGAGGGACCCAAAATCAGCAATGTGACACAGTTAAATGTATCAATTATGTTAAAACAGCAAAACAAAGAGTCAATTAAATGATGAAAACTAAACTTGATAAATTGGCAACACATTATTCATTGCTGCAATACTAATTTAAAAAAAAAAAAAAAACATGCCTAATATTATCTTGGAGAGCCCTTATTGTGACAAACCACTAAACAGGCCTATTTACTCCATGAAAATAAATTTATCAAAGGGTCAGACTGATTCATTTCCAGTATACTTGATTTTTTTATACTTTTACGAATATGCCAAATGTGTGCTTCAACAATGTGAATTAGTCACAAATACATGTAAAGCAACAAGCAGTCAGCATGCATTCGTGAGTAAACTACAAAGCAACAAGTTCTTAAGTATGGATCAAAACTGCAAGTTCACAAAGCATTTAAAGCTGTTGGCAGTTTTGATCAACTCATCACCAGAAGCATCAAGCAAACAGAAACTCTTTGTTTTCAAATAGGACACAATAGTAATTTTTCAGGATCTGACCTGAATTTAATGCCAAGAAAAATATTTACACTGGCATAGAAGCTAAGAGATCAATGGTAAAATTGACTTCACAGCGCAAACTAATCAAATCAACTCCATGCACCTGGCATGAGTCAACTCCTAAGAAATCACATACAACCTAACAAAGCACGATGAAAGTTTGTGAAATTCCAGAGGTAAAAGTTAATTGCGGCTTGAGTTTGTTATGAAGGTCTCCATTAAATCCTATGTACTCACCCTGCGGGCTAGGCATAATAGGTGTTCCTGGGCCTGGGGGTCCGGATGATCCAGGTGGGCCCTGAAACAGAGAAAGTCAAGACAAATTAGCTATTGTTTGCCAAAAACCAAATTTTTTTGCTAAACGCTGAATTTAAAACTTACCCCATAGTTCCCAGGAGATGATGATGAGTAGTTCATAGGCTAGAATCAAATAAGGCACCAAATAAGTTAAAATAACGCGCTGCACGATGACACGATAAAAATAGCCACTGACGGGATGGGACAGCCTACCGTCGACGTGTTTGGTTGCCACTGCGGTCTTCCCCCCGGTCCGCCTCCCATTGCCATTCCTGGGGGCATACCCGGTCCGCCGGGACCCCCTGGACCGCCTGGGCCGCCCGGCCCGCCGGGACCTAGGCTACTGTTAGGGGGAGGCCCCCGCATCCCGGGGCCGTACGAGCCAGGGCCCATGGGGCCCATGGCGGGGCCACGGGGAGGGTTCATTCGAGGATTCATGGGATTCATTCCTGGGGGTCCTGCAATCAGCAAAGTGTCAGATTAGAGGTGCGCACAAGGGCAACCACAGGAAAAAAACAACAACATATCGTCAGATATCCAGCAATTTTGTGAATAAAGCAACAGGAACTAGGATCATAGCATCAAGATTTGTGCAATGCCTCAAGAAAGCCAGAGACAGAGAGGGTGCACATACAAAATTTATAATAATAAACATTGGGTAATAAAAAATAAAACTAGATAGAATATTGAACCACAAAGAACAAGACTGATAAATTGAGAGAGAAATCTAGATTATCTTCTGAATGAAATAAAAGAATGAATACTCAGGCAGAATGAGCTTCATTCTTTCATCTACTTTACAATAGACATACAATACTCGGTAGAAAAACATTCAGTAATGTTTCAAAGATTTAACCACAGGCTAGGTTTATTAAGTTTATTAAAATAAGCCACAACTTTTGAAATAAACTTCATGCACATGAACTTTGTGAGAAACATTCCAACAGAATTGGTTGCATGTTAGCCTAGACTGTTACAAAACAAGCAGGCAATAAAAACCTTGGGAGCGGAAAGTTTCTTGAGCTCCAATAAAAATTTGGCAAACCCAAAAATACAAGAGAAAACATTCGGCTGATTTAAGTGCACCACATTTGATCAATGAAGATAAGTGCTTAGGTTCAAGAATGAATTATGATAAAGAATGACAAATGAGAGGAAAATGTGATGGTATGACAGGAGACGGCAGGCATGTCGGCAGGCAGGCAGACTGATGCAATGTGGGGGAATAGACAGCAAATAAGGCAGATAAAGAGCGAGCATGGGCATGAGAAATAAGTTGACTGCCTACCTTGCCAACCTACATACTCTCCGCCCTCACCTGAGAAGACAGAAACAGAGCTATGTCAATGACAATTCACTCCACGTAACAGTGTGACGAAAGGTAGAGAAAGGGGCAGAACAGCCACAAATCATGCATTCATGTTTTCCCATGGACGTATTCTTGATGCTAAACTCATGGTAAAATATGTGAGGAAAGATGAGAGGTGTCAATAATTTGTGAAAGAGGAGAAAGAAAGAGGGTTGAATTCAATTGTCATAAATTCAGAGGAGACATTTCATACCATTCAAATAGAACGGTGGTAGGAAACTCTGGTTGTAAACTCCATCATGCCCCTTACATACATGAATGACAAATTTGTGGCTACTTGCACTTGTCCAAAGACAAATGCTTGCCAACAGCTGATAGAGGGTCCTTTTATTATCCTACTTTACAAAAGTTTAAGGGTGTCCTGTAGTTGTTTAAAAATACACCAAAATTGCCTTTTGGTGCAATGGGAAGTGAGGTGGGTCATGATATTACAACAAAATTGGTGCAACACCTGAAAAGGGGTCTATTAGGTCACAAATCAGTATCAAAGGGACTAGAATTGAAGAAAACATGACTGAAAATAATACATGTAATTAAACAACTAGGGCAAGCTGTTCAAGATATAGCATTATTTTTAATAGCAAATTAAATATCCGCCTTTCCAAATATACGACATGATGGAATACGAAGATGAGTGAACAATTGAAGTCTGGTTGTAGATTTAATGACCAAGAAATGACCAATGGCGGCTGAAGATGTGGTGCACCCCAAAGTAAAAGGATGACTTTATATGATGGTATTAATTTTTGAAAATAAGTCCCACCGTAAAATACCATGCAGTACCTTGAAACTGCTAGCACATCCAGGAAAAAACTTTTTAGTTAATTTTATGTTCCTCTCAGTGCAAAGTTTACAACCTGGATTGTGCCAGCAAATATCAAGAAATCCCATTCACCCTTCGGCTTTTCATGCACATAAGATGCAAAGGGAAAAACTTACCTTGCCGTGTTGGGTCCATACTGTTCGGCATCATTGGTTGACCCGGAGGCTGCAATAGCAGATGCAAAGGATTAAAACATTACATAAATCGATAAAAGAACTTCAAGTTTCTTCAAGAATCAAACTTCGTCCCTTACCCCATTGAATTCGCTACCCATATTTGGCATCCGAACTCCCCCTGGGCCTCTGGGACCTGGATACCTCGGTCCCATGAACTGCTGAAACAAATAATAAGAGGGGCAATGGCACATTAGTCAGGTTAGGCCAGTTCTTTTAATAATACTTACAGATTATACTGATGAAGTTAAGTGACCCTACTAACTAACAATGACAACCCCATTCAGTCAGTTAAATTATTTTTAAGTATTTTCAATGACGATAAGATATTTGACAGTCCATTAACTTTCTTTTTCTACTGGTTGGCACAATCATCAGCTCACTATTAAACAAAAGAAAATTTTAAAAATTTGTGAATAGTGATAAGGTTTTAGTTCTGACAAAACTGATATGAACATTTTAAAGAAAAGATAGGAAACACTGTACTGACTGAGTGCATAGTCATGCAATTTAGTTGTAGCCTTGTTAATGACATAATTTTGATAAAAGGAAAGTGAAAAGAAGTAGAGGTTCTCCAAACATGAACAGCATTTTGCAGTTCTTTCACTTCAATTTAAGGACATGAGGGAACAATTATCAGTAAAACCATTGAATAATTGCATCCCGCCACCAGTGTAGACACCTTGCCCGTCCTGGAAAAGGACATGATGTACTAGTGCAGGTAAACAAAGTCAAGAGAAGGAAGAATTTGAGCAGAATCACCTTTCCTTTTTGATTTAGGGTGAAGGTAAAATGTTTGAACATATGGAAGCCCTACACTTTTGTCTGTACAACTAACTTCAGATCTCAGTGGACCAAGAAAAAATAAATTTGTCCTAAGATGTGCCTAAAATATTTTCTTTCTAAGATCAATATACAATTAGCATTGCATGTATAACAAATAAATGCCACCGAGCCCACTCTCAAAAGAACCTGAATCACCACTGTGGCTAAGAGTGAAGTGTACAACCCACTAACAACTAAGGTAAAGGCTTCAGCCAGGCAGAGAACATGAGGTGTCGAGTTCCTTTCCTAATCTATAAAGGAAACATTAATGTTGATTCATGAGACTAGCGGTCTGATGGATGATTCTGATTGCCAAAGTCACTGTGTAGCTGCATAAATCTCCCTAAATAAAATAGTAATTAAACACCTTAAAACCATGTCCACATTATTAGCCTAGAAACAACATAATGCATGGAAGATAAACATTCATATCTAAACTTTCAAAATAAAGACTATTTGAGACCTCATTAATGGAGTAGTCTAGAAGTCTGAAAGCCCCACGTTGTCAAAAGTGTGTTGCTTCATTGCCTAAGGTAATAAAACATAATAGGTATACAATATTTCAAGACTGTATCTACATGAATAAATGGCAAATGATACACTTTTCTACAGCACACCAAAGGCTTCAGTTTGATAATATCTGACTGAATCTGAGCTTCTTCAGGCTCTTGTTTACAAAGGCAATGACAGCTTAGTAATTGCTCATTCCTTTTCAGGGTGCATTTTTGAGTGAAGCCTGTGATAAGTCTACATAATCTTGCTTGTGCAGTTGTTGTTAGCATGCATTGGAGTCCAACAGACTTCTGAAAGTATCAACCAAAGAACTTCAACATGGACTACATAGACTCCACTGCACACGAAGTATTCTATGCTGCAAATTCGTATGTAGTACAGAAAGCACAATGCTACATATTAACACAAAGGAACATCCCAGTAATACAAGTCAAATCTCATCACACAGTATCCACATTGGGTATTATCAATGTCACTTCATGGCAAACAATATTGCAACCTGAAAATATTTTTGTGAGGGATCAAAACTGCTCTTCTCTTCCACCACTCCGCAAAATAAGTGGGGCATCATATTGTGACGGTAGGTGAGCATTTTTATTCTCTCACAAGTATGACTGAGATCAAGTTCATTTCAGTATAGCACTTCAGGTCACACAGATTATAAGAACTGGGAAACTTGAAGGGCCAAACAGAAAGCAAAGGACAAAACATGCAAGAGCACAACTTTGGTAAACATAGACACAGACAAAAGCACACAACATGCAAGATGAAAAGCAGAAAGCAAGCATGTTAATCACAAAAGCACCATTAATAGTATGAGTTTGGACTGACAAGAATGAGCTCATAAACTATTCCAAGTATACATTTCTACTACAACTTCACTCCAGGACCATAAACAAGAGACAGAAGAGATGTTTGCTTGGCACACAGGATAAAGTGCTTGCTTCAAGGGTTCATTGCGGGTTCCTCACATGATTCATTCGGTCCACAGCCGAAGAGCAAAAAGAGTCTCATCAATGAAGTTGCAGTAAATACTGAAGAACGAACTCAAACTGATGTTACTAGAGCTCATGCTTGGCGAGTGGAAGTGGCGGAACTCACCTGACTTGACATCATCTGGCTGTGGGGTGGAGGGGGCTGGGGGTGTTGAGGTGAGGGCTGAGATGACGGATGTGTGGGGGGAGACGGCCTCATAGCCGAGTTCTGTAAAACACCACACTCGACCATTGCTAGCCACCCAAAAACGCAACGCCACATAAACTGATGCTGAGGCAGAACAAACTCAACCAACATTCCAGAAATAAAGATGAGGAACAGAAAGTGAGTGACTGATTTAGGAGCTAAGCTTAAATTTCCAAAAGTATATGGAAAACATTAGCTGAGATAATTTCTTGAAGTAATTTGGTTAAATTTTGATCAAAAAGAGATGCAGATTCAATGTCACTTTCCGGAATGGTTAATTGAGGCTTGTTAATTAGAAAGTAAAGAAGTGAGATATTTCAAATAAACATGAGGTTAGAACTGGTAGAAACAAATCATGCAGGAAGTGGAAATCGTTTGGAGAGACTGATGAAACATATGGCATGCAAGAAACACATCATGTAGGGAGTTCGTCAGGGGGGCTAACACACACTAAGCATCTAGATCTGGCACCTCCTTCACCAAATTTTCACCGTCTATATAGAGGGCTATCATAGGAGAACAGAATAAAACAAATCTACTACTTTTCAGCCAGGGAATGACCTGAGGGCTGACACAAAACGAAAAAGGAGTCCTGCCTACATCACAAGAAGTGATTGGTTTGTTTTCCTAATGCTATAATCAAGCATCACAGGGTCTTGATCCAGAAAATATTTGAAATGAGACAGAGGATGCAAAACATGAAGCAACAGCTTAAATACAGCATAGTCCATATATTAATGAGCTGCAAAAAATAAAACAAGATATGGCACCTAGAACAAGTTTGACGTTACTTTTGAGATGAAGAGGGGCACAGGCTTTGAGTCCAGGGGTGCACTTGATAAATGGGCATACTCTTCATCTTATTGAAATAGCTAACAGTGAGCCACTAGAGTGAAACTGAAGTAGGGAAGCCACAACAGAGAATATGAATAGGATATGATGAAAAATATTTCAAAAGATAATGAAATAAGACTTCTCACAAAATCTACAACAGCTCAGTTTAATGAAAATTGTTTAAGAAATGCACTTAAATTTTAAAGGTAAATGCTGTGGAGAGGGTTGCAGACAGGCATTTACAACTAACTGACATAAACACAACAAACAGTGCAGAAATCCGTAAGCACATGGACAAGAAACAAGCTTTGGAGGCTGTATTCCATACACGCACACACACAGATACACCAAGTATAGGGTAATACTGGCTGGCAAAAGAAGATAAAAAGAAAAAAGTTCATGTCCCATAAAAACTGGGTTGTTTGCAGGATTTTAAAAGAAAAGTTATCATTATTTTCATTTGGAAGGAAAATTAAATTATTGCACTAAAGTCCAAGGTCAATGGATTTTTTACTTGCAGCTATAATGTGAATCAAATGTTGTCCAATCGACCCATACATAATGACTTGTTTCAAAATATTCCAATCCCAGTAAACATGCAAACACGATTTATATTAAAAATAAAATTGGACGAGGGGCAGAAAGGCAACATGATGCAACATGCGCAGTTCATTCAAAGTCAGTGACAGCAGCCCATTCAACTGGAATGAAATATGATAGTATGGTAGAGCCGCACAAACACTGCCTCGTGCACCTGACAAATGCACACAGATGGAGAAAAATTATGGTTTAATAAACAGCCATACTGAAAATAAAAGGCCCTTCTTGCTACGGATGGATGTCTTGAAATCAGGATTAGACAATGCAAAACGATACTGTAAATGGGGATGGCATAAAGAGACTTCTCCGTTCCTTGACACCTGAAAATTTTCAAAATCCAGTGACACGAAAAATGATTCTCTAGCTATTCAACTCACCGGAAAGAAGCCAGGCGGCATTGGTCCTCCGGGCATGCCGTCGTTGGGAGGCATCTGACCGAGCGGACTTGGTGCAGGCGCATTCTGAAACGACAATCAAACCCAGCTCAGTTTGCTGCATCAACCAGAACACCAAAACAAATTCAATGGATTATTATACTTACATGTGCAATGCCATTAACTCCATAGCCAGAATTAACAAAACCCTGCAACACAAATAACGGAAACACGACAAGGTCAAAACACAGTCATAAAAGGGAACCACATCACAGCCAGTGGGCAAAGTGTACGAAAAACTCACATAATCGTGAAATGCTTTGGCTTCACTCGAATGTTCACAAGTGTCTCTCCTCTCGGGTGCGGCGCAGTACAGATCCCAAAAGACACTGCAACAAAGAGAAGGGCATTGTCACACCACCTTCAAGAGACACTGACAAATTCACGGGCCCCCCCGAAATTTCCTCCCTGACAGCTCAGCCAGCCAGGCTATCTACTTGGTTCACGCAGCGAAGCCGAACCGACAACGGGGGAGCCGCCGTGCCACTAGGAGCCGCAGCCGATCCGTTCGTCCCAGTTCATCCTTGCCGCCAGGGACTCTAGCCTCGCGCAGGGCGCAGGGCCGACGCGCTGGCCGCGCAACAACGTGCTGCGTGCGAAGAGCGCCCAGCGGCCAACCGGCCAAGCGGCGCGGCCCGCACGCAGCCCATCGATTGACACTCCTCGCTAGCGTCGCCTAGTCGCCAGCCTGCAGGCCGATCGCGGACACTGCCTCTGTCTCTCTCGCACCCCTGCGGCCCAATGGCCGGCCCCTGCAGTGTGACAGAGACAGCGCGAGGTGGCCCTGCTGGCCCTGGCTGTTGACACACCACCACACGGCCGGCGGGGCCGCCGCGCCACCCGCAAAACGGCAGAGGGTGCGCGCCCACGGGGATTCGAACCCGCGCCGTTAGAAAACGGCAGCGGGAAGCGGGAACGACGCAGTGGATGACGTCATGGCGGGAGGGCTGGGGCGAGAGGGGCGGGAAGTCCGCCGGCCGGTGGACGCGGGAAGGGGAGGGGGAGGATCACACCAACCCCCCAGCGTCTTCCGTGCCCGGGGCGCGGGGGCGTCCGGGGCGTGGGGGTGTTCCTGCTGGGGGGCGCGGCGCGTCCGTCGAGCCGAGATGCGATGCGAGGCAGAGGGGCGGCGAGCGGCGCCAATTCTGACGGCACCGGTGGACCTACACGGTGGACCGGTCAAGCCAGCCGAGTCCAGCGGGGCCTTGCCTGGCCTGGCCGTCGTGTCGCCTGGCCGGCGAGTTGGGCCAGGTCAGGGCAGTCCTTGGGGATCGCTGACACTACGACACCCATTCCATTCACATTAGAGCCGCGAGTCCGCGACCACTCCACAGACATGCGTCCATTCGTCCTCCATTCACCAGGCGCCACGCCACTGCCAGACGCCGTGCAGATAGGCGGCCCTCTCGCGTGGCTGCGGGCCGGTTGCCTACCTCCACGGCGGCTGGCGGGCGCAACGCAGGCTTGACCAACCATTGGCTAGGCCACACTTGATCGTTCGCCATTTCGAGCCCTTCCACACGCCCGACAACGTCACTCAAAGTCTCCTCCGGAATCGAGGGAAAAACTCGAACAAGACCCACAGTGTACAGCGCAGGGACGGCAGAGGTGCGCAACCTTACACCGCGCCGAGAAAGAGTGTGCGTCCGGGGGGAGGGGGAGGGGGGGGGGAGAGAGGCCGGAGGGGGCGCTATCCGGCCACGGTTGCCATGGCAGCAGCAAGCCATTGCCGGACCCCCCGACGGACGGGCCGGCAGGGGCAGGGAGGGAGGGGCGGGAGGGGCACGTCAAGTGCGTCCGCACCGCGTCCGCACGGCGACACCGAGTGCATCGCGAAAGCCCGCCGCGCCGCCGACAGTGCGGTGCCTTGTGACGTCACCGGCGACACCCGGCGCCACGTCAAGGAAGGCGCGAGGTCAGAGGTCACGGGTTCGAGCGGGCCAACCAGAGACAAGGGCCAAGGCGAAAATGACTGGGGGGAGGTGCAAGAGACAGACAGGCAGCTCTCGATGGAGGCGGCACAGAAGGGCTTGGCGGCGCGGCGCCGCGCCACGGCCACGCCACCGGGGCCGGCAACCAACCAACCTGCCGACGCGAAGGGAGCTGGCAAAAGGGAAAAGGGAAGACGGGGGAGGGGGAGGGGGAGGGCAGGTCGATCGGTGAAGGGACCACCGCGCGAAGCAACGCGAAGCTACGCGAAGCGAGCACAAGCAAGGCACGGCAAAGGGAGGAAGGACAGACAGAACGAACCAAGCGCACGACGACACGAGGACGACGACGTGTCCCCGAGGACTGACTGATTCCGAGAATCGTCGCTCTGTCTCTCTCGCACTCGAGGGGCGTCCCGTGTGGGTGCGAGAGCGACAGAGCGACGACTCTCGGAATCAGTCCCCGGCGCGGCGCGCGTGTCAAGAAGCACGCCAGCCAGCGCGAGCGCGACGCCGTCGTGCAGTGCAGTGCCGGCCGCGGCAAGTCGTGTACACACACACACACACACACACACACACACACACACACACACACACACGTAGACGCGCATCAAGCGCGCGGCCCGCGCGGCAAAGTGTTTCCGCCCCGCGCGTCGAAGTGCAGCGCGCAGCGCACTCGACCCACATTCGCAGACATCCCCAAACCGGCCCAGTGTTGCCACACAAGCGGGCGAAACTTCCTAGACTCAAGAGGGTCACCAACCTCAGCCTGCGCTCGACTTATCCGAGAGCAAAGCCCGCAGCCATTGCCCGGTGGCCAGGCTGGAGGTTGGCAACCCTTTCGACACTCAAGAATCGCGAGGGTTTTTCGGCCGGTTTGGGTGGCAACACTGGGTTCGGCGGAGGAGAGCACCGCGAGCAACCGCGGGGCGTGCTACGGCACGACGTACTGCACGAGCTCCTTCGTACTGTACTTCGGGTGCACCGCCAAGCCAACAGTGCCGGCTGGGTGGAACGGCCCGCCAAGGAGCCGCTACGACGACGCGGTACCGCGGTACGGGACGACCGGCACGTCGGCGTCCTCCGAGGCGGGCAGCGCGGGGCAGCGCGTCGCCCCGTTCTAGGTCGGCACCGTGTCGGCACGCCCCAGTTCCAGCGCGCGCGGCGCTGCGTCGCGCTGCGTGCGAAGGGAACGGGACTTCCCCGGTCGCGGCCACCCGATCAAAGGGACAAAGCCGACGCCAGCCTGCTCGTCGCACTCGCTCTTGGGGCGCCCCGTGGGGCCGAAGGAGTGCGAGAGAGACAGAGCGACTGCTTGCTGTTGCTGGCGCTGTACCTGCCAGTGCCGTGCCGCCGTGCCGCCGTGCCAGAGCGCGCCGCGGACGCCGCGCCGCGAGAGCAACGCCCTGCAGCAATGCGCCCGGCCCGGCGCGGCCCGGCTCGGCTCCGCCCCGCAGCGCCACACTGCGCCAGGCCCGGCTGGGCTCGGCGCGGCGCGCGCTCGGCTCGGCCCGGCCTGGATCGGCACAGACTCTCCGAGACGCTCCGAGACGCTCCCGGTCCGGCGGCGCAGCTAGCGACCGGCAGGCAACGCGGCCACTCCGGCACACGTACAATAAGTGCGGGTTACACTTGGAGGAGGCCGCGGTACCGTTCGTCACGGCCAGCACACCGATTCCGAGAGTCGTTTTCGTCGCTGCGTCTCTCTCGCACTCTGGCGCCCCTCCAGTGCGGGAGCAGCGCGACGACTCCGGAATCGTCTGCAGGCGGCCGCGTCGCGCTCAAGGGGAGCTGGCGGACCGCCGTCCCGGAAACGGACAAACACCCGTCTCCTCCCATGACATTGACCTCCACGGCGACCCCGCGCGAGCTGCGCGAGCAACGGAACGCAGCCACGCGGCGACAGAGTATGTACCCGAGTACCTGGCCGCGGGGCCCGGCGGGGCCGAACCAACCGAGCAGCGACCCGCCAGTTAGGGGCGTGGCGACGCCGTGGCGACGCCGTGGCGTGGAGCGCGGCCAGCGCGGCCTAGGACGGGGGCACCGCGGGGCGGGGCGGAGGCTCGGCGGAGGCGGAGGACACCTCGGCGGGTTGGCACCGCGGCAACACGGCGCGGCGGGGGTCTTCACCTGGAGAGCGTCCCGTCCGGAGTAAGGCCCCGGCCACCGCGCCGCGCCCCGCCCCCCGCCGCCTGCACCAGCGCACAGCGGCGTGTCCGTCTGTCCTTCGATTTCACTCCACTCCGCCGGCCCGGCCGGCCTGGCCGCGACGCGGTCCAGCACCTAGGCCAGCGAGCAGCACCCACAACGCGCCAACGCGCTGCAAGCCAACCGGTCCACCGCGTTTCCAGAGCACTCCACTCCGGCCGGCCGTGTCCACCACACTGCGCTCTGCAATGCGAGGCCTGTGACCACGGGCCAATCTGTCGCCGACTTGGCTCCACCCGCCCCACCGTGCGACGGCCACCTGCAGTCTGCACCCTGGCCGAAGCCCTGGGCCCCGGCGTGCAAGGTCTCAAGTAGCCCCCCCCCCCTCCCCCCTCGCATCGAGTCCGGCAGGCACACACCGGGGCAGCAAGTGAAGCACCGAGGCCCCCTCCCCAATCACGACCACGACTGGGCACAGCGCAAGCAGGCAGGCAGGCCGTGCAGGTGCGGCGTGGCACTCCGAAGCCAGCGCAGCCGCACAGCCAATGCCCTTGCGATTGTCATAAAACCCCAAGGCCACGGCGCCGAGTTGCAAGTGCTGCAAGTGCTGCGGTCCGGCAGACTCATTCCGAGAGTCGTCGTCGTCGCTCTGTCCCTGTCGCACTCACGGGGCGTCCCCTAGGGGTGCGAGAGAGACACAGCCTCCAGCACGCCTCGCCGCCGGGCCACTGCCACCAGAGAGGCCAACGCACAGCGAGTCCGCACTGCTTTCGTCGCCGTCTCCCTCGCACCCTCACGGGACGCCACGAGTGCGAGAGAGACGGCGCCGCACCAGCCTGCAGGCTGTGCACCGAGCGCGAAATCCCCCCACCCCTTTTTGCTCTGGCACTGCCGGGTAGTGCCCCGCGGAAGAAAGCAGCAAAAAGTGCGCGGCTGGCGGTGTCACGCAGCGCGCGGCGGGCGCGGGTTCAACCACCGGTCGCGGCAGCGGCGCGGAAAAGAGGCTCGCGCCCCGCGGGCCTGCCTCGGCCTGGGCGGCCCGGGGCCCAGATAGCCATCTGATTGCGGAGAAAGCGCTGCACTGTAGGCAACAGTGCATCGCCGCCGTCTCTCTCGCACCCCCGCGGAACGCTCCACGAGTGCGAGAGAGACAGAGAGAGCACCGTGTCCGACAAAGCAGCGGCCCGATCGGCCAACATACTCACCACCACCATGAGTGTAGAAATCCAGGAGGTTCCCCTAATGTGATATTTTTCTCCCATCTTATCTGCAACACACAAGGAGAGACACGAGCGTTAGACAGAGACAACAGACAAGGGCGACTCTGGAGCTCAAAACGCGTCTAGAGTTCTGGGCGGCGCGCCGGCCTTCTGGCCCACTGTGCCACGCAGGCCGTGCAGGCCGTGCACGTGGCAACACGGTACACACCATCGGACAGGTGCGGCGGCGCGTTCGAGGCCCGTTCGAAAACGGCCGCATCGACCGACTCGATACACCGGGAAAAAACGATAGCCGGCATTTGGAGACACGTGGCGGCATAAAACGTCCGAGCCGTGGGTGCACGAGGCACAAATTGCAAAATTCAAAACAACAATACACGATACACGTCGTCGTGGTCGTCGTCGGCGACGGCGAGTGCGTCACGGCGGCGGCGGGCGACGAGTGACGCGCGCGGTGGGCGGCGCGCGTCCGTCACGCAGCCCATGCACAAAGCACAACCCTCCGCATCAAATTTTCATCGCAACTTTCCATTTCTTATGGGAGGCAGTTGGCTTTCCTAAACGGCCGCCGCGCCTCGCGCCGCCCCCACAAACACACACACACACACACACACACACACACACACGGCACAAGCCACATGCTAAGCGCGCCGCGGCGCCGCCACCGCAACGATCTAGACGCGCCGCACCGCGCCCGGCGCGCGGCTGCCTTTCCATTTTTCATCCAGTCAGATCGACAGCCAATCCGCACGCGCGCCGAGCAAGCACGAGCAAGAGGGCCGCGGGCCGCGCCGACGGCAGCCGACGGCGAAGGCTGCTTGCCGACGTGCATGCATGTCGCGCATCAATGTTTGACCGCGGCAAGCGGGGCCAAGCGGCGCCGCCACCACCACGGCGACGACTGGACTCCGGCAGACCGATTCCGAGAGTCGTTTTCGTCGCTCCGTCTCTCTCGCACCTTTACGGCAAGCGCCATGAGGGCGAGAGAGACAGAACGACGGCCACCACGACGCGCACGCCGCACACAGACCGAAAAACCGCCAAAGGTTCAGCAAAGGGCCGCAAGGTTTCTGCAATGAAGGTTTAACCGAAGGGCTGGTAAAGGTTTAACCCAAGGACCACGGGAGGTTGCACGGAAGGGCTTGTACGGCGAAGAGCCGCCAGAGGAAGGGACCTCGAAAGATTCGCCGGAGGACGTTGAAAGGATCGGCAAAGGGCTCCGCGAGGGTCACCAAACGCGGCGGAAAGACCGCCGTCAAGGGGCCCAGAGGCCCACCAAGACCGCAGCGTTGGCCGGCAAACCGCACGGCGGCGGCGGCGGCGGCGGGGAGCGCGCAAAGGGACCACAATGCCTCGGCGCCTCGGCCAGGGGAGCGCCACGCCGCGGCGGCGAGGCTAGGGCGGCCAGGCAGCCAGGCAGCGAGCGCTCCGGGCGAGGGGTGAGGCGGGGCGGGGAGGCGCGCCACTCCAAGCGCCAGAGGCGGGGGTGGGGGTGGGGTGCCCTGGGTAGGGAGCTGGCTGGCTGGCTGGCGGGCGGGGCGGACGACGCTGACAGGCCGGCCGGCCGGCGCGACATGCGTTCCAACCAAAGGGCCAAAAGGACGGCGCTCGCGGGGCGGCCGAAGTGCGATAATCAATGAAGCCATCGCACACATCGCACGCGTGATATGTCAGCGCTGCAGTCGCGAGGGACAACACGGGGCTGCGGTGCCGTGGGGGGCGTGCACAGGTGGAGGGGCGGGCGGGGAGGTGGGGTGCGGGGCTCCAGGACAGAGGGCGAGGGGGCTGGGGGGTTCCTCCATGAGTACCAAGCCTTTGCCTTGTGTCCGTCCCGTACGCCGTACGCCATGCCCGCCCCGCCCCGCCGCGCCCCGCCCAGCGAGGCTCAGCGCGACTAACGCCCGCAAAAATCAATACCCCCACCGTCCCCGCTCTGCACCGCCGCGCCGCACCACGCCACGCCACGCCGGCTGGCCGAAGGAGCGGGCCGGGGTGGTGGGCAAGTCTACCACCACCCCCAGCCCGCCGCGCCGCGCCGCGCCCCGCCACCAGCACCACCACACCGCGAGCGCGGAGCGCGGCCAGCGCGGCCAGCCCAAGTCGCGGGCCTGGCGCGCCAAACTTGAAGGAAGAGGCTCACGTCCACGACGTCCACGCGGCCGGGGCTCGGGTTCGACTCCCGCCTCCTCCACCCCTTTCGGGGTCCGTTTCGGGTGACTCACCCACCGCGCACGCTGCCCCCCAGTCACTTCCAAACAGAGCTTTGTCACTGTCTCGCTCGCACTCGTGGGGCGTTCCCCAGTAGGTGCGAGAGAGACGGAGCGACGAAGCACTCCCAGTCTCCGGCCATCGACACCCGCCACACGGCGACGGCATGGCCACGGCGAGCCTCACGGCCGCACGGCCCCACGCCACGCGAAGGGCGCGAGCGCGCCAGAAAAAGAAGAGAGAGAGACGAGAGAGGCGCACAGAGGTCAGACAAAGAGAAACTAGTACAAAAATAAACACTGGAAGACAAACAGGTTCTGGAGGCCGGCAGGCCGCGGCGGGCCGGCGAGCAAGGAGCCGAACGAGCTGGCGGACGTGGACGACGTGGACGTCAAGAAAGTGACACCAAAGCGGACCGGCGAGGAGCAAGTACGGCCCCGTCCTGCACACCGTCTGTCTCTCTCTCACTCACGGGATGTCTCGTGTGGGTGCGAGAGAGACAGAGCGACCAAAAGACTCGGAAAGAGTCAGTCTGCTCGTCGACCCCGGCACTCCAGGGTGCGGCGCAGGGCGCAAGGGCTTGGCGTGGAACACAGAGACGGCCGAATCCGCTTAGCGCTGTCTCTCTCGCACCTGAAGGGGATGCCCCTTGAGTGCGAGAGAGAGTCGCTCTCCAGCATGCACAGCATGCGGCCTCAGAGAGCGAGACGGCGCTAGGACGCGGATAGGACCCTCGGCCAGGGCACTGCCAGGCCAGGGCACTGCCGGGGCATCGAAGGCGTCCGGCAACCGTCGAACCTGCGATGGGATAGGTTTCACGCTTGCTCCACGCAATCGGTGGGAGGCGGGGGAGGAGGGGGGGGAAGAGGACGAGAAAATGCGGCGCGACTTGACAACGCCGCCGCGGGCCGCGGCCCTGCCGAAGCTGCCGAGCCGAGGCGGTGGCGGCGGCAGGCGGCATCCAGTGCCAGGCAGGCCAGGCAGGCCGTGCGCCTGCCGCCGTGCCACAACGCCGGTTGCCGGCTTGTTTAGAAGAGTGCACAAGGAAGGCGCGGGAGTGGGGGGGTCGGAGCGTCGCGGAGCACCGCGGAGCACCGCACCACCGCGTCGACTCCCCTCCACCGGCGGAGCGGCGCGGTGCGCGGCCAGCAAGGAGGCGCGGCGGACGGGCGGCCGGACGGGCAGCGCGAATGCACGCCAAAGAGGAAGCGAGGAAGCAGGCGTGAAGCAGGCATGAAGCAGGCGAAGCAGGGGATGGAGGCAAGACAGGCCACGCGTCACCACCGCGACGGCCTGCACGGCCACGCCGACGTTCGACGGCCACCTCGCGGAGTGCACGGCCGCAGCTCGGTTTTGGCTCAGCCTGCACCACGTCAATATGTCCTGATTCGAGCCTCCCTCCCTGCGGCCCGCCGAGGCCCGCCGACGCCTCCGTGCTTTGCCTTGCGCCCGGCCCGGGTCAGCGGGCGCCCGCGGCCCCTGCCCCCGCCCCCCGCCCGGCCCCCGCGCCACCCCTCTGTCACTCAGTGCTGGGATCCTGGGATGGCCTGAAGCCGGTGCTCGGCGGCTGCGGGGGCGGAGAAGGGGAGAGGGGGGAGGGGGGTGCCGGCCGAGACGCGACTTGGCACCACCGCGGCCTGGCCGGCCTGGCCCCGCTCCCCGCTCTGCTCCACTCAGCCGTCCTGCCGCTCTCTGGACCGTGTATCGCCGATGCCGATGAATTTCCTCCTCAGGTCCTGCCGTCCTGCCTGCACAGCGCTTTCGCGCTTTCGGCGTCGTGTCTCTGTCGCACTCGCGGTGCGGCCCGAAAGGGTGCGAGGGAGACGGCGACAAAGGCCCTGTTTGGTGTCGGCTCGGCCCGTAGCGTGCGGCACACCGCGCTCTCCGCGGCCACGGACACGCCGACGGCACAAAGCCCGCCGCGGGCCCCATGACGGCCAGGGCTAGCTGTCTCTCTCCGTCGCTCTCAGGGGGCGCCCCGTGTGGCCCCGTGGGGGTGCGAGAGAGACGAGCCGCCTCTTCGGAAGGCGTGCAGAGATTAAACGCCGCGGTACTTGTTGCAATCGAGGGCCGAACCGCCACGCCCGCCGCGCGCGCCCCTCCCTGGCAGCCCCTGGCGGCAAGACCGGACCCGGTCGGCCGGCCGGCACCGTCTCTCTCGCACTCATGGCACGTCCCGTACAGGTGCGAGAGAGACAGAGCGACGACAACGACTCTCGGAATCAGTCCTCAGTGTAAAAACGTGCAAACGTAGAGAAAGACACTCACCTCTGATAAGAAGGTCTGTGCAGCCTTTTGTGCCCCTACGTGTAATAAGTACTCGTAGACGTATAAAGCTAATCTGAAACAAGGAAAAGCACAGCGTCAGTACATACGTCAAAGGCATTGATGAGAAATTTGCGACATCCTTGAAGAACACTAGAGTCCTAAAGGCCCTAGGAAAGAACACGGGGGAAAGGGGGCGGGAGGGGGGGGGGGCGCTAGACCAAACGCGGTCCCCTGCATGGCGGAAAGGTAGAACAGCCGAATGACATCTGATAAGGGCAGCGGCAGCTGCTCAGTGACGTAAGAACACCCCGGCGCCCCGCGCGCCTCGGGGAAGCCGGCCGGCGGGCTGACACTGACAACATGCAGACACACACACACACACATGCGCGCGCGCTGCGAGTCGCACGGAATCGCCAGCCGCGCAGTCAGCTACAACAGCTGATTTCTGTTTACCAACTCACGGTCTGCGCCCTTGCCCCTTCGTCGCCGCAGTCGTTCCATTCATTCATTCATCAAAACAGAGCCAGAAGTACTCAGACATACCAAGTGGTGGGGGAAAGAAAATTCTGCAGTTCACACCTGCATCACCCCTGACCCCAGAAGGGGAGCACCAGACAATACTGCACACGCATTAGTTTTAAAATGAGATCATTTTCTTAAACAAATTGAAATCTTATAAACTTTCAAAATGAGTCATCAAGAAATTTCAAAGAATGAAAAATTAGAAATTAAGAACAAAGCCATTAATTTAAAGACATCTAGTCAAATAATTTCTTTATAAAATGCTTAGATTTACTTCTTTTTACACAGTATACTAATAAATTAAAATGTGGGGGCGAGAAAAAATCAACTAATTGGTTGACACATAATTTGACTCCGAAACTCACTCAAAGCAAGCCGTAATACAAACTTTCAGAACCGACATAACTTTACATAGAAACATGCAACAAGCCACAGTGACATACATGTAAATGACAATATTTCGACAAGTTCGCAATCAACAGTCACACAATAAATGTATAATTTAAGTCAGGTTATAAATGAGGCATAAAAATATCGACACAGGGAAAGAGACAAATGGTAACGACACACAGCACTCCTTGAATGGAAGTTTCATTTAGACAACATAACCTTGATAGCTAATTCAGACTGTGTTCCATTGACAATGACTTCTCCATGGATCCCTTTGTGATGTCACTACCGTGGTATCTGACGCCGTCACTTATCACTGTGAACGGGGGACGGGGAGGCGCCTGGCCCAGCCTGGCCCAGCCTTGCCACTTTGAGGTTAGGTATCCAAGTACGTCGTCTCGTCCGTGCCCCAGGCGTCCCTCCAAGCCGGTAAACGCTGGACCCCACATCGGCGCCGAGTGGTTCTGCCGCGAGTTTCGAAGCATTCGTCGGTCTTCTCTCTTCCGTTCGCTGCGAGTCGCACTTCCGGCACTTCCACAACACTGCAAACTCGCGGAACGAAAGGGTCTTGGCTTTCTGCGGGCTCACTGCCGAACCCAAACAAAACACTCGCCATGGTGTGTGTTGAGCTCGAGAAATACTTACTTCTCTCGCGCCTGAGCGTCCGAGGGCACTGTGGACCCTTTCCCCTTGGCGTACATCTTCACTCGCGGTCTATCACGCACTTGTCAGACAACCAAGGCCGACCCGACGGCACTCGCGACCATGGCAGCGTAGGCTACTTGTCAAACGGCAATCTATCTTTCGTACGGCGCACTACAGCTCATCTGACGGACCTCTCGGCTCACGGGCGGGCAGCTAGCACGGCCGCGGCAGGGCGACTACCCATTCCAGTCCGGCCGTCCGGGTTGGCGCGGGGGAGGGGGAGGGGGAGGAGGAGGGGGAGGGGAGGCGGAGCGAGAGGAACTCAAGAAGAAATGGGCGCACACCATTGGTCGGGTGCGCTCGGCGTGGCTGTTCTCTCCAAGCTCTACACTCCCCGGCGTGGAGTCTCTGTGCGCGCGGGGTAGTCCCGCCGACCAGCCAACGCGCGGAGTCTCCCCGGCAAGGCTTCCCCGAGGCGCGGAGTATCGACCAGGATTCTCATAACGCGATGTGCCAATTGACGCAGAAGAAGGAATTCGATTAGGATGGTTTCGTCGCGTTAAATAGATTCGACTTGGCAGCGATACTCTTCGCTTCGCAGCGCGGGGTATCGACGGGAAGGGAGTCGACGCAGTCGCTGGATCGGCCGAAATCGCGGTAACCCAGCGTGGAGTCGTGTAATTGACAATAAACATGTTGAATAGCTTTCGAAGCCTTGCGGCACACGTCGTGGGGCACCTCGCTCATTGAAATCGTTCACTGAGGTACTTGGACCGGGGCGACAGTATTCGCTGTCGTGATTGAATGCGATTTCGCTACCGTGTTCCACCTCAGTGGAGTTCCCTAACCTCATTTCATTGATGGTGAATGACTCAATTAAAAGTCGAGTGGAAAATGTCCCCGAACCAACACCCATACAGAACAACTAGATCAGAGGCGTATCAGGGGTTGATTCATTGTTTTCTTGATATCATTGGATATCATTTCGTGAATGTACGAGTTGCGCGACATTTCTTCTGCTAGCAGGCTAGCAGTCTCGAACGGCTTGCCTGTCGATACATCGACGCTACTAGAAAAAAAACTAGAAACGATACATATCGCTTTGACGGTGTTCGAGTTCGAGCTACAGCAGAACACCTAACCAAGTTCCCACAGAAGTCGGTCAAAACTCCAACATTTTGTTCATGTGCTGCTAATGCTGTTTATGTTTTGAATCCAACGTGATTCCTTTGGGTTGAGGATATACTTTCAACTCTCTCAAACGCATAATGTGAGTGGTGTTGTGTTTTTAGAATGCTGTATTTGCCAGATGAAGTCTGTCGGCTGCTGCACTGAGGCTGAGGTTAACCACTTGTTTACGTTTTCACCCTTGCAGGATGCTCCGGGTTTTGCCGGACCTTTGCCACAAGAGCGCTGCAAGAGCTCAAAAAGCTGTCCGTCGCTGTTTCTCAAAAAGTTCTTCGACTTATAAAGACAATGACAAAATCAATGAGGATGTCAGTCTGCCTGGCAGCGATGGTGAAAGTGGCTGCGCACCACAAAAGAAATTTCAATATCCCAACATATCTGTTAAGCCTAAGTTGATAAATTTCCCTTATGACATGGAGGAAGATCCTATTAAGCGAACAGGCCAAGCCTTAATGTTTGACTACAAAGTTGCGAAGGCCAAATTGCAAGGGAAACCACCGCCGCCCACCCCTAGGGAGTCTGATATTCTGATAGTTGGTGGTGGTGTTGTTGGGAGTTCAATTGCACACCATCTTCTGGAGCGTTGTGGCCCTGGACTCCAAGTTTCCATTCTTGAAATGGACTCTCCGGTAAGCTTTGAAGTTAATTATCTTTGTGGATTTGATTAAGTCTGCTACAGTCTTTCATCAAATGTTGTTTCAGAACTTATCAACATCTCTTCAAGTTGGGCGTAATGACTTGTACCAACAAGTCAGTTTAAAGCCTAATGTTGAAATGGCGCTTTATGCTTCAGAGTATTATCGCAAATTGTGTAAGCATCATAATCCAGACTTACCTGAGATGTCTATAGATTTCCAACCCAATAGCTCTCTTTACCTCGCTCCTGAGGAAGGTGTCGAAGAGTTGGAGGGCCGTGCTGAAATGTACAGGTAGGTGTTGCAAAGTATTGTGCATCACAGATGCGGTCTGTATTTGTCTTATTTGTGTCTTTTTGAATCTTCCCTCAGAGAATTGGACTGGAAACATCAGTTCCTCACACCATCACTGTTAAAACGAAGGTTCCCTTGGCTGAATTTGGATGGTGTGGCTGCAGGATGCCTGGGCATGAATAGAGAAGGAATGTAAGTTATTTCATCCAGTCTGTGCTAGAATGATCTATATTTTAAGAAAATAAAATAAATTTAATTACCTGCTTTATTTTTAGATGCAACAAGTTTCAAGCTGTAGCCGCTATGAGAGCTCAGGCCAAACAGCAGGGTGTCAGTTTTATTGAAGGAAAACTTGTTGGGTTTCATTTTATAGACCAAACAGACCTTCTCACTGGCTATGAACAGCAAGCCCGATATTACTCTCCCAGACGTGTAGTGGTTAGTGAACAAACAAATATTTTTATTATTCCACTAGATAGGAGAACAGGAGTGAAGCTTCTCCAGCGAAAAAGTCTATTGTTGTTTTTATTGGTTTTTCATGAAAACATCCTTGTGATTTTAAAATAATTATTTTCTCTACCAGGTACAATCCAAAACCGGTGAACTATCTCAACATACTTTTGGATATTTGATCTTTGCTGCTGGGGTATCTGTTCAAGATTTGTTACACAAAATAAATATTTTACAACTTGATATGAATATTCCAATTGAGGCAGAGTAAGTTCACTCGAATGTTAATTTATTTTGTATCTCTTTAAACAATATAATAAGAATAACGAAACTAGTCTTTATTTCGTTTATAATAATGTGAATATGTGTTTCAGGGAGAGGTTTGCTTTTGACTTTGTTTGTCCCAATGGGCCTGGCATTGAAATGCCTATGATTATGGAATCAAATGGATTCCGTTTCAGGTAAAGTGTCTGTAATGTTAATGAGTACCTTATTCATAAAAGTTGGCTTTCAGGGGTGTGCTCATTTGAATTTGCAGAAAAGCGGGATATTGTCAACAGCTATACTGTATGGGATGATCAATCTCCACCAAAGGAAAAGCCAAAAGACTTCTCAAAGGACTCAATTAATGCTTACTTCTCTGAAAACATTCTTCCCCGTCTCATTCAGAGAGTACCAAGTTTTAAAAATGCCAAAGTATGAAATTCAAGAGACGAAACTCAAATATTCCCACTATTTAATACAAAACACTTATTTTTATTTATTTCATTGTTTTTCAGCTGACCTCATTTGACTCTGGACTGGTTGATGTCTGCACATGGGATGATAATTTATTAGTAGGTCCAGTTCTAGGATTCTATAATGTTCTTCATGCAGGAGGTTTTGGCAATGATGGTGAGTGTGCAAGTGTGCAGGTTTAAGTATGGAATGCCATTTCTATATCCTAACTGAATAATGTGCTGCTCGTTTTTTTCTTTTTGCAGAGTTTTTGTATGCTCCTGCTGTTGCCAGGGGCATAGCAGAGCTGATATTGGACCGTGAGTTTGAAGCATTGGACCTCAGCTGTTTCAGGCATGAAAGAACTATTAATAATATTAAAATCAATGAAGTGCTTGATTCTTTCTTAAGACACGACTCCAACGTGCCAAAAGATTAGGAACCAAGTAAAAAAAAATGTAAACCAAAAAAATAATAAAATTATCTACTGAATTAAAAATGTTGGTTCTTTATCACTTTTTCCCTCATTAAACAGTCTCAATGGTGAAATTGGTGCGTGGTTTAAAATTTCGCGGGCGCTCCACCGCCCACCCACTTGAACTGGATTTCAGGCCGGCACTGTTGCCATTGACGGCTACACCACAAACGATCGTTTCCGCGTGGAAGGCGCAACTTGAGTACTGTGGTGAATACACAGCGCGACGGTTTTTGAAAAATGAAACACCAGAAAGGAAAAAGCGTTCACGAGCGGGCCTAAGCGCTTTTGCCGGAGGGAGGGCGAGCAGAGTGATGCCACTCTGCCTCATCGCGGCGCATCGCGGCCCGACGGGACGAACCGTGAGTGCGAGAGAGACAGAGCAGAGCCACCGTAATCCAGTGCGACGCAACGAGACTCGGTGCCACGACGCAGCCAAAGCAAAGCGCACAGTGCGCTTCATTTGGAATGCCTCATTTAGGAAAAGCGACCACTGAGTCTGGCGAAGCAGGCGAAGAGAGGCGCCGTTGCGACACGCGCCCTGTTGGCCCGTCGCGTCGTCGGTCGCGTTCCCGCCTTGGTCCCCGCCCACCGCCACCTCCAAAACGGCACGCGGCGGCCACCTCTTTCGCAGTGAAAACAAGGTGAATCTTGGACCCTTTACTTGGCAAAAAGGGGAACAATTTTTTGGGGGGAGAAGGGTTGTAGTTCCAGACACAGGTAGGCAGCCTTCGGCCGTGGTTCGGCCCCGCGCGCCCGACTGCAGATTTCACTTTCCATCCCACGTTCGTGATGCTGCCGGTCATGGCGACGAAACGGGGAGCGTGCGTTCATTTGGCGAGGCCAGACCGATTTGGGGCAGAAGCGCTATTTCCTCCGAAAAAAAAAACGCGCTGCTTCCTGGGCAACTTTGCGCGCATCCTGTTGACTCAGCCATTCCCCGCAGCAGCAGCACACATCCCCATCCCGATTTGGCGGGACGAGGTCTTTCTGCCTGTTTAAGGCCCGCGTTTTGGCCGCCCGTCTCGCAGGCCGCAATCCACTGGAAAAAACAACAACAACTAAAAGGGACCCCCATTCAGGCAGACGCGGGGTTTCGAACCCACGACTCTGTCCGTTTGAAGAAGCGCATGCGTTGAGACACCGTTCGTCACGCACAGCCGTGCCGCCGCGTCGCCGCGTCGCCGCCTCGGCGTCGCCATGGCTCAGGCATGACGCAAATTAATTTGGCCAACGTCTAATGAGCTTCATGACTGCTCATGGCGACGCGGCGACGCGCCTCTGGGGGCTGCTGCAGAACTGGGTCGCTCTTTCTCTGTCGCACCCACGGGGCGAACCGTCGGGTGCGAGAGAGACAGAGCGACGGCACGCTGTTCGGAAGCAGCCTGCTTGCCGCTCGTCCCGACTCGTCCCCGCCGTCGCCATCGAGGGCTCCATTTCGCCACGTCGTCGTCGCCGTGCTCGCGTACTGCTTCAATTCCCGTTCCTCGTCGTGTGCCCCCTCACGACCAACGCCCCGACGTGTCGCTCTCTCTCTCTCTCTCTCTCTCTCTCTCTCTCTCTCTCTCTCTCTCTCTCTCTCTCTCTCTCTCTCTCTCTCTCTGCTCGCTCGCTCGCTCGTCTGGCCATCGCACATCCAGCGAATCGAGAGTCGTTTTCGAAACGCCGGCGTGTCTCACCGCAGCGCGAAGTAAGGAGGTGAAAATGCAGCCTTTGTTATGATGCGGCTGCGGCGGGGTGGGGCGGCGCGACGCGACGGGTAGGTCCTGCGTACGCAAGGTCCTGCAACGAGTCGGGGAGCAAGTTTCGGCAGGAAAATGAGTAAAAATGTGATTTGAATTTGAGGGGAAGCTAGTAGGTAACTCCGTGCCATAGCAGAAAATTCACAACCCCTTGCTCTCAAAACTGCGGGGCGCCACCAAGGGAAAACCAGTTTGCGGTCCACAAAAATTGAGCCAGCACACTAGGTCGGTCTTATTACGGCCATAAACGATCGATCGTTCCGTTCGAGGGCCCTAAAATGCGGTAACCCAGATAGTGTAATATCCTGCCTGGCTGTCCGAGCACCGAGATTCGACAAGGCCCATTCTGCGGGGCGCTGGCCGCGGCCTTAACGAGCAGCAGGCCGATTCCGAGAGTCGTCGCTCTGTCTCTCTCGCACCTTTACGGGACGCCCCATGAGTGCGAGAGAGACAGAGCGACGGTGTGCTTCGCGGTGCGTTGCTGCTGGGCGCTGCTGCGCTGCTTCGCGGGTCGCTGGGTTCACGTCATAGCGCCGCTTTGGCGCTTTGACAGTGCCTTGGCGCCTTGGGCCGGAAGCTTGTTCGGCACCCTGACCGGCCTGACAGTGCCGGCACGCAAATTGGCGCCAAAACTGTCGTCATGTCGTCACCTTCCTGGGCAGCGATTTTTCATACCGGCAGAACGGCAGTGGAAAAAGAATCGCCGGGTTTCGGCGCTACTCCCCGCGCGGTGTTTGGTTTGTCTCTAGCGCTCGGCGTATCGACTGCTGTTTCGATTCCTCGCGGGTATCCTGCTTTGCCTTGCTGTCAAAACGCATGTGAGTGGAAGGAAGAAAGGGACGAAGGGAGGAGGAAGGGGATGGGGAGAGAGGGAGAGAGAGAGAGAGAGAGAGAGAGAGAGAGAGAGAGAGAGAGAGAGAGAGAGAGAGAGAGAGAGAGAGAGGAAGGAAAGCGAGTACGCCTCAAGTGGCGAACACAATACAGTGCGGGTGCAGTGTGTTGCAGTGTGGTGCAGTGAGGTGCCGGCCCACACCGAGGCGGCCCGCGCGGCCGCGCTGCCGAGGCCGCCGTCGGGGACGTCGCCAGGACGTCATGGTGCTCGTCCCGGACGCCGCCGTCGTCGTCGTCCTGGCCGCCCTGTGCTGGTGCGGCGTCGCCGCCACGCCCGCGTACCGCTCCGCCGGTCGGTACTCCTCACAAAGCGAAAACGAAAATAATCGGAGAAGTGTCACTTGTCCAGTGGTACAGTTGAAAGCGTGCGATAGATCTAGTGCGTCAGTGCCGTGGAGTGCATTAGAGTCCTGGAAGTGCGCGTCAGTTCTAGGACTCTAGACGCCATTTGCAGCCTTTGCCGAGTCGGCGGCGCTGGCGGGGATGGCGCCGTCCTGGTGCAGCATGTACTGCGTGGACGCCTGCAGCCAGCTGGGGCAGCGCTGCGTGGCCGAGGGGCTGGCGGCCGCGGGCATCCCGGTGCCCTGCTCCTGCGCGTCGGACAGAGGGTGAGAGAGAAACCAGCCCGTCGCTCTGTCTCTCTCGCACCTCTGTGGGCGGCGGAGCGACTCAGGAGTCCGTCTGACGCGGTGTGACTGACATTATCGACATCGACGTGCCCCCCATGCTTTAACCCGCCCGAATGGCGTTCAGGGCGATTTGGCCACTGCACTAATTAAAACGCGATTTCGTCCCTGACGCTGGGCAGCTGTTAACCTTTAGAGTGACCGACATTTTTCTCGTGTCTCGGCTCGCAGGGTTCTCAGCAGACGGCAGTTGTCGCTGCGGCGGCGGCTGGGCAGGCGCAGCAAGCGCCAGGCTCGCCGGGCTCCGGGGTGGCAGCGGCTGCTCGGCGTCCTCGGCGGCCTCGGCGGCCTCGGGGGCGACTCCACGACGCCGTCCGCGGCCTCCGCGCTGCGGCGCCGCCAGCTGGACGACGACGACCGGGCGGAGGACGACTGCAGCGACGAGGACGACAGCGACGACGACGCGGACGACTGCGCGTTCGCGGACGCGGGGCGCAGGGGCCGCCTGGCGGGGCGGGCGAACGCCGCCAACGCCGCCAACGCCACCAAGCAGGCCCGGAAGGGCAGGACGAACAGGCCGCGCAGGACCAGGAGGAAGGACAGCGCCACGCGGCCGGCCAGGAGGAGGAAGGGCAAGGCCGGGCAGGCCACCGCCGCCGACCTGAAGGAGGCCAAGTAGGCCGTCTTCCTCGAGTCCCGGACGCCTGCCTGCGGTCCGCAGCGCGCCGCCTAGGTCGGACGTGCGGCTCTTTTGCCGGTGGCCTGACCTCAGCCGGCTGCCCTCTCTCTCTCGCACTCGTGGGAGAGGCACCGAGGCCGGGTCGGCGGGGAAGCGCCTGCGGGCGGCGGGGTGGGCCGCCAGGGTGCACGTCGCAGCTCGGCGGGCTGGCCTACCCGCCGGGCGCTCGCCGTCCACGACACTGTCAACGCACTGCCTCCTTCATGTTCTTCGGGATGAAACGCGCGGGATGGAAGTGGATTGTGCTTACGGAAGCGTTGTCTCAACCCTCCATGCAGAGAAGAAGCGGCTAACAAATGGCTCCTCTGCCCGGGCGGCCCGGGCGGGCGGCGAGCGCGCCGAGGTCGTGGAGGCCATGATCGTCCAGCCTCGCCTCGCCTCGACCCGCCTCTTGAAACGGCTCGCCCGTGTCTTCCATTCAGCGCCATGACGGAACACATCCGAGTCGGGTCGGGATCTCGGCTTCCCTGGGGGTGATGTCATCCGGACTCCAGCCTCTCCAGGCCGCTCCAGAGAGTCGCTTTCGTCTCTCTGTCTCTCTCGCACCCATACGGAACGCCCCATGAGTGCGAGAGAGACAGAGCGACGACTCTCAGTCTGCAGGCCACGGCGCCGATGCGTGCTGTACACTCCCAATTAAAAACCGTCGCCACCTTGTGCGTCTGCAGGAAAGTAACAGCCAGTAATAATACATCATTTCAACG